TGTGATGTTGCTCAATAACCTCACTTATTTGGGGGTGCAAAAGGTGGTGGGGTGTGCATTACGCGCCGGTGTGCACTACGAGGCCGTGCACGCTATTCTGCCGAGATTCACCCGTTCAGCTAGTCGTCGCAAAGACTCCTGATGGACAGTAGAAAGACGCGAACCGTGTTAAGTCAAGGCGAGTTTGCTCATCGTGTCTAGAGAAACTGGCCGTCTGAAAGACACATCGGTCCATCGCGCTCAACTACTGCTAAGAAGCCTTCCCTGCCGTGTTTCACCGCCCCGTGCACGCCCCGGGCCTGTGCACGAAAATCATCCTACTCAACACCACTCAAATGAAGCTGTAGAGCCACACACAAAAGCAATTATCACAAGATTTTTTGGTGGAGTGTTCTACACGCCTATTAGAGCACATCTACTTATAACGTACCCCACGGGCGAAAGAATCAACGGGCGAGAGAATCACTTTTGCTAAGCCCCCACTAAACTCCACCCTATTATGGCCTAAAACAACCTAAATTGGCGCTGCAAACTGTAGTACAGTCTATAACGTACCCCACGGGCGAGTCGGACACACGGGCGAGTTGAACACTTTTGCCAAGACCCTACCAAAACACCCTTACTACACCAATGCCTCTCCACAAACGCCAGTCAGACGCGTTAAAAGAAGCTTAGATACAGCTTGCGCTTCAAGCTCTTAAACAAGACGCGACTCTCTCTCTACAGCGCGCTGCAGCTATCTATAGAGCTCCCCTACAGACACTAAGCAACCAACACGCTAGACAACCTTCACAAGTTAATTCTATGCCCAAATCACAGAGCCTAACTAATACTAAGGAGCAGGTGATTATTAATTATATACTTAAGCTAGACGCGCGAAAATTTTCCCCTTAGCTAGCAGCTGTGGCTGATATGGCCAATTCTTTGCGCGCTGAGCGCAGTCTAGGCTATGTTAGCCTAAACTAGCCTAGTACGTTTGTTAAGCGCTAACTAGAGCTTAAAGTGAAGTTTAATCGCAAGTATGACTATAAGAGAGCCCTCTGCGAGGATCCTGAGATAATCTAGGGCTAGTTTGGCCTAGTAGCCAATATCAAAGCCAAGTAACGTACCCCACGGACGAGTCGGTCACCGGACGAGTCGGTCACTTTTGCCAAGCCCCCACCAAAACTCACCCCATTATGGCCTAAAACACCACAAACTAGTGCTGTATAAGGCAAAACAAGCTGTAATACTACATAGAGACTAATTCTATATTATTCTTACACATTTGCATGTTATGTCTAGTCTTACTACACTGTCTATAGTGCCTTTAGGTTAGCTTAGCCTTATTAGCGAGCACCTGCTTCTTTGCCTTCTTACTGTTACTACGCGCCCTAAACTCTGTTAGAGCTGTTAATTGCTAGCCCTTCTTAACTATTAGGGTCCCTTCTACCTTAGTATACTTTCTTTTATATAATTTTTATTATGTAGCTGCCTTATTTGCTACTTAAAGCTTAGCAATCCCCTATTGCGCTAAAACTAGCTTGTGCGCAATTATTGCTGCCCCCTTTAAGACCTTCTTAAACACTTTAACTATAGAGGTAGGTAAGCTATCTATGTGCCTCTAAATCCTTATCTTTACAAGCGTTAATTATAACCTAAGTTTAAGGGTGTTACTTAGGGTTTGCAACTGCTAGAGCATGTTGTTAACAGGTAGTAGTAGTGATAGAGTGTGTAGCTTTATATTAAGGCTGCTTATAACCTGTTCTAGGTTAAATAGGATTAGTCTAGTGCCTTAGAACCCTCCCTAGATGTTGCTAGGAGTAATTGCAGTATTATAGGCGCGTATAAAGCATAACGTAATCGGCCATTGAGTCGGCCAGGCAATTGAGCCGGCCACCTTTGCCAAGATCACACCTTATTCGACCTCTCATCTAATATCTCAACAACCTAATCTTAGATTACTTCCTTGTAAGGATAGGATAATCCTTACTATCTAAGCTATAAAATCTAACGCGTTAATAAGCTAACAGCGCACTGCTACTATCTATAATATTCCTTAATTAACCCTCTAAGACTAACGCGCTAAAACCACCTCACAACGCAATTCCTACCACAGCAGATTAAGGCTTACTAAGCCTAAAGAGGAGGTGGTTATACAATACATAAGGAAGCTTAACGCGCAAGGCTTTGCCCCTACGCTAAGCTACGTACGTGAAATGGCCAATTAACTGCTAGCTGCCCATGGTGGTAGTAAGGTTAGAGAAAAATAGGCTAGGCACCTTGTAAACTAGAAGCCTGAGATCAAGTCTCAGGTAACTAGACAGCACGATCACTAGAGAGTCTTGTGCAGTAATCTAGCTATCATCAGCCCCTAGTTCAACCTTGTGCGCAACATTAAAGCTAAATATAGCATCTAGGACTAAGATACCTACAACTTTAACAAGACTAGCTTCTAGATAGGTGTTAGAGGGTCTATTAAGGTGGTGACAGCGTCTAAGAGGCGTCTTAAGCTACTTAGAGTCTAGCCTAGCAACTATAAATAGGCAACGTTAATTGCTGCAATTAATGCTATAGGGTAGGTTATCCTGCCCTTTATTATCTTTAAAGCAAAGAACCACAACTAAGCCTAGTATTACAACCTAAAGGATTAGCGTATTAGTGTTAGCAAGAATAGCTAGACAACAAATAAACTAGGCCTAGAGTGGCTGAAGCACTTCATCCAGCATACAACAGCCCAGACAGTGGGTAGCCACCGGCTGCTGATTATTAATGGCCATGAGAGCCACAAGTCGCTTGCCTTCTAGGATCTGTGTGAGGAGAACAAAATTATTACTCTCTATATGCCTCCTCACACCTCCTATATCCTACAGCCACTTAATGTGGGCTGTTTTGCCCTATTAAAACAAGTATATAAGACAGAAATTAATGTCTTAGCAAATAGCTAACGTGGTTCACAAGCGAGTCGCCCACCCAAGTGAGTCGTCCACCAAACACCCGCGCCGCGCCTACGCAGCAGTGCAGCGCAGCACTACAATAAATTACAATACTACACATAACATTATAATATTATTCAGAAGCGTCGCTATCATCTACGTCCTTAATTTCTACCTTACAGGTGTGGGAGTTGTGCCCAATTTCGCTGCAACAGCCGCAGCGCCTCTCTGCGCGCACCCTCTTTGCAGGCGTCTTGCCCTCCTCACAACTACCACCCTCCTTTTTAGTAACTAGGTTAGATACCTTACTAACTGTTAGAGTCTCCTCTACGCGTACATACTGCCTTTTACAGGTCTTGCGCTTTGTAAGCGTAGTAACAGCGTCTTGTAGGTAGCCTATTTCCTCCTGCACTAACACTATATTATAAGCTATCTGTTAAGCGCCTTTACTTAACTGCTTAACCTGCTCATCTAATAAACTTGCTGGTGACCTATAATGATTTTGCATGCGATTTTGGATCAGCGTTGACTGCGCCTCTATCTCGCGGGCGTTGCGTGGTGTTTGCGCCTCCTAGGCGACAGTGCCTGGTGCAGGTGGCGTTGGCGTACGTAGCTGTACATCAAGCTTCGATAACACAACCTCAGGGTTATGCAGGGCTAGCCCAGCGCCTCAAAACCCTGCGCGAACATTCTCTGGTGTAAACGTCCTCTTAAAAGCTACTTTAAAGGCTGGTAGGAAGGTTTCTTTGTTGATATGGTAGATGCGGCTGCGTGCTAAGAGCGAGATCCTGTCGCTGTAGTGGCGCTTCAACAGCGAGTATGGGACAACGTCAAGAGGCTGCAGGAGGTGCGATGAGTGTGGTGGCATGCAGAGAGTGATAATCTTGTTCTCCTTGCAGTAGTCCTGGAATTCTATTGAGCAGTGGCTCTTATGGCCGTTAATAATAAGCAGCCTATATGCCCCAGCAGAGGTCACCTTTGTATAGGCGTCAAAGTGCTTAAGCCATGCCATCGCAACGTTGTTATTAGTCTAGCTAGTAGGAGAGACTGTAATAACCCAGTTGCAAGGTAGACTAGTGAACTAGGAGGAGATTAGGACCTTGCCTGCAAAGATAAGGAAGGGTAGGATAATACGCCCTATTGCAGTAACGCCTTATACTAGGGTAACCCACTTGTGATTGCCAGGCTATAGTTTCTTCTATTTCCTAGGTTTCTCTAAGCCTGTAATAACAAGCTAAGAGGATATCTTGCCTATTATGAAGCTAGACTTATTAAAGTTCTAGGTGTCCTTATCTGTGATACCATACTTTGTCTTCATTAATTAAACCAGGCTAAACCAGGGCTGGATAAGCGCTGGGTCTTCGCAGGCAGCTTGCTGGCAATCGTACGGACGGCTCCATCGCGTGCGCAGCTCTGGTGTACGCTTGATGAAGTTATCAACCCAGTTCTTGCCTGTAGGCTTCCCACCACGCTCCCTCAGCAGTCTATCAGCCATATCTTGTACATGCGCCTTTGAGGGCGGTATTCCACGTAGACTCTCTTCAAGTATACGCTGTATAATCGCCTCCTCTTCCAGCTTTGTAAGGCGCTTTGATTTTGGCTTGCAGTCGCGTTGAGGGCGTCGTCCAGCGCGTTAGTCTCAGATCGTTGTTCGTGGGATGTTATAGACTGCTGCAGCGCATCTTTCGCTCTGTATCTGCTTAGACTCAATATTAGAGATAGCAATAAATATATCTCCTTCAGTATAGGTCTTTCGCATGTTGCGTTGTTGTGGCATTACGCGTTGTTGCTGCGCAGGCGGGGCGCGGGTGTTTAGTGGGCGACTCACTTGGGTGGGCGACTCGCTTGTGAACCACGTTATATTACTTATATTAATAAGAAAGCATTCTTAGCTACCTTTAATTAGGTGTTTAATAAGGCGTTTTTATCTAATAATATCTAATTAAGCTTCTAAGCAATAGGCTTAGTTCTAGACAACCTAGAGGTAGTGCTATTAAAGCTTAAAGTAAAGCCTTGTACGCTAATACTACCTTTACTAGGGCCTACTACCTAGCAACCTAGAACACTAAGTAATACTGCTAAAATATTAGCTTAATTAACACTAATATCTGACTAGATTAGGCAGCACCACAGTTTATCTCTAGCTTTAATTATTAAGATAGTGCAGCAGTTTAAAAAGGGAGCTAATATAATAGTGCATTCCTAGGTGCTTATAGCAGCTAAGATAGTTAAGCTTTAAGCAGCAAATAAAGCTACTTCTAAGCGTAAAGCACGTAAAAGGAGGCAGATCTAGTATAGAGGAACCCTATTATAGCAAGAGGCAGAGGAAATAATAGCTGCACAAGAGGTGGTGGTGCAGGCAGAGGCAGAGAGGCGTGAGGAGAGGGTGCGAACAGGTGGTAGTAGAGAGGGTTCTTAACACTGTGGGAGGTGTGGTCAGGCTGGGCACAATAAGCGCACATGTAAGCAAGATACTGTAGACAGAGTGGATTAATTTGACGTACTGTGAGCCACAGCACGACGTTGTGGTGTTGAGTTATCTGCGTGTCAAGGTGGGTGGCTGCATAAGGTGGCCGGCTCAATTGCCTGGCCGACTCAATGGCCGATTACGTTATAAAGCTTAAGTTCCTGCTATGCTTTAAAGTAGCCTATAATGCTGTATTTACCTTAAGCAACATCTAAGGAGGGTTCTAAGTGTAACAACGCTCTACGAACAGTGACCCAATACCACTAGGATACGGTTCCAGCAACTTATGACCATGGCCCTTGTTACATAGCATAAGGTCGCACTAAACTGCCTCTAAACCTCCCTATATAAGGAGCCAGGAACTGCAGCATTGTAGAGTAGTTTTTCTGTATCCTTTTGTACAAGACCTATAGGTGTAGAGAATATATCCTAGTGTTCTTATCATCCTAGCACTCCCATATGCCTCGTAGCGGATTCACACCTATTCTGGATATCTCTCTTCTTGCCTGCGTCGTTACAACTATTGCTGTGCCTTAACCTTAGTCTCGCGATCAAAGACTGCTTACAACCATGCAAGCCCTAGATTATTGCTAGTCTATCTATTTAGTAGTAACATAAAAAAAGCTTAGTGCTGTTCTGTGTTAAGATCCTGCAACTAGGTGTCTTGTATGTTGCCACTTACTGCCTGATAGATTAGTGCAGGAGTGAGTGCGCCGTCATCAGCACACACACACGAGCCAGCAGCGTTATCTATTCACAGTTGCTATCTTGGAGTGAGCTTCTTAGCTTGCCTGCCTCATAACAACGCCTAGAGAAGATAAGCGGAGATCAGAGTTGCGAAGCCCATGGGTAGAGTTCCAAGGAATAGGGAATTGGTGCTGTCAGCGATCATGGCGGTCCATATCTCATGGTAGAGCGTGTATTGCACGACTGAAATAAGGAGGGCGCAAGTGAATAGGACAGCGTTGAGTCCAAGGAAGATAACTGCAAGCCAGTACAGCCATGGGGCCTTGAACGGGATTGCAGCAAACAACAGCGACACGATTCCAGTGCCCATTGTTACACTAAACCATGAGGGACAAAAGTTCCTCACTATCCTGCGCCAGCCGACCGGTCCAGTGTCAGAGTTTCACATGGTGTGTTAAGAGTGCAGATGCATACGTCGTGTTTTGTGAGACGTGAGTCTGCGGCTGCTCTCTTCTGAATCTCTCCTGAAAGCTTCTCAGGCAGTTCAACATAGCCGTTAGGTCGTTGCCGGCCAGGTGGAACGCGTTGTGCTGCTGACACACTCTGTGCAGGGTTGTCAGACCCAATGCACTCCAGCTCGTAGTCATCCATGATTGTTATTGCAGCAAATGGCCAATTCACGCATGTCAAGCGCGACCATGAGGGGTGAAACAGTCATCGCAGGCTGTAAATATCCAGTCCAAGATGCCGACGATGTTTGCGGAGAAGAGTCCGACATTTGCCGCTCCATTCAAGGTGAACACCACGTGATGAGTGTCATGATTGGGCGAGATCGGCAGGCCAGCCTCACTTTCCGGCCCCACCCGTCTCAGACAGCTCAACCTTCAGCCTGCTCGACAAGCAAGCAGACTTTACTCTACAACTGCCCTTCATAGACCTTCCATGGACCTCCTACAACACATTGTATTGTTGCGCATACGTCCCACGGGCCTAGGGAACACCGGTTCCTGCCAATCGCCTGGCTTTGTGCCCTGATCCCCGCACCAGATCCTTCAGGCCCTGAAAAGCAACCGGGCCTTTATCGATCCATCAGATAGGTCTGGTACAACATGACTGGCTTCCTGGACCTGCCTCTCGAACTCAGAAACTATGTGTACGACATGCTCCTCCACGAGGATCTTAAGCCGTCTTTTCGCGGGGTGATGGTGGTGTGCGAAGCCTACGTCAAGCGCGATTTACCTTTGAAATCGTACCGCGGCCTCCTCCTTGTATGCCACCAACTGTATCAGGAATTCAAGACAGCGATTCAACATTTTGCTGCCTCCAAACAGCTCATCTACGAACTGGACATTACTTTCTCTCACGGCCGTCCGTATTTCTCATTGACATGGAAGCGCTTCCTCGCGCTCTCGCCAATCATCAACCACCTTCTGATCAATGTGGACTTGCGCATCCAGGAGCCATTGGGCGCTTCCGAGCACATCCCGCATGACCAGGAGCTAGCAAATCTCATAGAAGATCGACCCAAATCTTTCGCCGTACAGCTGTTCGACTACATAGCCATCCTTTTGAAGTCGCTGTTCGACCTGCTTCTCTCAGGGAACCCGAATGCATCCATCCTTTACACGGAGTCTATGACTCTGAACTTGCACACGCCGACGCGCTTAACACTTTCTGGAGGAAGTCATCACAATCCGCATGGATGCTCCCGCAGGATTCCGGTGGACAAGGATGAAGCTGCTAAGCTATGGGAGACGATGCGCAATACGCTGCAAGCAACGAGTAAAGACTTCCAGGCATTCGAAGCGAGGAAATGTGAGGATCTATTTCCGCGAATCCAAATCGGGTGTTTGCGGTTTGCAACCGAGGGTCGCGTCTGGGGTGAAGGGCATAACTTGATCCTTGCCGAAAGGGACTTTATGTGGCTGAAATATTAAGACGCATTAGCGGTATACGATGAATGAAGATGACGACAAACACGGCCGATGAACATAAGCGTTGACAGCATTTATGGCGTTTGGATATTTGGCGTAGCATAGCGCAGCACACATAACGATACTTTGGATCGATCTAGCTATTAGCACAAAGCAAGAGATCTTGTGGGGTCAAGAATTGAAAGACAATGTGATTACAGCAAACGAGAATCACTTGTACAAGCAGCTACCAACTGACTCCGACAAACATACGGGCTACTATCTGAGACATTCCAAGCCATCCACCATCGTTAACTCCTACGTTGCAACCAGCATAGCTCTTCTACTGACCCTACACCGCGAATTCCTCTTGTCTGTTCTATGCAGCGCAGACCTCAAGTGTCAGACCAGTCTCTCCAAAGTAGGCTAAAGTGTGGTTCGGCTGCGGCGCACCATCCCACTCGATAGTCGGAACATCCTTATCCTTATCGCCCTTGACTGTAAGTTTGCGGCCCGAGAAGTCAAAGCCATAAGCAGTACTGAGATCATAGTAGAGGCTCTGGCCCTTGTTGTACGTGTAGCTGAGGTGCAGCGTGGGCATCGCGGTCCAGAGAGCAGCGGCGGTGCGGCCGATCTTGATCGCAGTGCCGATGCCTTGGAAGTACTCCTCTTCGGCCCAGAGGGTGTCGGGCTGAACCTTGGTTGTGTTGCCGGCAGTTTGGCCCACGGAGGTGACAAAGATGTCGAAGTCGCAGTTGTTGTGGACGATGATGGAGGGTGTGGCGAGGGTGGTGGCTGCAAGAGCGAGGCCGCTGAAGATGGTGGAGAAGTGCATGTTGACTGCCGCTGTGTGTATGGGAAACCTATGTGTTCTGAGAGTGTGAAAAGTCTTGAGGATGTTGGAAGCTGATGCTGTGTACTCAGAGCAGTGCAGTGGTCCTTATCTTATATCCATCAGAAAGCGACTTCGTCAATACTCAAGTCTTGGTAATCTTCGTGGTATGGCCACATCGCAAAGCCAATGAATATTGGCAATGCTCTGTACTCAGGCACCGCCTCATGCAAGGTACCGCAAGTCTCCTATCACAGGTCCACGATGATGGTGCCGTTCTGTCCGGCCACAGTATTCTCCACTGGAAAGTTCAGGATCAACTTGCGAATGCGATGATAGCCAAGAGATGAACAAGGCAAGGTTGAGCTGTGAGTGTGCGGTGTGATACAAAAATGCCCGTTATGATGATGTTGTGGTACCAGGGGCGCGATGCAGGTACAAACGCAGGTACGAGTTAAAGGTCGTACCCGTGAAGCTGGCTGTTTGTGGATCGAAGGTGGCAGATATTCTCTGGTCTGTGACTCATGCATGTCAGATGAGAAGTGCATAAGGAAACAAATCACATGTACTAAAAATCTGATTAGATCAGAAGACCGGACACTGATGTTGCTAGATCTTACGCGCCAATGTTGCTGTGAAAGAGAATGCGTAAACCATGGCACAAAAGTTCTTGGACGAGACCTGTCAACTGTCAAAAAATAGGTGACTGTGTATGGCCCGTTGCAGCATCAACGATCACAGGGTAATTACAAAGGGGCAGGCCCACAGGTGTGTAGCGATCAAACTTTGCATCATGCTCAGGGACCTCGAGAAGACGTTGTAAAAGGCCTCAATGACAGGTGGCCTAGACTGCGTGGTCGCCGGCATCGCGCACGCTCTTGAAAGGCGGAAGGAACGTGAGGTCCCTTGTTACTGGAGTGAGGGATACATTCGCTGTATAGGGATAGTTAGTGTGAGGAGCAAGGGCCATGATTAGACGCATTGTCGTTAAACAAGGCGGCCCTCACACGTGAGCTTCAGTAACACAAAATTATCCGCCGCGGCTGGTGGTGGACGAAGCCGTATCAGATTCGGCTCAAGCTCCGGGAAACAAAAGTGCGGCGGCTTAAGATGAACGACCTCGGCTTGTATTCCCCACGTTCCCTGAGACCAGCTCCGCGTGAGCGGGCGGAACAACTCCGCCATGTGACAGTTACTCTTCGACTCGCTAGAGCCTTTTTCTTTGCGACTACTCTGACATTCAGTGAATTACCTCCTTGCCGAAGCTATGTCATCATCCGCCCTCCGCACATCTATGAGAATGGCCTCGCGGCCGCAGCAGCGCCTGGCCAGCATTCAGAGGCAATTCAGCGCCTCGTCACAACAGAAGAAGGAGGTCAGAGATGCGTACATCATAAGCGCCAGTCGAACACCAACTGCAGTGGTACGGACGATCTGATCACATTATTGTGAAAGTCTGCTGACCATACAACAGTTCAATGGCAACTTCACCACTGTCTCGGCCACCCGGCTCGGTGCCACGGCGATCAAGTCCGCCCTCGAGAAGTCGAAAGTCCCAGTCTCTTCCATCGATGCCGTATACATGGGCAACGTGCTGTCAGCAGGCGTTGGACAGGCGCCAGCACGACAGGCCGCTATCTTCGCCGGCCTGCCCACCAGCGTTGAGGCCACCACCATCAACAAAGTGTGCGCTTCTGGACTGAAGGCTGTCAGCATCGCCGCCTCGACCATTGAATTGGGACAGGCTGAAGCACAGGTTGCTGGTGGCATGGAGAATATGACCCGCGTACCATACTACCTCAACCGCGCCAGTCAGCAGCCCGCCTTTGGACATCAAAAGGTGCAAGATGGGCTGATCGCCGACGGTCTCTGGGACGTCTACAACCAGATCCACATGGGTAACTGCGCAGAGAAGACGGCAAAAGACCACAGCATCTCGCGCAAAGAGCAAGACGACTATGCCATCCTCACGTACAAGCGTGCCCAGCAAGCCTACAAGGACGGCCTCTTCAAGGACGAGATCGTGCCTGTGACGATCAAATCGAAGAAGGGCGACATTGTCATCTCAGAGGATGAGCAGTACAACAAGCTCAAGCTCGAGAAGGTTGCCACACTGAAGCCTGCTTTCTCAAAAGAAGCAGATGCCTCGGTCACCGCGGCAAACAGCTCGCCCCTCAGCGACGGCGCATCCGCCCTCGTCCTGGGAAGCAAGGAGATCGCGCAGAAGTATGGCAAGGGCAGCCGCGTGCTCGCCAAAATCGTCACTTACTGCGATGCCTCGGTCGACCCCATCGATTTCCCCATCGCTCCTGCCTCCGTAGTCGAGAAGCTGCTGAAGCAGTCTGGTCTAAGCAAGGATGACATTTCGATCTGGGAGTTCAACGAAGCCTTCGCTGCTGTTATCAAGGCGAATGCTAAGATTCTCGGCCTGAAGGAGGACAACGTCAACCCTAGGGGTGGTGCTATTGCGCTGGGTCACGCCCTGGGAAGTTCCGGAAGCAGGATCTTGGTTACACTGCTGCATCAGTTGGAGGTTGGGCAGTACGGTGCTGCAGCGATCTGCAACGGCGGTGGCGCGTCGAGCGGTATTATCGTCCAGAGGGTCAGCCCCGATCAGTTGTAGATGTTCGAAGCGAGCAGGTCAGCAACGTGGTCAAATCGTATACCCAACCAAGGTCATTAGCGCAGTCCAACCAAGCGTTATCATGTGAAGAGTCGCTTGGGCTCGGGTGCTCTGGAAATGTTTTGACCCGCAGTCTAGATGTAGTCATGCAGCATCACATTGTCAGGGATCACGCTGCTTAGGTTGTTGAAGGGGTATAATGCAATTCATCCATTCATGAATCCATGAAATTTATTTTAGCAGCCCTGAACGACCATTGTCGTGAGCTCAAGCAAAGCTGCACAACGCAGAACATGCTTTTCCATGCACGCCGGTCGATAAGCTTAAAAAATTCGACCAGACGTCCCAGACACCATGCAACGCCCTGAGCGCTACATTTACCTGTAGCGCCAGAGAGAGAGGGTGTTGTGCCTCTTCCAGGTCTTCCTGCGACCAGCGGTGGTGTTGTTGTACTTGTGACCACGGCCGAGACCACGGCTCTTCTTGCCGGTGGCGGTGAGACCACGAGACTCGCGGTGCTTGTGGACGGGGTTCGCGATCCAGTTGATGCGGGCATCGCGGCGGATGGCCTTGTGCTGAGGGTCGACCAGGATGACCTCGTAGTACTTGTAGGTCGAGTCCTGGTTGATCCAGTAGGAGTTGAGGACGCGGAGGTTGGCGCAGCGGCGACCGACACGCTCCTCAGCGGTGGACTTGAGGGAGCGCTGGTACTTGAGCTGGTTGATACCCTGGTTAGTGGGCTTGCCTGTTTATGCATTAGTATTCTGAGTGTGCGATATTCGTTCGTCAAGCGAAGCATACCGTAAGTGGCGCCCCTGAAGTTTGCTGTTAGCACTGCCATATCCTAGACCTTCTGCGAGTGTACGTACTTGGGAGCGGGCCTCTTGCGGCCACCGCGGCGGACACGGACGCGGTAGATAACGTAGCCCTGCTTGGCCTTGTACCCAAGACGGCGGGCCTTGTCGGGGCGCGAGGGGCGGCTGGCGCGGTGGATGACCTTCAGTTGGCGAAGCTATCGATGCACTCTCAGCTAATGTTCAACGAGTACACCAATTGAGACTGGGCGTCTCATTAAAGGGCTTTCATACCTCCCAGCACTGCATCAATGTTAGCAGAGTCCTCACATCTTCCTCAAACGTTTATACGTACGCGAACGCGCATCAAGAAGCGCATCATGTCCGACTGCTTCTTCTTCTGAAGTTCCTCGACATACTTAAGGGCACCCATCTGCGCGACTGTTAGTATCGCGTGTGCGATGGTTTCGATCGTTCGTTTCGCTGTTCATTCGATTGATCTCTGCGATTCTTCGGGAGACTCACTTTGTCTGGTCCTGGTGTTAGTACTAGGGTCGTTGACTGGAGGTTGGGAGGCGCAAATTCGAAGAGATCCAATTTCGCACACTCGCTTAGCAGGTGGGCGGAAGGCACTAGGGAGCACTCTTGGCAAGAGCGACCCACTTGAGGACAAAGTTGCTCGCGCTAAGGAAAGCACCTGGTAACAGCACCAACGCCAACACCAACACCAACGAAACTATCGCACATATTTGGCAGTTCCTCAGCAGAGCTTCTGTCCAGTCGGATTAAGGCTCTTGTCTTCGAGACTGCATTGCAGCAGTATACACCATCTGGAGAGCTCTTCGCGTCATTGAACAACTTGCGGAGCCGAGCTATGAGTGTTCAAGAAAATGAAGACAAACCAGAACAATACTTCTCCGGCTTGTCTTCCCCCTTTTATTTTTCCAATACCATAAGTGCATCACACTATGCGCCGAACCACAACTTAACAGTCTCTATGCTGCCCCGCCCTCGGAACTTGCGCGAAATGAGCGCAGCCGGCTTCTGTGTTGTCCAACAATTCTGGCGACATATCCATAATTTTGTTCTTCTACTGTGTTCTAAGAGTCACGAGTGCCACCGGATCAAGAGACATGACTCTGGCTAGGTGACTGACAGTGCGTTACAATATCTTCGCCAACGCCCACGCATTCCTGTAAAGATGACGGAAATTTTCATTGGGCTTTAGACATGAGCGCGTTGCAGAAAACAAGATCCACAAACCAATGTTTGCTGAGCAGCACTTTCTGAAATGCTGGTTGGCACTCTTCCGCGGTATCAGTCACTGGATAGTTCTCGTCCTCGCTCTACAGGCCTGGAAATGACACAAAATCATCGCGACGTTGGGAAAAGCGTCAGCAGATATGCCCAGGTACCTCTGCTCAAAAGACCCTAGAGACGGCCGCAACAGACCTACAGTAGAACCTCCCTCTGCCTCTACCATCCGTTCTGTCTCCAAAGTCGTGAATATTGACGCCGGTGACTCCGAGTAGAAGAACGTCAGCGACGCATGATTTTTAACACGCTTCAGCTGTGTGCTTCAATGACCATCATGTACCAATGAACATATCGAAACAACTACATTGGGATCACATGTGAGGACGCTGCCAAAAAGGATAAATGCAAAAGGATATTGTCTGTGAAAAGCTTCTGCCAAAACCGAAAAAAACGACCTCATGCGCGCGAGCAAGCAGCCTATGGCTGCTACGGCGACTGTATGCCTGTGGGAAAACTTCGCTGAAAATCAACGTGGTAAGGCATAATGTGCGCGCCACAATTCTTCTGCGAACCGTGCTACGATTGGCTTCGCAGTCTTCCTCTGGCTTTCAGCAAATCAAGACCTATCGAATGTATTTGCCAAATTTCGCTGTCGAAAGTGCACGATGCGCGGTCATGTGAAATGTTTGGAACATGCATATTTATGCCTTCTTTCTATACTTCGACCAAAATCTCATGCAACAACGGCACTGGCCTCCTCCTCCGTCTGCTCCTCGGCCTTCCCACCCAGGCTACTCTTCTTGTACACACCCTCCAACATCGTTCTGATCTCCTGCAGAAACCTTGTGCACTCATCCTCTGTGCCGACTGTAATTCTCAAGCACCCTTCACACCCGTGTTCTTTCCCTCTAAATCTGACCACGACACCCTTCTCCTCGGCCAATCCCTCGTATACCGCTAGTGCGACTTCATTGCTGGTTTTGCCGTTCGGCTTGTCCAGCATTTGATATAGCAAGAAGTTACTCTCCGTCCCACCGTGCAGTTGCCCAATGCCGGGGATCTTGGGCAATTCTTCGATCAACCTCTCCCTTTGCTTGACAATCAGATCCTTGTTTTTTGTCATGACGCCGAGATGCTTCGGGCTCAACGCAGCCTGGGCAAGCTGAGATGTGGGGTTCGAGACGTTGTAAGGCGCCTTCATGTTGTTGAGGATCTGTGCGATCGCCGGATCTGCAAAGGCTGCGCCCAACCTAATGCCAGCAAGACCGAAGGCCTTGGATAGTGTCTGCATAACGACCAGGTTCGGCCATTCGGTGACCCACTCTGCCATCGATGCACCCTCTGGCGCAAAGTCGATGTATGCCTCATCCAAGACGACTACACCGTTCCAGTTTGTCTCGAGTATGGCCTGCACATGCTTCTTCTTTAACAGCTTTCCTGTAGGGTTACCAGGCGAGCAGAGGTACGCGAGCTTTATGCTAGGGTCGGAGGCGAGGGCTTTCTCTATGGCGGGGACGTCGAGATCGAAGCTGGGCAGCTGTAGTGGGACTTTGACGAGTGAGACGTCGTTGACTTGCGCCGAGACGCTGTACATGCCGTACGTGGGAGGGCATGTCAGGATCTTATCCTTGCCAGGGGCGCAGAAGGCGCGGATGAGCGCGTCGATGGCTTCGTCAGAGCCAACACCGACGAACAGGTGCTCCGGGCCGATGTTCTTCGATGTGTGGGTGTGGGTGTTACGGAGATTGCAAAGCAGCTGCTTGAGATCTGCTTGGTGGCTGTGTCTATAGTGAGCATAGATTTCAGTATAGCAGTCGGCTTGCGTACGGGTCTGGGTAGCGATTGAGACCAAGCAAGTCTATGTCAATTGGCGCTGATGCGCCGCATGTGCCATTAAGATTTCCCTCTCCATTCAGCGCCAGACCAGGACCGTATGCATTCTCATTGGCGTCAAGGAGGATGTTTGTACCGTCATCCTTGTAGTCACTGGCATTGTAAGCATTTGTTCTGCCCATCAATACAAGAGCATCACCTACTCGCGCGCACAACGGTACGGCTCCAATGCGAGGATGTTGGGTCGTGCGCATGTCTGCAGATCGAATGCCGTGTTATTGGGTGCCATTGCGAGTGGATGGGAGTGCAGACGCGTTATGATGTCGACGAGAGGTGCTGGCGGGACTTTTTGAATGAGTACCGCGGGGCTGCGGCGATGTCGGGAGTCATTACGACTCCAGCATCTTACCACCGCCGCCACGATGACTCCACGAAGGACTTGATATCACCGCAATGTCGATTTATGATGCACTTGCTTGGAAAGGCATGTCAAGCCTTGACGATGTTGATGAAGTGACAAATGGTCGATGCGGTGAGGTATTTTGGTACGGTAAACCTGACACGCACGGGCAGGAACGATCGAGAGAAGGAAGAAGGGATGCAACATCAATTCACTGAACAGAAACGCTGCGCTGGAAAGTCAAATATATCTTCTCAAGCCAGAGCACCCATAGGATCCCAAAGCTCGAGCATCTTCGGCTTCTGCTCCAACACCTTCTTCACGGTCGTGCTGACCACGCTGGGGTCCACGACCGCTTGGTACACGAACTCGTCCATCCACTTGTCGCTCATGACGAAGTACCCCTTGTCACCCACTCGATCGCTCCACGAGTTTTCCACCCTCCAACGTACCGGCTTGCCATCAACAACATGCACCGCCGTTAGCACCATTGCGTGCGTCATCTGGCTTTCACCAGTCTGGAGGCGCTCCGCCTTTGACATGCCCAGCTTGATGTTGAATCCGAGCTCGTACTCGAAGAGATCTGTGTCCATGATGCCCTTGGTCGAGTCCGAGTATTTGCCAACGTCTGAACCGAAGAAGACGGGCATGCCCTTCTTAAGCATCGCAATGCAGGCGTCCTTGATAGTCTTCATGTTCGTGTTCACGTAGGTCACCGGCCGCCCTTCCCAAACATTGCCGAGACGTTCCACGCTGAGGAGGCGATTGTAGGGGTTGCGAGGGTCATTGACGAGGGAAAAGAGCTGGTGCACATCCGTGCCCGACAGGGCGCGTACAGTCCTCGGGTCGTTAAGTTCCTTAGCGAAGGCGGTCGGACAGGCCTTGACGGTCTGAAAGTTGCCTTCGCGGTCGTGGAACTCCCATGTGAACGCTTTGTCTGGTGCTGGGGGAGGACCGAGCATCAGGGTAAGGATGAGATGGATCTCGCGCATCATTGTAGCCTTCTCGGCTGCTATGCTAGCCTTGATAGCATCGGATGTGGCATTACTGGTGGCGATAGAGCGCAGTCTGACAGCATCCTCGCGCAGCTTCGTGGTGATGAGGTTGTCCATCACTCTTGAGTTGCTGGCATTAAACGAATCTGGGTAGAGGCTGTGAGGGACCAGCCCATACTTATCCACCAGGTTGGCGACCATATCCCACTGTCCACCGTCTCCAACTGGGCTTGCCAACAAGGCCTGTACTAGACGGCTGTCGATACTCTCAGATGTTGTCTCCAGAATGTTCTCGAGGAAGTAGTTCGCTTTCTCCATTTTATCCCAGAAAAATAGATATCCCTGCGAAAGCTGGAAGCTATCGAGCTTGTGTCTCTTCATGATGGCGATACGGAATATATTCGTAGAAGCAAACAGCCAGCACCGTCCTGAAGAAGCTTGGTTCGTGATGGGTGAGCCTTCAGTAGGGATTTTGATGCTGAATTGATGCGTGTCTGCAATGGTAGCTGCGCGGGAGGAGAGGATGGCTGTGGCTGGATTCGAGCTCAGAGCCAGAAGAGCGAGTCGGTTCTAGAAGGCTGTCAGCTATGCCAGTATTGCAAGAATTACTCGTCAAACCTTAGGATCCTCCATGATCTCCTTCTCCCATTTCTCGGCGTCTTTAGTGGAGATTGTCTTCACCTGTCTCGACAGCGGTGTATATCTAGGAGCTACAATAAAGTCAGGGTGTCTTCTGCGAGCCTCGACTTCGAGACGTACGAGCTTCTCCAGCGATGTGTATGAACCCATCTTTCTCGCTCGTAGCTCTCTCCTCGTTCATGTGCATGGCCTGGAGCCTCTCCCTCAACTTCTCGTTGACAGCAGCATCGGACGGTCTCGAATGATTGGCACCCATGATGCGGACTATGTCAATGGTTACAGAAAAGTTCAAGAACAAAAGAGCTTCGAGTATAGATAGCGAGTGTGTGTGGGTACCATGATGGTCGCATGCTTATCGCTATCGCGGGAAGCTATGGCGCGTGGCAGGGAGTGCCCCGCATGTGATGCATCTGATGGCTGGGCGCACCTTCCCCATGCTGCTGGTCATGCGGCAGACGATAAGCCACTTGACTGCGATGGGGTTGCACAACAGGCCCGACCATGACTTCCTAGGATAGGTGAGGGACGGGGTAGACGAGACGATGTCGGTGTGTCAAGAGCAACAAGCGGAAGACCCCAACCCTGACCGCATCTCCCGTCTGTCTCCTGCCGGATCTTTTATAATGTAGATATGAGATATAAATTTAGCTAATTCTTCATCAAATCGAATGACACGGTTTACCGGCCCGATGGCGCAATGGTAGCGCGTCAGATTCCAGTTAAGGTGTCTCCTGAAGGTTAGGCGTTCAAATCGCCTTCGGGTCATTCAGTTTTGCACTTTTTTGCTGCCTCGTTGCTCGCGTGCCTCCTGACAAGATGTCAAGGCCGGCAACGGCCCGCTTTTTGCTCTCTCGTTGACCGACATGTTTCAGCCACACAGCCATCCGCTGATCGTGCTTTAGGCGTCCCGCTCTCCGTAACCGCTCACAATGTCTGGCGCATGCTTCGACAACGCTTTGCGTCTCTACCATTCGTGTCACGCCTTGCTTAGAGCAACCGGTTGTCACAAACTCCCTTCGTTTGACTGCCTTGCATAATGGACATTGTGATCTATAAGCGCGACACAAACAGCAAAAGACTGCGCCACGCTTGGCTGCTAACCTGGGAAATGAGGATGCTCTGCGCCAGGCGCCAACCCACCCACACAGCCAGCCTTGGACGCCTTCTCCTGATCCCTGCTCACTGATCTGCCAAATGCACAGAGTCTGCTCAACATGCTGATATATTATAAGCTCGCAGTCGCCTGATCACTTCGACTGCTTGCACTCCACCTACTCACCTCCCACCTCTCACAATCGTAGACCATATCCACGATGGCGAACCAATCTGGACTATGGCAGAAGCGCGTGCTTGTGCCGTTCTGGATCGTGCGAATCTGCATCATGCTGTTTCTTATTGGAGTTTACGCATATGCGCTCCGAGCAGTTGATGGTCTCGGGCAGCTCGCAAAGCCGGCTATTGCGTAAGAATTAATTCTTCGGAACAGCATAGTTATACTCACAATTTGCAGGAGCATTATAGTCTTCCTGCTCTTCATCGTCATCTGCCTACTCATCGACATCCTTGCTATCGTGCTGTTCATGCGCGACGCGCTGAAGCCCGGGACATTCCTGACCATGAATTGTTTCCAGACCGGTTTCTTTGGGGGTATCTTAATCATGGATCTTGTAGCTGTTGTGAAAGGAACTAGCTCGGCTGGCATTGGATTCAGCGTCTTTATCTTGTAAGCACATACAATACACGTAATGCAAGTTACTGACTCGCTTCAGCTTTTCCTTCCTAAGCCTCCTCATCTACTCGGCGGTCGGCTACCACCGCGCGAAGAAGCAAGCCCAGCGAGGCAACTATGCTGCAGCACATAACCCAGCCATGTACAATCCCGCTGTACCCACCGCATACCCCCCGCAGTATCAGGTTCCTTCGCCTTATCAAGAGACTGCAAATCACGGGCAGAAAGCTGCGCCCATCGAGCTTCAGCACGATCAATACCTGCCACCATACCAGGCGCATGACGCAACAACCGACTATCACAATCAGCAACCGCTAAAACCAGCGCACATGGCCTAACTGCAATAGTCACACAGATCTGACAAATGACCACATCTTAATTCCTCCACCTATATTTCGTTCCTGCATCAAGAGGCAACGATGTCTGCGGCGATGACAGTCCCAGCGTCTAGTGTCGTCTCCTGCGAGCAACTTAAGCGATATTGGATCTCTTCACATGTGCCTTCGACCAAGCACCTGATTGGGCCTGTAAGGTATCCATCCGATCTGAGCAACGGGCCGTTGTAAAAAGTTAACACTCCATGTCCGGGACGTCGACAGTTGGGGAATTGCTCGGCATGATATGCAGTGAATGTCTGCAGAGCCTCAATGCTCACATGCCAACGTCTAGTCAAAGCGCAGGCCCGTTCGAGGAATCGAGACGCTTCAAAGACGCACGTGTAAAGGTGGTAAAGGTGCTTCGGGATGCCTGCCAGGAAAGTCGCCGCCGCCGAGGCGCGATTGGCCATGCTAAATAACGCGCCCCTTCGCTTCGGACATCACCAACCATTCACAGCCTCAAATCCGCTTCTAGCCGCGACTACAATTTATATCGCGCTCAATCAAACAACGATGTGCAGCACGTTCAGCTAGGCGTGCGCTCTTTGCTGTGCAGTAAGCTCAAATGGCATATCGCGTCTGCGGGGTTGGAGTAGGATTCTAGTATGAGCTAGCTAGTACGCATGTTTTACAGTTGCCTATAGACATTGACATCGGCCCATCTTGTGAGGTAGCAGGCAAGCGCGCAGTTTTCGCTCTCAAAAGTCCAGCTTCACTCCTCGACCGTCGTCCCCTCCCTCAGTTCATTCGCTGCAAGATGCGTTGCTCTCTCCTTGTCGCCACGATTCTACCTCTTGCTCAGGGAATCCGCATTATCCAGAGCAACGACGATGGTTGGGCCGAAATTAACATCAGGACCTTCTTCAACACTTTGAACGCTGCTGGTCACCAGGTAGTACTGAGTAGTCCAGCTGAGAACCAGTCTGGCTCAGGTACGGCAATAACATCATCACTGGCCAAAGAACCACATTGACAATGACAGGTTCTTCTGATGCTACCCCGGAGACCGTGAACTCTGATGGTTGCGAATTTTCCTCCTGCCCTGGTGGAAGCCCAGCGACCGGTGCTAATGCCACCGACCGGCGCTTGAACTACGTCAATTCCTACCCCGTCACTGCCATCAAGACTGGCATTTCGACTAGCGCGCCCAAGCTCTGGAATGGAGCTGCTCCTGAACTCGCCCTCACAGGCCCTAACGTTGGCAGCAACGTCGATGTCCAAGTTCCCTTCTCCGGAACCGTCGGAGCAGCGGTCTACGCTGCAAAGACCGCAAAGATCCCAGCAATCGCCTTCTCTGGCTCGAGTGGCAACCCAACAGCATGGAACCAGCCCACTCCACTGTACAGTAGTGTCTACGCCGACCTTGCTCTCAATATCACATCCACCATCATCAGCTCCGGAAAGCCATACCTGCCCGACAACACCTGGCTCAACGTTAACTTCCCGGCTGTATCCAGCACTAAGTGCAACAACGTCAACCAGTTCAAGTTTATCTTCACTCGCATCCACAGTGGTCTCATTGGTAGTGCTGCCGATATCACCGTTTGTGGAACTACCGCGAGGCTGCCGTGGGAGGCAGATGTTGCTGTTCTCCGGGCTAGCGACTGCTATGTCTCCATCTCGCCTGGTGACGCGAATGATAAGACGACCGCTCCCGCTGCTCAGCAGCAGATCATCTACGATAAGCTGAAGCCAATTCTGTCGTGCTTGTCGTAGGCGCGAGTCGAGTGGCTAAGGGTCAGCCTCTAATAATGTAAACCACACAAGTTCATTGTGCTGACTCGGGATCTCGCTGCTTTCCGACATCTTCATCCATGTAACTCTCACAATAAAAGGGCTTGCATTTGTTACAACTTAGTGCAATAAAATCAGAACTACAAGCAGGCCTAGCATGAAATCCAGACGAGCGCAAGATGTTTGATGTACAAGATGACTGTACAGTATCCCATCTCATGGTTTCTCTCCTGACGTATTTCCTGATAGCCTCCAGGTCCTGCTGTGCTTTAAAAAGCCAGGGGAAGCTGCAAGGGTCCGCATACGACCCTCCTAGTCATCTCGAGAGGTGAAGATGTGCGTATTTAGAAATCGATCAGATCATACACGATGTTGCCGAATCCCGGCACGTAACCTATACCGCCTCCGCTGGTAGCGTTTCTGGGCCAACCAGAACTGCTTGCCACCTCCCCAGCAACAGTATTGGTCTCGTTGCTGACAGTGACCGCTGCGTTACCTGCTGGGGATACCTACATATGCAGCTTGTAGTCAATACCATGGAGGTCTTTTAGGATGAGACACTTCGAAGTCTTTCTATCCGGCTCCCAGGCACTCTCGTCGCTAATATACATGGCCCTGACGGCAGTCCAGGCGCCAGCAATACCTATTCTTGTTGTGATTGCATGGGCCGTACTTGGTTGCGAGCTCAAAGACTCAACGTATATTTTAATCAACTAGACCAACACTTTACGTCTGAGCAAGCTTTCTGGAGGTGGAATGCGTTGCAGATCTTCTTAACCCTGCGTCGATTCGTGTATCGGCCCCACTGAGATTGGTTAGGTGGAGGCAGGTACACATCGAGGCGCTGACCAGTGGCGTTCACAGGGATCAAGCCATCCATGTCAGATCTGGGTAGATCGGTTGGGTTTGGGGACGTCATTCCTTGTGCATCACCGGTCTTGTTGGACATGAAGATGATAGAGGGTTGTTCGAAAACCTTTGAGTATTTGTACGTGCACTTTCTGCGGCTAGAATTGTCCTACATGCAGTTTTAGCAATGTGAAGAGGATATCGGATATGTATCTTAAAGCTTACCGTTTGGAATTCCAAGCATACGCCAGATACTTTGATCTTTGCAGCTAGGTCGCTGGAGTCATCACCTGTGGAGAGTCTTTCATAGAAGACGCGGAAGACTGATAGAAAGATGAGTCTTGATACGCAACCTCTCTAAGTCATAATCAAGAGCATCGCGCTTTATGTACGATATCCTGTTCCGAGTAGTTTGGTCCTCGAAAGCTGCAGTGGAGTGAAAAGGGTAGCAAGCGCCTACGAAGACCTGCTGGCATTGTGTGTCATTGAGGCACGAATGCAATGTTTCTACGTCTTGATTAGTATCCAGCTCTGTTATGGAAATTTCAGGTGTTTCCTGACTATTCTTTAAAGGATCAAACTCACGCTAAAACGCATGATGCTTCTCCAGAAGCTTAGGGTAAGCTTCGCGAGTTTTTTCAGCCTCCTGTGCGAGTTCAAGCCCAGCTCTCTGTGCATACGTTAGCATATAGCGTTAGGGTTTGGCGGAGTTGCCATGTACCGTGATAGCTCTCATGATTCCATTGGCATTGATGCTGAGCCCATGTAAGCACGCGGCGGGCGTACCACCCGTCATATTGACTAGTCGTCACTGCCTGTGAGAGGAGAGACCGTATGGTTAGCGAAAACAAAGGCAGAACGAGAGTGCGCCGGGTAAAGAAAATAATTGCGCAACTGCGAGGATGGTGAAAAGTTTATCCGTTACATTTACATTCACAGTGACTTTGACTTTCACCTTCACCTCTACTCTGTCTGTACGATAGTCGAGGTACATAAGTAACCCTCACCAAGAACCGCCAAACCACGGGATGACATGATTGTAGCATCCCTCACTCTGACTCTCAGAGCATTTATACATTAAGACAGTTTTCTGAACAGTTGTCAACAAACAGTTAAGTGGGACCCAGAGACCTTGGAACGACTCGGTCGATTACCTGTTCGAGCCTAAAATTTACCTGCATAAATTTAACTCCTACCTTGTTGGGTAACCACGTGAATGTGAGGTCGAAAATGACTTGATTGTTGAAGGCTGGTCTTCTGAGCACCCCCACCTCAACTTCTAGCCATAGCTCAGTCAAATCTCGAGGAATCCATCCAGCGATCTCATAGTGCATATGGTGCATCTCTTCCGCCATACGGCACGACTTTGCTGTGCCGCCGGATTGAATGCACGCGAGATTCTGGCAAACGTGACCCTTGTAATAAGACAGAGACGGGCACTCTCCGCCGCTCTTGCACACAAGCCGCATCGCAAGATGGCTGGCCAATTTACGAAGCGGTTCATTGATCAAGGCATGAGTGACTGCGCTGGCACGGCTCTTCGTGGTACCTGCCCGGGAGTTGAAATGCTTCGCAGGGCCTGCTGCTGTTGGTGTATCTCAGGTAGCGAATGCATATGACCCAGGGATGAAAAAGAAACATATGTACTCATTAAATATGTTACCTACACGAAAGCCCAATCTGAAGCCAACCATCGCTATGCAATACCACAAACCCCTCTGTCGGCCTGCTCAACCCTTAGCGTTCCACCGATCATTATACGCATTAACCCCGACCGCAACCTGTCTGTAGAACCAGTTACGACTCCCCTCATCGCCCACGGGTATAAAAGGCCCATTCGTTCCACCTTTGAGCGTAATACTGAGTCCCGTCCTCTCCTTGCTGATAGTCTGCACATCCTTGAGCGGCACATCCCACTCTGTCTGCAGCTTCTTGGTGCGCACCATCATGATAGCGTTATACGTCAGCATGATGAGGACATCCTTATTCTGCAGCTCCAGGTGCGCGATGTAGTCTTCGTTGAAGTACTTTCCGTTGTCAAGCGTCTTGAGCCAGAACTGGCCGAGGGCTTCGCGCTGCGAGTACGGGCGCACGATGCCATCGGTGCCGATAAAGCGTGTCAGGCGTACGCGGTCGAGGCCTTCCTGGTCGAAGACTGTGGTGGTATTGCGCACACCTTCGGCCATGTTGGAGGCGAGGTCGAAGGCACCGATTGCAGCCTTGGTGGGGACACCAAGGAGGCCCTTGCCAACACCCTTGACGAAGCCGAAGGCGCCTTCTTTTTCGGCACCTTGGATGGGGTGGCGTGCGAGACCGCCGAGGCCGGAGGCAAGACTGTTGGCGAAGGCGTTACCACCGGCTGTGATGCCGTAGAGGGCGTGCTTGGGCCTATTGCGAGAGCGGGTGTTGCGGCGCTGGTCCTGGAATTCTTTGTCAAGGGTTGCAGCGGACAGACCCTTCGACATACTGCCCGTGAACTTGGCCATACTGTCCGAGAATCCGAAGACGGACTTCTTGACAAAACTTGACGCACCCTTTGCGATGCCGATACCGAGATCCTCAGGACGATCAGACTTGACGAGACCTTGGTATGGCTCATAGAAGATGTCAGCGACACCAGAACTGATGTTGGTGAAGAGACCGACTGGGTTACCAAGGAAGTCGGCCGAGCCAATAATGACATGAACCTGTCTCAAGGACTCCTGCACGTAATGATTCTTGATGTTGTTGATCAATGCAGTCGTTGAGATACGAGCGTTCTCCAGGATGAGCGAGTTGTAGCGGACTGGCGCATCGTTGACATTGCCAATCGACATTGTGAGAACGTTCACCGCGAACATGAAGGGGTTTGAGGTGGACATGGTGTCCTCAGCATTGATGCGCTCAGTGCGGACGAACGACAGATCGATCTGCATAGGCTGCAGGTGCAGCAGCTCGAAGTAGACATCCTGACCAGATTGCTCCTGCTTCGGCTCTGGAAGATCGAGTGAGTCGTCCCAAAGCTTGCCCTCAGCTTCCTCCGACCACGAAGCTCCAGGGATCTTAGCGAAGTCGATCAACGCAAAGATGAAATCTTCGTCGATCTCGAGGGTCATCTGCTGCAGCAGGAAACTGAAGTACTTGATGTACAGCACACCGTACGAGTCGTCCTTGACCTTTGTGATGCTCGTTTGGAAAATAGGATGCGCCTCCATCTCCTTACCAGTCTTCGGAACCACACTGGGATAGAAGATGATAGGGAAGATACCGCCGTACAACTGGTTGTCGATCTGGATCCACTTGACTTGCACGTTGACCATTTGGTAGAGAGCCGAGTCCGAATACTTCAGCTCGAGGTCACGCAACGTGACATACACCAGTTCGCGCAAGTGGCGGTTGACAAGGGAGATGCCGATACCAGCAAGACGCAGTTGCGCCTTGAAGGTGACGTCGGTGTCCTGGTCCTTGACCTCGAAGCCCGTTGTTGTCGAAGATGAGGTACCAGACTTCTGCTTGTACAAGCTCTTCGACGGCTTATAGTTGGAGATTTCGAGCGTCTGGGTCGGGCCCTGGGCGACAACATTCAGATCAATGACCTTCATGCCGCCTCCTTGCTGGCCGGGTGGAATCTTGAAGGGAATGAGGGGACCAATCTCAGCAAGCTTGACGTGTCGCTCTCTGCCGTTGCCACTAATGACTATCTCCTTGTTCTTCGCCGCGGGGAAGTCCCAGGCATACGGCATGATGCTTCTTGGTGGCAAGCGGTATCTGATGGGCCTGAATCCAGAGCTACGGTCGTCCTCATCTTCCTCAAGATTGGGGTTCTGTTGCCAATACAAGAACTCTTGGTCGCTCATGTTCTTGAACGAGAAAGGCCAGTGCTTCGTCTCGACACTGAAGTGGACAAAGATAGTAGCTTGCTCCATCAACACATCGATGCGCACCAGTTTCTGACGTTGACCAGTCTTGGAAAGCTTGACGTGCACATTGCCGACGTTCGAGATGTTGAATGGAGAAGTCCATTGGTTGTTGACTCCAGGATAGCAGAGCGACAACTGTGGTGACCCGCCTTGTTTGAGCCATCGAAGGGGCAGCAGCTCTCCCGCCTTCAGTGTCATCCAATCGGATTGGCCAGGCTCACGAATAAGGACCTCCTCATCGAGCCTGTTCTTGACGATGAAGCGCGGGGCGACGGAGATGACCTTTGTCAAGTTGTACTTGCCCTCACCCTCAGCGACGGACACACCGAGATGCATGTCTGATCTCGAGTTGCTTGCAGGAATCGAGACGGCGTAGGTGCTTCCGATGGCGTCGAAACTTTGAGGTTTACTCCAGGTCGAGTCACCGACCTTGATAAGCGCGCGGTTCTTCTTGTTCTCGGATGGATAGGAGAACATGAAAGGCAAAGCCTTACCAGCATCGGTCTGATCGTCGCTGAAGTTACCTTGGGCGCCTGAAGACCGGCCTCCGCCCATGAATTGCTGCTGCTGTGACCTCAGATCCAGGTTGAGACCAGTACGATTCAAGACAATGTAAGGACTGAAGATCGCGACCTTGAAGGCACCTCCACCATCAGGGAAGTTGCTGAGAAAAGTCAGTGTAGTCCAATCTATGACGTCGAAACAACTTACTAGAAGTGCATATTGAGGTGCAATGTCGTATCGTTGTCGCCCTTGACTTCGAGTACCTTCTCTCTTCTGAAACTCTCTCGATCTGTGGAGTTGATGATGCCAAACTTGCTAGGCTTGTACGGCCCTTCTTGCATCTCTACGCTGATGAGCAGGAGATGCGACAGCTCCACCACGTGAACCGGGCTGATACCTCCCTTTCGCAGAAAGTTGGTCCAGTCCTTCTTCGTGCTACTGTCGTAGATTCTGTACTTGAAATCATATGGCAACAGGTTGTGCACCTCAACCGGTGCTTGCAGACGCAGGCGCATGTACGGGTATGTACCAGTCAGTGGGTCCTTCTTGTCGTAGGCTGCATGCATCTGGAAGTAGAACGGCGGTGCCTGTTCATCTTGCTCGCCGTGACAAGTGATGGTCCTTGTCGGGCGCTTTAACAAGTCCTTCCAGAAGAGACGCTCGTTAGACCAATTATAACCGAAACCTTGATCTGGACGGATGACGATCGAATGCATATACGCAGACCCAATAGGTGCTGGCCGTGCGTCACCAGGTGCGATCTTATCGATCTTGAGGAGGTGGCCCTCCTCGGGGCTGAACATGCCGATCTCGATGGGGATCTGGGTGTTGTTCTCGACTAGCAGCGGGGACCTAAAGGTGATGTTCTTGATGTTGTCCGCCCCGAGCTTGACCTCAACGAGGATACGATGCTGAACCCTGTCCTGCTTGGGTCTCAGGTTATACAACGACTCTCCTTCTCGGTGCACAGGGATGCGAGAGAGCGTGTCGAAGCCACTACCCTGAAGCCTGATGCCGAGCATACCGGTCGCGCCATCTGTTGACAATGTCTCACGAGTTGACATTGGGTCTTCGAATCGCCACGGCTGCTCCTCGCCGTCATCAAGCTTTGCAGCATAGCCGTCCTGCTCCTTGCCCTCGGCCCACACATCAAGACTGAAGCCTGTGTAGTTGCGGATGCGGTATGGGGCATCGCTTGCACGAGGCTTCGACAAGATATCCTCGTCAGCCGTCAGGAAGTCAAACGACTTAGAACCCAATGCAATAGTCGCCGCGGTCACGGTGAGCTCCATCGACTTGCGAGAGTACAGTTCCACAGATAGACGATCTGGGTTCAGATCCTTCGCCATATGGAATCCGATACTCCATGGCTCGATCAACGGCTCCCATGCGGACTTGGAGAAGTTGTAGACATTGATGAGAGTCTCCAGCGAGGTGTCAGCGACCATCGCACCTGACCAATCGCGAACATCAACGCCAAACTTCTTGACCCGCCAGTCGAGCATTGGCATTTCGTGCACGTCACCAATGAGAACCACACGTAGGCCTTCGAGGTTGATATGCATCTCCTCGCGCTTGAGAACCGCAGAGCCGGCCTGCGGCTGCTGCATTTGCGCCTCCTGTTGGCTCGAACGCTTTGTCTTCGCAATCGATTTAGCCCGAGGTCGTGTGGTACTAGGTGCAGCTGTCGATTTCGCTTTCTTCGATGGTGTGCTAGGCTTGAGCTGTTTTGCTCCCTCGTCGGGCAGCTTCTTGTCGTCAGCTGCTTGCATAGCAGTCGCACGATTGGCAATCTGCATAGCGAGTAGGATATCGCGAAGCGACAAGCGCAGGACGAGAGGCTCGATTTCAACGTTGATGCTGATCAATGATGACTTCGAGTTCTGGTTGCGCATGTCCAATGCCGTCTGAATGCTGAAGTCGTCGAGGATGCGCAGCCGGTTCGTCTCAAAGCGATCCATGCGGCACAAAAACATGCCAATCTTTTCGACTTGTAACGTCATGGCCTGCTGCTTTGATAAAAGTACTTGCTTTGTGCCCAACACGATGGCTTCGGAGTTGGCAATCGTTGGGTTGGCGATAAGCACGACCTGTGCATCTACGAGGTTCACCCGGAACGCCATGCTCATACCGTCCTGTGCTGGGTCAGCAGGCGCGTCTGGCTTCTGGAGAGTCCTCGATGCATTCTGTGACACCATCTCGTCGTCGCTGTCAGTATCTTCGTCGGCGGTCTCCTCCTCGATATTCAACGGCTCATCGGTAGCGAGACCGGCGTTGACGAAAGCCTGCAGGGCAAAGAGGTAATCCAAAGCCAAGATAATTCTTGGGCTGTCGATTGTGAGAAGCGCAATCATGTTGCGCTCCTTCCCACCGGAGATTGACACGCTAGCCATGAATTGCTGCTTGACATCGTTGTTGATCAAAGACAAGATCTTGCGAAACTTGTTCGTGCCCATTTGTCGACTGTCGCGGATCGAGAATGAGTGAACCACAAGCTCTGCCTCCATAGCTCCGTCACTGATCATACGGACCTTGACATTGGTGTCGTTAAGCGAGAACTTCGAAAGACTAGCGGCTTCAACATCGCCGATGGGCTCGCCTTCCTTCGACCTGATCAGTTCCAGAGCGATGGCGCCAACCTTGAACACGAAGTCCAGCTTCGTCCACTTATCGGCATCAGTCGACAGCTCAGGTCCTTGGGACGACACCACGTCTTTCAATGGCTCGTCTGGAGACTCTGTCTCTGTGAGTTGTCGCACAGGCGCCGTCTTGGCTATAAGAACCTCTTCCTTGACTTCCTCGTCGATGGCATCCGGCTCGGTCGCGAATGCTTGAGGAATGGTACGAGACAGCTCCAAGGCAAATTTCATTTGCTCTGGTGTGAGGCGCAAGTTGATGTCAGACATGGATCCGTCGATCTCCGTATCCGGGCGGTGTTGACCAGCCTTGTGCTCGACCATGGTAATATTGAAGTCAAGATCGACCTTGTCGATCAACTCAAGCGCCTCAGCACGGTCATCTTCGTAATGGAGGTCAGATGTGAGCTTGATGTTCCTGATTCCGGCAGAGATCTTATTGGCGACATCGGAATTCTCCGAGTCATCCAGCGGTGTGAACTCGTTCTTCGCGTAGATCTCACCAAGGTTCGCTGTCAAGGTGTCACGCTCAGGTTTGTCTGAGATCACCATTCTGGGGAAGACAACGATCGGCGTGCTGATAGTAATGTCGAAGTGGAACTTCGCAGGATTCTGCTGGATCTGAGTGGCTTGGTTTGCTGCGGCTTGACGTGCTGCGTTGAAAATGGCTTGCATCTTGCCGAACTTGACGGCGAACTCCATGATCTTCCGGAAAGGCTCCGTAAGGAAGTTGATCTTGATAGAGCCAGTCTTAAGCGCCACAGACGTGTCGTAGCCGGGGTAGCTTTCTGATTCCGAGTCGAATGTCTCATAGCTGAAGTCCGCAAGGTTCTTTCCTTCGATAGTGACCAGTTGGCGCAGCGAAGATGTCTCTGGCACACCTTGATTGACATCGTCGATGAGCGAGAGGTTGCCAAGTCGTCCGCCGATGCGCATTGTGCCTCCGTTGAGCATGATGCCAACATCACCTGAGCTCAAGCTGAGAGTTGCCAAGCGGATCGCGTCGTTGTTAAGAACGACTGCGATTCGCTTCAGTTCAGCTCGAATGCGTATCTTATCTGGCTCAGCGTTGATTTGCTTAGCTACTTGCTGCTCGTCCGACTTGGCAGTAATCTGTGCCTGCTGGTTCTGGGTCTGATCTGGGTTCGTAAAGGTGATGAGCACGAAGTCAAGAAGTGTCAGCAAGGTCCTTCTTGTGACGATCAGATTGATGGTTGAGACAGCGACATCGAGGTTTGTCGCAATGCCCTCCCACTTCGTCTGGAATTCTGGTGACTCTTTATTGACCTTGGTGAACTTCAGCGTAAATAGATCCTTCTGCTCATCTGCAGAGTCGTCCTCAGAGGAGACGATGTTGCGGAATTCTGGCAATGGATTCTCCTCAACGTGATCTTCGACTGCCAAGCTCTTCAGGCGAACGTGCGCGCCCATCTCGAACGGCTCCTGGTAGAAGTCGAGATCAAAGTGTTCAGCAACAAGCTCAACGAGAAGTTGATCTGGCTTGCGACCTTCCTGGTCAGTCCTGTAGAGTGAACCTTGGAGCTTGTCGACGGTGAACCTGAATTCGAAGTTGCGTTGATGCACATGTGTGTTCTTGCTCTCGTCTTCGGGCGCGTCTTCGAACTTTTCGTTGGTGTCTTGATCGTGGTCTTCCTCCATGACGAGCTCATGCTCCTGGGCAGCGAATTGGAAAGACTTGGAGCGAGGTCGCCCCAGAGCGTCCTTGTCTGTTGCATTCGCGTCGCTGGCCAGCTTGAGGTTCGACGGGCCCTTCGCACCTTCTGTGACTTGCTTGCTTGTGGCGTTGTCATCGTCAAATTTGGGAACCGCCACATCGATGAGCTTCATCAAGTTTTTGTACTTGGCATCAGAGATTGATGCATGAAGCACTGGGAGGTTTCCCGAGACTCGGAACTTGGTAAGATCTGTTGCTTTAGGGACGATGCAAAGCTCGACCTTGAAGTCCATGTTGATCTTGTCGACGATGTGAAAGTTCTTCAATGCTGAGTTCTCTTCAAGCTGTGACTTTGTCTCCTCAATGGAAGGCCCGATAAGCACTTGCGTCGACTGCAGCTTGAGCGTGAACTTGTCATACATGAGGTCTTCCAGACGTCTGAAGTCCTCATCAGTGTACTGTTGCTGCTGTTTCGATTGAATGTCGCGCAATGTGTCCTTGTCGATGAGCTCGCTCGTCACGCTCGCGTGACCGGCATCGAGGATGAGGCAGTTGCTTGACTTCTTGGTGACAGAGTCTGGGATGATGATGAGTGGTGCCTGCAGGTCGAGCTGTGCGTTGATGGTCTTGTGCTCAGTGAGGGCAAATTCCAGACCAGCACGAGTCTGCTGTCGGATGGTGTCGACCGTTGCTCCAGCAGTCTCCATGAGCGCGCCAATAGACTCCATGTGTCGCTCAGGAGGCTTGAAGAACTTCACAGACTCGACCACGAACCTCGGGTTATAAACGAACTCCATACCTTTCAGCTTGACTGTGAGAGCAGTGTCTGCGCTGTCATCGAGAGGATTATTCTCGAAAGTGAGAAAGAAGAAGGGGTCTTCCTTGTCGTCCTCCTCGTCCTCCTCGTCCTCCTTCTTCTCATTTTCGCCATCGAGCTCTTCGATGCGCTTGTCATCCGGAACAGGGGGCGCGTCCTTGATGGTGATGATTTGAGGGAAAAGGCTCCCCTCCGTCGTGCCGTCATACAAGCGCATGCCTTCGAGTGCGAGCTTCACAAACATCGAGTCTGTGCGTTGCAGGAACTGCGTGCTGAAGCCGTCGAAGAGCAGGCGGAGAATCTCGTTCGACTTGCCGTGTGGATCGCGTTTTAATGTAAAGCTGCCGGTCCGCAGACTCATGTTCACCTCCATCTTTACGTATTCGCGGGGCATGTCTACCGACTCGGCGATAGCTTTCTTCTCATCCCAATCAATTGCCTCGTAGAGCTCCTTCCGCTGCGCTTCTGTCATCTGGGTGTTGTCTTCGGTGTGATGTTCCTGCTTGGCACCCCATCCGATCCATGAGCCCCAGCCTTGCTTCTGTGGCGCCTTCTTGATACCAACGTTCTCCTTGCGCAGCTGGTTGCGAGCCAGAGATCGCCAGAAGCGAAGGTCTTCATATGTCAACTTCTTCTCCAGCTTATCGAGTTCTTCAGCTTCATCCGGCCCAAGCTTCTCCTCCTTCTTCTTTTTCTTGAACAGTTCAATGTAGCGCAGGCGGTCGTCTCGTCGTTCCTTGAAGTATGCCCAGCTCCACCTCTTATTGCGATCGTGGATCTTGTCAAGGACGGCTTGCCCGGCGAACCGCAACCAGCCGGCAGGGTCTTCTTTTGGCGATGACTTCGGTTGGAACTTCTTGTATTCCTGATGTCTGATGAAGTAGTGGAAGAGGTCAACTAACATCAGCGCGTCGCGATATTGGTCCTCGTCGATGATGAAACCCAGCTCGTCAAAGAGTAGACGAGCCTTCATCTTCGGCACATCGGCCTTGCCAGTCTTATCTATCTCGAGTCCCGCGCGACCGCTGATGGGCTTTAGGATAAACTGGTGATCCCCGAGCTCGGGACTGTCGCCTCTTGCAATCATGTCGCGCAGCGTCTTGATGAAATCAGAGTGCTCGATTTGCTGCTCGTCTCTGCTGTCGCTGCCTTTCCCTGTGCCAAGGAGATTTGCATCTGTGTCCCAGTATACCGCCAGGGAGCTCAGTGTTGCAAGCTTGTGTGTCGAGGCGGCGTTGCCCTGGATGAAGGTGGATTTCCAGTTCTCGTCGGTGCTGACGGCGCTGAAGTCGGCGAGGGTGAGACCCAGGGCGAAGGGGTGTCCGGGGTCTGATATCGAGTCTTCGTATCGAATGTGGATGTTCTTCACTGTAACTTGAACGTTATCGACGATGGCAGTCACCATGCTCGCCGTGAAGCTCTGGTTCTTCTGCTGCTCTTCAGCGCTCATGCCTTCTGTGTTGCGCTCCTTCAGTAGTTCCGCGCTGTCCAGCTTCTCCATCTTGACAGCGTGCGCTCTTCGGTCTTCCTCTTCTGCGTCGTAGTCAGCATCCTCCTTGGGCGCTGCCAGCAGAAAGACATCCTCGATCTGCACCCTCAGCGGCTTCCCTCGAAGGTTCGACCAGGGAATTGATAGTGTGAGCGAGCCAAGGTGGCCCTCCACGACATTGAGTGGCAGTCGCAGCTGATCGAGAGCTTCACGGCGGAGCTCGAGATCTCTCAGCTTGACGTCACCAGACCAGATGCCAACATTCAGCTGCTTAGGATCGAAGTTCTGGACGTACATGCCCAAGAACCGATTGAGCAGTGTGGAGACGAGGCCCTCAAGCATGGCGGCGGCGGGCGACCGTTGGCCGGGTCGGGGCGTAGGGGTAAGTGTGGGTGTGGGGTATGCGGGGTCGAGAGGGTGTCGTTCGTTACGTCGTGAGACTTTGTGAAGTCATGGAGGTCGTGCGGCGATGCAAACTGACGGCGAGGCTGGGTATCGTAAACCGTAGAAACAAGGCGGGGTGCGTGCAGAGTGCGCTGTCGAGCTGGGACGCGTCGAGCACTGGTGTTCCCGAGGATAGGCGGCCGAGCAAGATTCGCAAGGAGAGTGACGAAATGAAAAGACGCTCGCAAGCAGCAATCCGTTGATAAGACACGGCGACAGTCTGGACCCACGCGTACAAGACAGCAAGCCAGCCAGGTCGAAGTCCAGCGATCGCTGCAAGGCAGCTGCAGCCCGCAGTGCATGACGTACTGGTCCGCCAAATTCCATCCCGCGTAACCTGCGAGGGCCGAGGAGCGGCTGGCATTGGCTGTGATTCGCCAGACACATGTAACTAATTTGACCCCAGTCGCGTTTTCTCGAGCCCAAGCGTCTGTCAGTCGCGCAGACTCGCGCTGGACGCCAAAGTCCATCTATCTTCCGCAAAGCTCTTGTTGTCCATCTTCAGGGTCCAATTGACAGGTTCTTCCCCGCGTTGCAGTTCGATCTCAGGGTCCTTGAACCCAGCAATCGCGCCCCAACGATCGCCCACCTGCACATCCGTCCAACATGTGGCCCTTCTCAAGCTCCCCACCAGACGCTCCAAAGCCTATCACGGCCCCGGCGACCGAGCAGCAAGTCCAGCTGCTCCCAGCAACAGGCCAAGCCCTGCCCCCCACACAATCACAATACAGCACGCCACCACCCACACATGCACAGTCGACAGAAGCACCGCACGATCCGGACTTCTACGCCGCACACCCACACCTCGCACCGCCCTCGCTCAGCACACCTCGCTCCACCCCCGAGCCCTCAAACGGCGAGCCCGAATTCGACCCTACCCTGCCGCGCAGCATGTCGTGCCGCGCCGCCTTCGACAGCGCGTTCTACTGCTCCTCGCTCGGTGGGCACTTCAATGACATATACCGACACGGACAACTACGCAGCTGTTCGGATCACTGGAGTGATTTTTGGTTCTGCATGAGGACGAAGAATAGCTACTCGGGCCCGGAGATCAAGGAGAGGCTGATTCAGGAGCGGTATGCCGAGAAGGAGAAGGCGCTCAAGGAGCGGCCAAATAGTGAGGATGTGTGGACGAGGAGAGGGGAGAGTGAGAGGGTCGAGAAGCCCTTTGCGCTGGCGGGGAAGGATTGAGAGGGCTGGATACGTGTAAATCAATCTGGGAAGGACGCATGGTAGGCATGAGAATGGTGTATGATATGTACGGGTGAAGGGTTGTCGTCATTGCCCTATGATGCAAGATAGATGATCAAGCGTAAAAAGGCACGCAGTGCGCGGTGATACTGGCAAATCGCTTTTCCCTTGGCGACTTCAGGGTGTGTATGCTAAGTGGTGGAGAAGGCACAAGCACCTTGTTAGTTACAAGGTTGCGGGACTCGACCGAGCCCGACACACTGCAAGTCGCAGACAAGGCTCAGTCGAAGGACAGTAGTCAAAATGAAGGTCGTATTCATACATCACTAGCATTGGGGGCAGTTTAGTTATTAAGTGGATTCTACTCGGGATATATTATCACATGCATTCCACGACCAAACTTTTCCAGTCATTATCGTAACTCGTCTGATGCAAATGAAACCGTGAAAAGGCCTTTATGGCCGTAAACTCCAAAGACCGCCCAAATGAAGAAGTCTATGCTCGAATGAAGAAAGACACAGAAGAAGACTCAAGGGAGCGATCCGCTTAGTCGACCTCCTCGACGGTAGGACCGTCATCGCCGCCAGCGCCAGGAGCGGCACCGCCGGGAGCACCGCCAGGCATACCGCCAGGCATGCCACCCTCACCACCAGCTCCGTAAAACTTCATCATGATGGGGTTGGCGACACCCTCGAGCTCCTTCTGCTGAGACTCATACTCGTCCTTGGTAGCAGTCTGGTTGTCGTCCAACCAGGCAACGGTCTTGTCGATCTCGGCCTTGAGCTTCTCCTTGTCGCCAGCATCGAGCTTCTCGTCGACCTTAGAGTCTGAGAGAGTGTTGCGGAGAGAGTAAGCGTAGGACTCGAGGGCATTCTTAGCAGAGATACGGGAAGACTCGGCCTCATCCTCAGCCTTGTACTTCTCGGCCTCAGCAAGCATGCGCTCGATCTCCTCCTTGGACAGGCGACCCTTGTCATTGGTGATGACGATCTTGTTGGTCTTTCCGGTGCCCTTCTCGAGAGCGGAGACGTTCATGATACCGTTGGCGTCAACATCGAAGGTGACCTCAATCTGAGGGACACCACGGGGCGCAGGTGGGATTCCGGTAAGCTCGAACTTTCCGAGGAGGTTGTTGTCCTTTGTGCGGGCACGCTCACCCTCGTAGACCTGGATGAGGACACCAGGCTGGTTGTCGGAGAAGGTGGAGAAGACCTCAGACTTCTTGGTGGGGATAGTGGTGTTGCGCTTGATGAGAGCAGTCATGACACCACCAGCAGTCTCGATACCGAGAGAGAGCGGCGCGACGTCGAGAAGGAGGATCTCGTTGGTGGACTTAGAGGAAGTGTCTCCAGACAAGATAGCCGCCTGAACAGCGGCACCGTAGGCAACAGCCTCGTCAGGGTTGATGGACTTGTTGGGCTCCTTGCCGTTGAAGAAGTCGGAGACCATCTTCTGAACCTTGGGGATACGTGTGGAACCACCGACAAGAACAATCTCGTGAACAGAGGACTTATCAATCTTAGCGTCGCGGAGGACACGTTCGACGGGCTCCATGGTGGAGCGGAAGAGATCCTGGCAGAGCTCCTCGAAACGGGCACGGGTAATCGAAGTGTAGAAGTCGATACCCTCGAACAGGGAGTCGATTTCAATGGAGGTTTGAGCAGAGGAAGAGAGAGTGCGCTTGGCACGCTCGCAGGCGGTGCGGAGACGACGAAGGGCGCGGGCGTTAGAAGTGAGATCCTAGTATGGAGTTAGTCAATGAATTTTAGGAAGTAATTTGATGGCATAGCTGACCTTCTTATGTTTCCTTTTGAATTCACTAGTGAAGTGGTTGACAAGGCGGTTGTCGAAGTCCTCACCACCCAAGTGGGTGTCTCCGGCAGTAGACTTGACCTCGAAGATACCCTCTTCAATAGTCAAGAGGGATACATCGAATGTACCACCTCCAAGATCGAAGATGAGGACGTTACGCTCACCCTCGGTCTTCTTGTCAAGACCGTAGGCGATAGCCGCGGCAGTGGGCTCGTTGATGATGCGGAGGACGTTCAGGCCAGCAATGAGACCGGCATCCTTGGTGGCTTGACGTTGCGAGTCGTTGAAGTAAGCAGGGACTGTGACGACGGCGTTGTTGACAGTTCCACCGAGGTACGACTCAGCGGTCTCCCTCATCTTGACAAGGACCATGGAGGAGATCTCCTCAGGTGTGAAAGTCTTCTCCTCGCCCTTGAATTCGACCTGGATGACGGGCTTGCCAGCCTTGTCGATTACCTTGAAGGGAAAGTGCTTCATGTCGGCCTGAACCTCAGCGTCGGCGAACTTGCGGCCAATAAGGCGCTTGGCGTCGAAAACTGTGTTGATAGGGTTCATGGCAACCTGGTTCTTCGCGGAGTCACCGATGAGGCGCCTGAATATGTTAGCATCCACCTGGACCAATTGAACGTGATAGAGCTTACTCTGTGTCTGTGAAGGCGACGAACGACGGTGTAGTACGGTTACCCTGGTCGTTCGCGATAATCTCAATGCGGTCATCCCTGAAGATGCCTACGCAAGAGTAGGTTGTACCGAGATCAATACCTGAAAATGTTAGCTGGTGTTCAAAGCACTGCTGTTGGGGGTGTACGAACCGATGGCAGACATGATGGCGGTTGTGTGTGGTGTGGGGTATCAAAGAAAAGAAACGCTATCGAGTGCTCACAAGTCGGTGACTTGATTATAGTGAGGCTTTGCTGAGGTGAATGTTTGATGTTCTTGGGGCGTGGACGAGCAACGGCGGGGTGGGCTTTTAAAAGCGGTGGGCGAGACAGATTTTTGTTAAAGAATCGCGTGGAATCGCGCAGAACAAGAACTTGACGGAACCTTCTGGTTGGCGCGCGGACACCGCGACCCGCCTTGAAACATTGTTGGAAGCACTTAGCCTCGTTTCCTTCACACTAACAGCGTTTGCGGGCAGTTGCACCGCCATTGTGCCCCGTTGAAGCTGTCTGAGTATTCTTTCTGCGACCGTTCTTCTGCGGTTGCTATGACGAAGTTCACCCCACCATGCACGGATAGCCCCACGTCGCCACCTCATCAGACGTTTGAAAGAACCTCGCCGAAGAGAGCCTCGTCAAGCAACTTCGAGAACATCGTCGAGGCATCTCGTGCAATCGTTCAATGGCTCCACGTTGTCGAAACAGCGAGCAAGCTTTGCGATGGTTTGACCAAGGATTGAGCCTTGCTGCCTGATAATGCACCGCCACCCAACCTGATCGCAGTCACTGTTTGCAGCCAAACAGCAGTCACTCGAAACAAACAATCACATCAGTCTTGGGAGCGCCAGAGTCAAATCCTCCACATATGAGGGTGACCGCTAGGGGTGTTGGTCAAGGCCCACCCATTATTCATCTGCAGAAGGCGAGTCTGCGAGTGTCTCAACGGCCATTTTGTGTTCATCTGAGCATTTTACATCGCTTCACTCTCATCCGTGCAATTTGTAGAGGGTCTCCGGAGTGCATTGATGGGCGCATCTTGTCGTGCTTGACGAACTGCATGTCGCATGCCAAGCAGCTCCGTTGAGAACAATGATGATATGAGCACGATGGACCTCCGGGATCTATTCACGGTATCACAGGCGTCTTGCCTGTGTTGGGTTTTGAATAGACATCTTATGGGAGCGTCAACATGACACATCAGATCTGGGTGGGACTTCCATGATACCTCCGGGCTTGATCATAGTTTCCTTAGCTGCCGTTGAACTGTGGCAGTGCACGAAGTACGACAGCGGATGGGTACCTCCAATATCTTGACAGTTGATCGACAATCATGGGCCGCTCCAATAGCACGTGCAGTTGCTGGGTAACGCTCGAATCGCACACCTGGATAGTACAGTGCTTCCAAGGCCCATAGGTTCTTCCTCATTTGCCAGTACGGCATGCTAATTTGATGATTTGTTCAACTGGCAGCCCTGTAGCCTGACACTCGCGAGTCTTTATGAGACACTTGACTTGAGTTGACACAGAAGCCCATTGCAGAATACTCGTCCACAAGGGACGTTGATCAGTGGTCTGCCATTGTGTAATCCCATTGATTTATCAAGTGTACGTGGTGCAGCGTTGTGATGTGCTCGTTTTCTGTAGGGGTTGAGCTTCAAAATTCGTGAATTTAATACACCCATCAATATGTTCAATAATTCATTGCACCACAACAACGCCTTCGATCACCCTAAAACTTGCCCAAAGATAAGAATTCGCACCTGAGTACAGTATGAGCGAGTTTTGCTCAATCGCGCACTGCATTCGGAGCTTGGGAGATAAATCCTGACGCCCGTGCGCAAGCTGTGTTGTTCCATTGTCGGGCGCTCCTCGTTGCAAACACATGTTTTGCGCGGATATTTCGTAGCCTACCATAATTGCCGTTAACGATGCCAGACAAGCAAGTACGTCACATGAGGACAAACCACGTCAAAGTTTTCGAGATAGACGTTAGCAGCAGCATTGCGCAAGTATCCGTATCTGCCGGGGATTGACACGTGCATGACGTCAGGAGATCTTGCGGGGATAGGAGCTCGATAGCTTGGTTAACAAGCTCATCAGTCGAAGATCGGTAGCTATACCAGACCTCCTCTTCCCTCTTGAGCGTTCAGTACCAATTGCTCGTTTCTTTCGTACCTCATAATATACCCCAGTCCGTCACAATGCTTCGCAACGGGGCTACGCGATTTGCAAGGTCGATCACCGCGTCCGCTGCGCGGCCATTCGCACCAACTCCGCGAGCGGCTCCTGCGCATCGATGGGTAGCACAATTTGGATCTATGGCAGCAAAGAGGCCACAGACATGTCAATTGGCACGCGTAACCACAATCAGGTCGAGTCTTTCCCGCCGAAACCTTACAGAGCATCAAAAGAAGGCCGAAGACCGATACGCACATGAGAAGCTTATCCCTACTCCAGAAACAGTATCCATGACCAGCTCGATTCATCCCATCCTGTCTGAACAGCAGACACCTTCTCCGGAGAAAGATATAGATATGATGGCCGGCGTCAAAAGCGATATCGTAAGCTAGGAAAGTTGAACCTACCTCGAAGTAAACTGACCTGGCCAGGAAACCATCAAGGAGACATTCAGTCTGAAGGAAGTACCCAGGGAGGCCTACTACATGGGCCTTGCAGGTACAATCCCTTACCTCGGCACCTCGTTAGCGACCGTCCTTTGCGCATACGAAATCAACCACTCCGTTGGCGGACAGGGCACATTCCTCTCCGAGCACACAGCCACACACCTGCTCCACCTTCTCGAGCCAATTCAGATTGGCTACGGAGCCAGCGTACGTTACACAAACACTGAGTCCATCCAAACTTACTGATGGCTTGTAGATCATCTCGTTCCTTGGAGCCATCCACTGGGGTCTTGAGTGGGCGAAGTACGGAGGAGTACACGGCTACCCTCGTTATGCAATCGGTGTTTTCGCCCCCATGGCCGGCTGGAGTGCTACAATGATGCCTATCGAGTATGCCCTAATTACACAGTTCATGAGCTTTGTTGGTATTTATTTCATCGACACCCGCGCGGCCCTCAAGGGCTGGACTCCCCCATGGTGTAAGTCCACCTTCAACACTACAGGCGACGGTACTAACAAGATTCCCAGACCGCGAGTACCGATTCATCCTGACCTTCATCGTCGGTGCCAGCATCGTAATCAGTCTGATCGGACGTGGCGAGGTCTCGTCGAAGGTCGGACGGATGCCGGGTGCTGTCGACCGCATTCAGGCGCTCCGTGAGGGATCGCAGGATCAGCTTGCAGAGGAGGAAGAGGCCAGAATCGCTGCCAAGAAGGATGCAGCGGCCAGCGACGACAGGGATGAGCATTGAGTTCTTGGGATCGGCAGGATCCATTGTATTTGGGGGCTCGGGGGTAGCATGTGGCGACCGCTCTTCGAGCTCTTGGCGGAACCGCACGCGGGCGTAACCGGATGTTTTATAGTATACCTCGAGCTTTGACAGTAATTACACGTCTAATTCTGGTTACTATGTGCCGTTACCGATGTTCCGGACATGGGGGTTGAGGCTCTGCGATTGATAATGCCATCAACTTTGGTTGTGGAGCGCGCGTGCTGATCGGCCCACTGTATTGATATCACAATGATCAAGACGCGCGGATGCATTGCCTAGCCGCACGTTGAGGCCCAGTTAGCAGATGCAACAATCGACGATGAATGCTTGGAACAGACGAGAAGTCGCAAAGGACGGCTCACCTTGTTTAGCTTGCTTGAGGCTGAGATTTCGAGCATCCACCTGACGTTCCGCTCCACGAATTGTTTCCCCTCATAGCTAAGGGTCCCCCCGCTTTCTCCTACACCAACCCCTCATCGTCATAAGCCCACGCGCATTATCGTTGTCGCGTGCCGATTTTACTCCGATTACTTTGCGCGCCGTACGATGACCTCTTCGCCTTTCTCTTGCACAGTCCTGTATCACTTTTTCTCAAGCCCTTAAACATCCTACACCATAGTTCGGTGTTCTTTCGCGCGAAAGGCGTCCCTCTTCGCGCATTTACGGCACAACCACCTCGGAACTTCAACCACCAATTGCACGCGACGCGCATACCGGAAAATCTCCACTACACGCGGAGAAATTAAATACATCCCACTGCAATACAAAGCAGTACTTCATAGACGCCAAACTTCTACATCAATCATGGCGATCCAAGAAATCTCCGCGAAGAGCGCTGAGCCGCAGCCGAAGCCCAAGGAGGTGACAGATGAATCACAAGATCAGATCCTCGATGAGGAGAAGCTTGAGAAGGTATTCATTGGTTCTATCGACCAGGGTACCACAAGTACGCGATTTATTATCTTTGATGGCATGGGCGAAGTGAGTGGTTCTTGCATGTGACCGAAGTAGCCGTGACTGACTTGCTTGCAGCCGGTCGCGCAACACCAAATCGAGTTCACTCAACACTACCCACAGTCAGGATGGCACGAACACGACCCATATGAGCTTGTCAGCACTGTTGAGACATGTATAGAAAAGGCTACTGGCATCTTCGAAGACATGAACTACGATATTTCAGACATTAAGGCAGTAGGGATTACCAACCAGCGTGAAACCACTGTTGTGTGGGACACCAACACTGGTGTACCGCTCTACAACGCGATTGCATGGCCCGACACAAGAACCAAGGGGTTAGTCCGTGAGCTGAAGCAGAGAGAGGGAGCGGACGAGCTGCTTCAGTTGACTGGACTGCCGCTGTCCACATACCCCTCGTCGGTGAAGCTTGTGTGGCTTATCGACCATGTCGAGGATGTTCGTAAGGCCTACGACGAGGGCCGTCTATCGTTCGGTACCGTCGACACATGGATTTTGTACAACCTGAACGGTGGGAAGGAGCGCGACATTCACGTCACAGACTGCACGAACGCTTCGCGAACGATGTTCATGAATCTGCACACCGTCCAATACGACGACAGGCTCCTGGACTTCTTCAAGCTCGACCGCAAGAAGCTGAACCTGCCCAAGATTGTCCCGTCGTCTTCACCCGACGCCTTTGGTTCCCTTGCAAGAGGTATTCTTAAGGGGGTACCAATCGCTGGCTGCTTAGGTGACCAATCTTCGGCGTTGGTCGGCCAACAAGGGTTCACACCTGGATCTGCAAAGAACACATACGGAACTGGTTGTTTCCTGTTATACAACGTTGGCGAGAAGCCAGTCATCTCGAAACATGGTCTGCTCGCAACAATTGCATACGACTTCGGTGGCAATCGCAAGCCTGTGTACGCTCTCGAGGGAAGCATAGCGGTCGCTGGTTCCGGTGTAAAGTTTCTCATGAACAACATGGGTTTCATCACACATTCGCACAAGATCAGTGATCTTGCTGCAAGTGTAGAAGACAACGGTGGATGCGTTTTCGTTACAGCGTTCTCCGGTCTGTTCGCGCCGTACTGGATAGACGATGCGAAGGGCACAATCTTCGGTATTACACAGTTCACGGAACAGGGCCACATCGCGCGAGCAACTCTTGAGGCGACTTGCTTCCAGACAAAGGCCATTCTCGATGCGATGGAGCTGGACTCCGGGCATAAGCTTAATATGCTGGCTGTTGACGGCGGTATGAGTAACAGCAACCTCTGCATGCAGGTTGGTGCTCCTATGACATCACATTGAGGCTTAAGCGCGTCGCTAACTTTCTTTCTCCACAGACACAAGCGAACGTCATCGGTATCCCCGTCGACCGCCCCGCTATGCGCGAAACTACCGCGTTGGGCGCCGCTATCGCGGCCGGCTTCGCAGTTAACGTATGGAAAGAGTTTGATGAGCTGAAGGAGATCAATCAGAAGGACCGCATGGTCTTCGAGCCCAACGTAACTCAAGAACAAGGCGCGAAGATGTTCAAGAAGTGGTGAGTAGTAATGCCGCCTTTTTCGCCGGACATCGCTAACATGATCAGGAATCGCGCCGTCAAGATGTGCAGAGGTTGGCTCGATGCCGACGAGGCCAACGGCGAGTTTTCTTGAGTTGTACATAGTTGAGCGCACTCATATATCCTAACGCATATTCTTATACCATAATGACATCCAGGATATATTCTCTAATACTGATAGACCTGCAGTTAGCGAGCAAGCGCAAAGACGAGTCTGCACCTACGCCCATGCAAAAGAAGGCAAGAGCATCTCGCTATCTACAACAATACCACAACCGAAGGAAGCCGGTAAGTGAGCCCGAGGGGTTGCTAAAGCAGTTATCGTTCTTCTGCGGATAGTGACAGACCGTGGAGGTCTTCACAGTCAGCAACAACACCCGCGCACTCTAGTCTCAATGGCCATGCCCAGACATAGAGTGAGTGTTCAGCATGTGGCTTATTGTCGGATTGTTCACCTCTTAGTCTTGATTACACACTCTTTCCACGAACATCAATCGACCGCTGTCAGGATCCCTGTCCTCGACTCTTATATTTCTCTTCTTGAATTCAGCACTCGACGTCGCGGCTGAAGTAGTTGATGACCTGGGTGGGCTCCTTGGTGGCCAGCACAGTGAAGGGCTGCGCGTGACTTCTGCCTCACGCTTGCCGTGCAGTGGTACAACAAGGCGAATAATTGCTCCGAACAGCCGAGGATAATTGAAGACAGTTGATGGTAGCTAGCATGGCAGGCTTCATTTGGACCCTCAACCTGTCTCAAATGCTATCCGTCCGCCGACGGACTACCTTTGCATGCTGTTGAGTGTATGGGGTAGTTGATCGTAGTAGAAGCTGATCATGCGGGCAGTCAAGACTGGTTTCAAGTATACGAGGCCGGTGTACCGTGGGTGAGAGTGCGGGTTGTTGAGGAGAGCTCAGGGCAAGAACGAGAGTAAGTAACGTTTGATCACCAGACTTCAGAGAGCTTGACGTGTTGCTACCACCCTAATGTCTGCCTACTGCTTACATCGACGTCAAGGAAGAGGAGACCGTATTCCCCTTGTCGTATAGGAGTGATTCAGGCCTCTTCATGCAATTTTGGCTGCGCCGGTATTATGCTGAAGGACTCTGCTCACAGCCATGCGCGGCAAGCCCTCGTAACGTCCTATTGTCACAACTCGGCTGGCGTTAATTGAGACGGTTGTATCAGGGATTGTCACGTTCAACGCATTCTTGAGTGATGAAGCAAGCATGTCCAGATCAATCACTACACCTACCACGGCGTCCGTAGAAGAAGATATCGACTTGTGCAGAGCGTATGGACCAATGCGCAGATATCAGGAGGAACAGCAAGACCTCCAAAGCCTTTTGAGCGTCAGTCTACAAAGCTAATGCTATCTTCTTGTGGCGAAATTGGTTCTAAACACTGGATTACGACCAGTAGGTACTGTACGTAGCCAGGCGTCCTCAGTGGATCTACGGAGCCAGTTGCCGCTCCATATACCCAGCGCCTTTGACCGTGCTCTGTCCTCGGCGGAACTAAAAGTAAAGTAAACCCCTTCCGCACCGGAGCTGTCCAGAGCTTTGTCGGAATCTCATTCGTATCCCGTACAAACTTCTCCAACCACAGTGCTGCTCATGCGCGGCTTCATGTAATGCGCACATGTGGCACCTGCACGTTCCCGGGCATCATCCTCGGACGTCAGCAGGCCTCTCGTCACATGCAATGGAGCAGCTCTCACATCTCGATAAGCGTCGCCAATGAGTCCGGGGTTCCCATATCACCAACAGCACCACTGCGACTACTCAATTTGAACTCACACAATGATCCTCGATAGCACGTTCTAGACGCGTTTCCAAACCGCTTCCAAGATCCTGAGCACCTCCCGGCCCCCCGTCGAACGTCTTCGGCGTTCTCACTTGAACCCCGCACCCCTCAACAACCGCATGGCACGCAACCCCTCACCAACACGCCTTCTCCGTTCCTGGTTCCAAGCAGCGAATCCGCTCCAGAAGCTGGGGCAGAAAGTATCGATACAAACGCGCCCCTAGCTTGAAACTAGAAGGTGGGTCCGTTCGTGGACCCGCCCCATTTCCTATCTTGGCTACCGGCTAATTGGCAGGCGTCGAGTGCGTGTGCGACCACAAACGCCGGACATTGTTCTCATCACTCTCTCAATCCTGTAGACATCTAGGAAGGGTTGGATTTTGATGCTTGACGTCACGAAAGAGCTAGGATTTGGAGAAGAACCATCTTCAACACCAGGACTCGAGCTCAGCGATCACCTGCCGCGTGCGGGCCAGGGCGATACAGCTTCTGCACAGCTCGCAACGTTTCCGTCGAAGAGAATTCTGGTTCTTATGAAGCTGGACGCATCTTGAGTCAACATGAATGACATAGCGCCTGTAGACACTCACGGCAGCACGACCAAGGAAGCAACTCAAGTCGAGGAAGACGTACACGAGGATGCTCAAGGGTCGTCATCACGTGCGACAGAAGCATCACCAGAGACGCGTAGAAGCACTTTCAGACTACGACCGAAGTCGAAGCAGACATACAGCCACACACATTTCAAAGTATACAAAAGAAGATGGCTCGGTCTAGCACAACTCGTACTGCTGAACATTGTTGTCAGCTGGGACGTAAGTCTCCCTCACCCATCCCCTCAGCATCTCATAACTAACACCATCAGTGGCTGACATTCGCCCCGGTCTCAACGTCAGCAGCAACGTACTTCTCCGTCTCGGAAACAGCAATCAACTGGCTCTCCACAGGTTTCCTCTTCTCCTTCGCCGTCGCCGCTCCGCTGGTCATCTGGACGCTCCACCGGTCCCCGAAGGAGAGCATCCTTTGGGCCTCCGGTCTCCTTCTGGTCGGCAACTGGATCCGGTATGCAGGCACACGCGCCTCAGGCGGCATGTACGGCGTTGTGATGTTCGGGCAGATACTGACTGGTCTTGCACAACCTTTCGTTCTGGCTGCGCCGACGCGGTATTCGGATATGTGGTTCACGGAGCGCGGGCGTGTGGGCGCGACTGCGCTGGCGAGTCTGGCGAATCCGTTTGGCGGCGCTGTGAGTCCGGCCCCACCGACAAATTCGATATGAGAGAGCGAAATTGACTGACGACACAGCTTGCGCAATTGATAAACCCGCTCCTCGGCTCCGTCGACAAAATCGTCCTCATCATCGCAATCATAACAACAGTCTCATGCATACCCTCCATCTTCCTGCCCTCGGCGCCCCCTACACCACCAACCGCCTCCTCCAGCTTATCCCGAACGCCAGTACTTGCATCCATCAAAGTCATGCTGCGCTCGCCTCCGTTCTACATCGTCTTCCTAACATTCAGCGTGTACGTCGGCTTCTTCAACTCCTTCTCATCGTTGCTCAACCAAATCCTGTATCCCTACGGCTTCTCCGAAGACGAGGCAGGCATATGCGGCGCGGTGCTGATCGTCGTCGGCCTCGTGGTCGCTGGTATCACGGCCCCAGTTCTCGATAGAACGCACGCGTATCTGCTTGGGATCAAAATCCTGTGCCCGCTGGTGGCGCTCAGCTACCTGGCGATGATATGGGCGCCCCAGACAAGGAGCATTGTAGCGCCGTATGTGCTGAGTGCGGTGCTGGGCGCGAGTTCGTTTAGCTTGCTGCCGATTGCGCTCGAGTATCTTGTTGAAATTAGTTTCCCGGCAAGTCCTGAGGTTAGCTCGACGATTTGCTGGGTCGGGGGGCAGTTTTTCGGGGCGTGTTTTGTTCTGATCATGGATGCGTTGAAAGATGGGAGGAGCGTGGATTTGACGATGGTCAATGATGGAGGGACGATTGATAGTGAGGGCAACATGCCGCCGGGGAATATGTATAATGCGTTGGTGTTTGAGGCGGTGGTGGGGATGGTGGTCTTGCCGCTGCCGCTGATGTTGGGGGTGACGAGGCTGGGGCTGGCGAGCGGAGAGGGGAGATTGAAGGTCGACGAGCACAGAGAGGGAGAGGTGGCCGTGGGGCAGGAGAGTTGACTGTTGGAGGATTACGATGCTGCGTAGTCCAATTGAGGTCTCCTTCTTGTCAATCGTAGCTTTTGTCGTGGCTGTGATGCTGGTGATGATATTGTGAATCTTCAATTTTCAAGGCGCAGGCCCAAGTAACAGTAGTGATAAAGATAATGAAATTACTTGGCATGGTAAATAGTACAGTGTTATTTTAAACATGACTCTGGTATTTACAGTCATCCTTGACGTGTCTTGTCGTGTCTTTCGGTCCAATGGCCATCTTCCGACTATCGAGTCATGTATTCGGCACGGTAGCGGTTGAGGTGGGCGAGGTATTGGCGAGTTTACTTGAGCTGAGCGAAGAGCTTGGGGGCAGCGCATGCGGTCGCGCAGTGCACGAGGTGGAAGACTGTCACACGTTAGTGTCTCGGTTCCCAACAGCGTAGGCGGTGGTGACATACACTCCTCGACGCAGTCCTCGCTGGCCTTGCCGTCGTTGTCGATCTGGCCGGTGACGCGCTCGACGCACTCGTCGTAGTGGTGCTTGGGGCCGTGGCACTCCTTGGAGTTGCGGCACTCTGGAGGGTGTTAGCTGCGATTCGCCCTTCAGTGGCTAAAGGGCAGATTCCAGTTTCGATTGCTCATCAGATGCGTCAAAGCGTCCTGACTGTGTAACAAAATTGGAACCGTCCATTGCCGCATTTTCGGAAACTCACCCTCCTCAAGAGTCTCCTTTGGGTCTACGAGCTCCTCCTCCTCCTCTTCCTCCTCCTCGGCCTCATCCTCGTCATCGCCGCCGTCGCTGGGCCTGTGTCCCTGCTCGTCGGACTCGTCCGACTTGGCGTCCTGCTTGTTGACCTCGGCCTCCTCGCTCGACTCCTCGTCGGTGCCCGAGGCGGGTGTCTGAGTCGATGTGCCACCCTGGGGAGGAGCTTCGGCATCGGCCGAAGGCAGGGCGAATGTGTCCCAGGCGGCGGAGAAGAAGTCGGTGATACCCATTGTGACGGTGGGGCGACAATTGAGTCTCAAGCGGGTCGGGTGGTGATGTAGACAGCGGGTGAGGGTGTCGTCGTTGCAGCTTGGATGCGAATTCCGTCGAACGGCCGTGCTTGGCGCGCTAAATCCTGTCATCCCCAACGAGCCGCAACTCATTGGATCCTCGAGGCTGAGATGCTGGACGCACTCTGGAATGAATTTTTGCTTTTCAAAATTTGTGTGAATTCATGAAGCAGGTTCGATTCTTTGGTGCAGCTAGCCGCGATGTTTCTTGAACGCCTCCTGCACGCTCACGCCTGCCTCCACGTCCACGATCACCTTCTCGTCGGCGCCCACGAGTTTGGGTAGGAGCTCAAGCAGCTCATCGACCTTGTCCTGCGGTACTGCAACCACACCGTTCTCAAACGGATCGATCATGACGATGTCGCCAGCCTCGACGGTCGTCTCGCCAATGTGCACAGGCACGCTGTGAGCGTGGAACTTCGTCTCCGCTCCGGCGCCGATAATCGAGGTCCCCTTTGACCAGATGGGCAGCTGCGTCTCGTTCAGAGCGACCAAGTCGCGCACCCTGCCGTCAACAACTAGTGCATGTGCACCGAGGTGCTTCATGCGTGCTGCCATGATGCCGCCCACGACTGCGCAAGATTGGCCTGGTGGTTGGCTGATCACAACTATAGTGCCATCCTCAGTGTAGTCTGCATACGGCCTCGAGTCTGGCAGATTCGAAGCTGGAGCATCTGCAGGTAGCGTGGTAGGGTTGGGGAAAGACTTGGTGGCTCTGGGTGCCATTAAGAATGTCGATGCAGGCGCGAGGACCTTCTTTGGCGCTGGCCCTGGTGTGCTCGCAGCATGTGGCATTGGCTCTGTCGCGTGTTAGTAGATCGTTGCAGTACTCACAAGATGAGTCGTACGTATGTTAGCTAGGAAGCCTGCGCCCGGCACGTTGAGCTTGAGCAAGCCATCTGCAACCTAGATTCGCTCAGCGTGAAGCCTGAATGTCGACAGGCTCACGATGCAACTCACGTCACATGCTGCATATTTGTACAGCTCCTTCCATCTGGGTGATGCCATTTTTGAAACCAGGTGACTAGGTTGTCAATCCGAGTGCTGAATGAACTGAAAGGCATGGGATGCTATTGGAGTACCCCATGTTCCAATGCTCCATGACCCCGCTAGGCCGGGGTGCTCGTGAGCTCCAACTAGCGTGCACTGCACCTAATATCTCAGCATGTAACAACAAGGTCGGTCAGGCACAGTCCATCTTAGTGAATAGTTGAGAACTAGCTATGTCTGCTGTCTCTCGAGCTCAAGTGCCCCAGCCAGTGCAAGTGGAGTTCACTCAGACATGCTTGCGTGCAGTGTAGAAGACATGCATCTTCATGAAGCTCCTCTTACTGTGCACGTAAGAGTGGGATTTGAAAATACCTTAATGACCTCCTAGCTGCCATCAAAGTCGCAGGGCCCACCTTCCGTTCCGGTGGGTGAGGCTCAGTTGACATGTCACGTGGAGCTACGCCACATGATTCAGGGTCGATCGGCGGAGCACTTATTCGGCGCTCTTCGATTCACCACCATCCGCTAGCGACACTGTCGCGCCGTCTCCCCAGACCGATGCGCCTTCGATCCTCACGCTCTTGTTCCCCGTAGTCTGGTCTTTCAAGTACACGACCGCGGCCTTTGCCGCCCTTTACTATTCAACATGGCTTCCACTGCACCCGCAGCGGTTCACGTACGTCGACTTGCCGCGGCCGCCGACATCGCGTCATTGAACGCCGCTAACTTATCTACAGAACCTCGTCGCCGCTGCCACAGGACTGCGTCCCACCATGTCTGCTGCTCTGAGGCTGTCGTGGCAGGCATTCGGGCGTACGCCTGCTGCCAACAGCGCCAGGCAGATGCACACCGCCCTGCCTCTCGTTTCCAGTCCCCTCGCCCGCAATGCATCCCTGAAGTCGCAGATCACAAGACATTATTCGTCTTTGTCGCGCAACGGCCCCCTCACGCAGCTTCGCCAGCAGCCCCGGTTTGGCATGGTCGGTCTCGGTCTGGCGCAGCAGCGCTCGCTCTTCGGTGGCCCTTCTCGGGACCAGCTTGCTCGTCTGGAGGAAGCCGCCAACAACAACCCCAACAGTGCTACTTCTCAGGCTTCGTTCTACTCGGCTGTCATGCGCGCCAACATGCCGCAAATCGTCATCGATCGCTACAACACCGGCCAATTCGCCACAAATGCCGTCTCGGACCGCCTCTACCGTCAAGCGCTCGAGAAGACGGGCCAATCTGCTGCTATTGGTAATGCACAAGGAGGCAACAATGGCCTGACGCCACAGCAGATCCAGGCCGTCAGCCAGGCTGTGGGCGCCAACATGGGCGCAGGTCAGATTGGAAAGGCACGCGGCGGCGTGGGCGCCAAGAGCGACCCCGTCTACGTCGTTGTCGAAGAATCCATGTGGAACGTCATTTTCAAGTGGGTCAGATGGCTTGCTGGCTTCGCGCTAGCAGCCTACGTCTCCTTGATCTTGATCACCCTCTTCGTTGAGACCAGCGGCGTCCTCAAGAAGGTCGGCGGTGGCACCAGCGCTGAGGTCCGTCCCGAGCACCAAAACACACGCTTCAGCGACGTACATGGATGTGACGAGGCCAAGGAGGAGCTTCTCGACGTTGTCGACTTCCTGAAGCACCCTGAGCGTTACAACAAGCTTGGTGGCAGACTGCCAAAGGGTGTCCTGCTCATTGGCCCCCCTGGTACTGGTAAGACACTGCTCGCTCGTGCTGTTGCCGGTGAGGCTGGTGTCCCTTTCTTTTACATGTCTGGATCTGAGTTCGACGAGGTCTATGTCGGTGTTGGTGCCAAGCGCGTTCGCGAACTCTTCACCACTGCTCGAGCTAAGGCCCCTGCCATTGTATTCATCGATGAGCTTGACGCTATCGGCGGCAAGCGTAAGTCGCGCGATGCCAATTACCACCGTCAGACCCTCAACCAGCTGCTGAACGATCTCGATGGATTCGACCAATCCACTGGTGTCATCTTCATCGCCGCTACGAACCACCCAGAATTGCTTGACTCGGCTCTGCTGCGTCCTGGACGATTCGATCGCCACGTACAGGTCGAGCTTCCCGACGTCGGCGGCCGTCTCGCTATTCTGAAGTACCACACCAAGAAGATCCGCCTGTCCCCTGAAATCGACCTTTCGACGATTGCTCGCGGTACACCTGGTTTCTCTGGTGCTGAACTTGAAAACCTCGCCAACTCCGCTGCTATCCGTGCTTCTAAGCTCCAGTCCAAGTTCGTCTCGCTGAACGACCTCGAGTGGGCTAAGGACAAGATTACAATGGGTTCTGAGAAGAAGACTCGCGCCGTCCCTCTCCAGGACAAGATCCACACTGCCTACCACGAGGGAGGTCACGCTCTTGTCGGTCTCTTCACAAAGGGTTACAGTGATGTGCACAAGGCCACTATTCTTCCCCGAGGTCACGCTGCGGGTATCACATTTTTCCTTCCCCAGGAAGAACACCACCACACTCGATCGCAATACATCCGCCAACTACAAGTCTGCATGGGTGGCAAGATGGCCGAAGAAATCATTTTCGGTGCTGACAACGTAGCTGACGGTGCATCCGGCGATATCCAGCAAGCCACACAGCTAGCATACAGCATGGTAACAGCCTGTGGTTTCTCGGACGTGCTCGGCAATGTCGACTTCAAGTCCAACTACGAGATGGTCTCACCCGAGACAAAGCGCCTCATCGACAACGAAGTCCGTCGCTTGATCGACGAGGCGCGAGTCAGCGCGAGGAAACTCCTTGAAGAGAAGCGTCCCGAGCTCGACCGCCTTGCTGAGGCCCTCGTCCAGTACGAGACTCTGGACAAAGCTGAGATTATGAAGGTCATCAAGGGCGAGAATCTGCCCGATCGTATCAAGTCGAGTCCAGATGCGCCGATCAAGATGCCCACAAGAGCGCTGCCGTTACCTGTAGCGCTGCCGGTGCCTGGTACTGGCAATGAGGGCGGGCCTCCGGGGCCTAGTGTGGTCGCATGAGGGAAATATTGAAATTGCCCCGGATCTGGAGCAAAGCATCGTTGCATCTTTGCATGCAGAGGCGAATGGCGTTTTGAGGCCCTCTTCCCTCTCGCTTCGAGCGTTGCTCGTCTTTCATTATGTATAATGCAGGTATAACTAGCGTGCGAAAGGCATTGCGTGGATCGAGCACTGCACTGAGCATGCCAGGTTGAGAGATGGAAGGACGGGAGACGTGTAACTAGACTGAGGTGAATTGGAAAAATGAAATACAGCTTCGCAATCGTATCTGTCCGGTTGTGTGGTGCGATGTTTGCAGAGTACTCTGACTAAGCCCTGCCAATACAGACTGCACGTATGCCTCCACCAGCTTTGCGAACGTGGGTACCAGTCCGACACCACAAAGTCAATTCGACTTCTTAGATTAGAGCCAATTGGCCATGCCATTAAGTCGCGTAGAGTCCTTGTAATATCGCCTGTCGCTCCTTGCGTAGAGACTTGAGATCGCGCCTGGAAGCGGAATACCTGTGTGGCTGGATAATTGGGGCAGCCGCTTTGCGTACAAGTCTGTATGTTCCGTAGCTCTGGAAGCACGGTGTGGGATGCGGTCAATGCCAGTCTCAACCCAAGCCTTTCTCAAAAAGCCAAATCGAGAATCGTATCGTTCCTCGGTGGTCTCTACCAGACCCGCAGATGTGAAGGCATTGCCTATCATCTCGGCCCAAGTAAGTGCTTCTCTTCAGATAGTGGACTGTCAATCTACGAAAGTCAGCCTTCAGTCGAACAAAGGCCGTTCAGCCTTCGGGCCACGCTCACAGCAGTTCTGATTGTCCAGCCCGACGTTTTGGATTCTGGGATATGAGCCCAATCCTGGCATCTCCGCTTTCTGTTGTATCGAGGGCCTTGGGGGGGGGGGGGGAGCTGAGGCCTTTCGGTGCACTGTCAATGGGTACTAGACCCCGGGAACGTCGTGGCGGGGAAGATATAAGTTGAGGAGGCACGTGGAGAAATGACTGGAAAAGGCCAGCTTGGGCCACGTAGGACTGTGCCTCCTCTCGAGTTTACCGATAGTCTAGGATTGTCGTTGACTCGCAGTGCTTGTTCCGTCGACTATTTAATTGTGAATGGGTGCACCGAGATGCTTAAGACGTCCAAATTTGAGGGAAAGATTGGTGACTGAGATCCTCATCTAGTCCGCGTAAAGAGTATCATTCAAGACGAGCAACGATTTCTGCACGGTTTTCTTGCACCTGCGATTCCTGTGCCTACCTCCCATCAAAGTTTTTCCAGGTCTACTTCTGATGTACATCCCTCATGTGTCTGGCTAAGTTGTCCGTTCGAGTCGTCGAGTGCGTGCAACCGACTGCTCCACAATAGAACCACGTCTCATTCCTGGTGGGGTACCTGGAGGAGTTGTATCGCTTCTCAAGGTCATCTCCAACGCGCGTCCTGAGACATACATGTCGCATCAACATGCAGATTGTCCTTCTCGGTCCTTCCGCAAAGTTGCTTTCCAATCTCTTGTGCTACGCGTATCCGTGCACTCCTGTCAAGCTGCGACAACCACGCGACACACGTGATCCTCCCAAATGCCCCCAAACTTCTCCATGTTCAGCACCATACAATGCAACATTAATCCTCCTTGGCGTCTAACCTCTGCACAAATGACGCCTCGGATGCATCATTTTCCCTCCACATGATCACCTTTCCCTTCCCCTTTCCACAGGCCTCCATCCAATCTCTAAAGGCCACAACGTCAACTCTAAATCCCTCAATCAACGGAATGCCTCCAGCCTTCTCCAATTTCATGACCGTACGATGAAATGTCTCGCCCTCTTGCTGTTCAGCGATCGAATACGGATCAACCGATGGGAGCTCAGAAGTACTGCTTGCTGCTCGAAGACTGTGGTGGAAGTTGAACTTTGCAGAATGACGCAGTGCTTGACCAAGGTTCTGGAGAGATGAGAAGCGCTTGACCTTGTTTTGCGTCGGAGTCGAAGTCAGAGTCGGAGGCTTGGCATCATCGAGGTAGATGGTGTGAAGGCAGTCGCTCGTGGAGGTGACGGCGCTGATATGCCAGGCAAGCATAAGATGGGGTGGCGTGCTTCTATCTGGAGATGTGTTGCCTTTGATGAGAACGTAGCACCATCGCCCTTCGCCGGTCTTTGCGCGCTGCGACATGCTCACGTAACGGACATGCTTAGGTGCTGCTTTGCCAGTCAGTCCGAAGGTCTGTTTGATGATGCCTACCGGAGAGCTAGACTGAGGCGGTGATGAGTGTGCTTCCTTACGACTAGGGTCTTCGAACACGTCGACTTCGTGGTATGACATCTCAGCAGCATCGCCAGGACCAAGGAACCGTACCTCCTTGTGTGGCTCAGTGCTGGTATCATAAAAGCTCACGGAGAGCAGTTGCTTCCTCACTGGTGGTGTGATGGGGTATGCGAAGGCTGAATGTATGGAGAAGAGTTTCGGATCGTGAAGTCGGTGGTACAAGGCCCAAATGGTGTGTGACCAGATCAGGAGAATGGTCAGAAGCGCGTGAGTGTTTCCTGCGAATTCAGCCTTCCATTCTGCTTCTGCATCGAGCGGAAGTACAGGCAAGCCTGTGGTTTTGTCGTGGCGGGAGCGCTGCGCCATAGGCGGACCGAATCCTTCCTGGGTCGTTGAGGAGTGCGCACGCTTCTTTGACTTTGTCGACTTTACTGGTGATGGTGCTTGGATGGTGATATGAGGCGGAGGAGACGAGCTTGTGTACTGACTGGATTGCACACTACTGTCGTCGAGAGCACCGTTGGCTTCCACATACCGTCTAGCGTAACGGCGAGCGATCTCATTATGATTAGACTTATTTATTGCGGGCGCGATACCTGGAGAGGGAAAGAGAACTGGTAACGATCCATATCTCTCCAAGATTGATGGATTTTTTGAAAGGTAACCGGAAGATTCTCTGTCGGCATGTTTACTCGTTTCTGGCGCGATGTGTCGAGAGCAAGTGGGGCGCAGTCCTGACAGCAGCTTCTTGCTTGTCGAGTGACGCAAAGGTGAAATAGTAACGTCGCTGCTACTGAGATTGGGAAACGGAAGGAGCGAGCTCGTACGCGGAGGGAATGATACTGGCGGTAGCGAGGGTCCACTTGAAGCACTGCCTGGTCGCGAGTCATCACTCACTGCGAGCGTGGTGCTTGATCCGTATTGCCATGAGCCGTAGTCCTCACCAGATGCATAAAATGTGTGCTGACTCGCAGCATCGCTGGCTTTGTCGCTATCGCTGTCAACGAAGGTGTATTGCTGAGCGACCGCTACGGCCCGCTTCTCAGATGTCCACTCAGGAACGTTGATCTTCAGCTTGCTGCTGGCGCTGGTCGTACTATCCTGTGTTAGGTTTGCGCGCACAGGGCTTTCCTTCTCCTCCAGGATCTCTGTCAGTGCCGTCTTGCTCTGCTGAGATGGCACATAAGTTGCGAAGCTCTCACTTCGTCTCGAAGCAAACACGTCAGTGGCATAAATTTGTTCGTAATCGGACATACCAGACTCGAAGCTTTCTGGTAAGTCGCTTGGCATGGATGGTGGGATTACAAACGGCTCAGGATCTCTGATGCCTAGAACCTGGTTCAGAGCCTTAGATGCGCGGAAGGTCCGAAATACGCTGTTCATGGCATCTGTCTTGCTGCGGTGCGGCGTCTTAGCTTGCGGCTTGTTGTGTAGATCAGCGGGCGGTTGATCTGGCGATGCGCTCCCAAACAAGTTCGGCATGGATGGTGAGCGCATACTGAACTTATCGAAGGCCTCTACGAGTTACGAGGGGGCCAGTCGCTGATAGAGACTGTGCGGAATCGGAGGGCGAGAAATTCAAGGACAACGTGGATGTCAGTGTGTTGAGTTCCGCTGTTTGTACTGGAGAGCCCAGATCGAATTTTGACCTTGATCGTTTGCTTGTGTGGTCACTGCTTTCGCCATGTGGCGCTCTCATAGTGAAGTGAAGGCGAGCTATGACTTTTGAATTTGACACAACGCACGCGGATCAGAATGCCAGCCATGAGGAAGTCGCAGTATGATGGGTGCGGTAGGTGAAGTGCTCGATCCTGAAGTTGCAAGGTTCTGTAATCCTATCAGCTGGGTGGAGATAATTCCATAAGGTGAACGTAGGTGTGTGAGACTGTCAGGTGATGTTGTGAATTGTCATTAGATATTAAATTGATAGCAGACCACAAAGCTCGGGCTCAGTGAAACATGCACGTAGACAGTGTCGCTCAAGCTGCCGCTTTCACCAGACTGCTGTGTCTTTATCACGGTTAGTTTAACCCTCAGTCGAGAAGACGTAGTCAGCCTCTAGTGTGTAAGCAGGGTCGTTGGGACCGAAGATCTGCCTCTTCTCGCGCTGCCACTCAGGCTGGTTGATAGCATCAATATAATCCTGGACCTCCATGACGACGCAGCCGTACTTCTCAACGGTGCGGCGACGGCTGTCAAGGCCCTGAGTAGACTTGATGGGAAGGGAACCTGTTCGCGAATTAGCACTCTGTACTCTCTCCGCCATGAGGGTAAACTAACCGTTCTGGCCACCGCAGCTGTAGACCTGGAAAGCCTCCTGGTCGGTGAAGATGTCGACCTTGATGCCGGACCACGCGCTGGACAGTGATGCAACGGGACCGGACATGCGCCAGTCGAAAGGTCCGTTCTGGTCACGGTTGACTGCGTAGCAGTTGTCATAACCGGTGCAGTTGTAACCGCAGTTTCCGAGAAGCTCGGGCGCAGTCAGGTTGGCACCGACTTGCTTGGGCGCAGACCAGAAGTCGTTGACGGAGTACTTCTCGTTAGGAAGGATGGTACCATCGGGAATAAGGATATTGTCAACACCAACACGCTGGCCGGAGTAAGGCAGGTACAGGGTGTGGTTCAGAGCAGTCGGTGTGTCGGGATTCTGGAAGCCGTCCAAGTTCCAGTAAGTGTGCGAAGTTAACATGATGGGTGTCTTCTTGGTAGTTGCAAGGGCGACAATCTTAATGTTCCAGGTGTTGGGGGACATGGTGTACGTGATGTAGCTGATGACTTCACCAGGGAAGCCCTCCTTGCCATCAGGGTCAACGATTGAGAAAGTGATCGAAGACTTGGTGTGCGCCACAACCGTGAAGTTGCGCCAATCTACAATAGTCAGAACATGTAATTAATGTATGGAAATATGAGCTTACCCCATCCGTCGACACCGCCGTGCAGTGTGTTGGCACCACCGTTCTCGTTGGGTGTGATGTGGTAATCAACCCCATCGATATTGAACGTGCTGTTCTTGATGCGGTTTGCGTAGCGTCCGGGAACACCTCCAAAGTGAGGGTGAACGGGGTCGATCGAGTAGTACGAAGCGTTGTCGAAACCAAGGACGATGTCGCGCTCTACGCCATCTTTGCCCTTAATGAAAAGGTTTGAGATGGAGGCTCCGTAGGGAATGAACAGCCCGCGGATACCTTCGGCAGAGATCTCGTACTTGCCATTCTCATCAGGACCCGAGGTGGTGTTAGTCGGGAAGTTGGACGGCGCCGCAATAGCAGTTGCCGCGAAAAATGCTGAGAGGAAAGCGATCTTCATCTTGGACCTGCGCCTTGGTGCTCAAGTTGAGATAATTGACAAGCTTTGCGGAGAGGTTGAGCGCTGAAAGCTGGGGAGAAGCTGGGGATCATAAGTAGTGCGTTCGTACGACTCCACGGACCTGGTAACCAACGCCTAACCACTTTCCTTCGCCCACCCGTTGCTCTCGCTAGCGCAAGCCCGTTGGCGACGTAACATGACCTTGATAGAGGCGGGTCGTAACCGCGTGGAGAATCGCGCTTTTCCCCGCACATGGGCTTGCCATGCCGATCTCTCAGGAACACGAGCAAACGGAGTCGGCGCCGAAAGCATAGAGAGCCGCTTTGAAGCCTTCAAAAGGTCGATTGGGCTTTCATGCCTTCTTTGCGCTCGTTGCACAAGTGTTGCTCATGGTGCTGCGACCTGCATTCCCGGTCACGGCGTTACACGTCGAAAGGGTGAGCTCTGGGGTAAGCTCTCCTGCTTGCAAGCTTCAGGGTTCAGACCTGCTCAGAAATATAGCGTCATCGCTTCTTCTTACGGAATATTCACCACCGGTAAAGGGCATTCCATCGTACGCCTGTAGGTAAAACGCCTCTCGGTCGGTTGGCCGACTCGCGGAAAAACCGGAGTGACATGGGGAGGTTGAAATATGATGCGGAGAGCGGCTGGGGCGTCCTTGCCATCCTTGTCCGCTGCTTCCAAGCTGCGAGGCGGGGAAGCTTGACCGTGCCACGCTATTTGCTGACACGCCAACGCGATCACGGGATGGTATACTACAACAGGCATTCAAGCCGCATCGCAGGCCTGTCATATCATATTTACACAACGCAATCTTGTTACCGAACACTCATTAGAATCGAAATTATCGTGCATGCCATCCCCTGGAAGAACACCGAAGGCCTTCTCGCCTCCATGAACGCAAGTGCTTCCATCACAAGCATCGCCGTAAACCCGGCCTCGTAACGTTAGCCGCCCATGGCACGAACATACACATATATACCATCAGCCATCGTGCGAGGCACTCCAGCCCCGTGAATTCTGTTAGCCCTTTCAAGCACGTCTCACATACTGAGGCAGCTCTCAGATACTGCCTAGACCTTGCGCTTCTTCCTGGCTGGACCGGACGATGACGCCAGGAGTGGTTGGAAAGGCCGCAAAAGGGCTCCGGCAGTGTAGGGTTCTTCGATATCGGACGGAAGCACCAATGGTTGTTCTTCGCCAATGTAGTTCACATGTGAACCACTTGTATGGGGCGAGAACTCACCCTCGTCAGTACTGCCGGTCGTGTTAAATGCAGCGGGTGCAATCGCACCGTAATGCGTTTGATTGAATAAGCTTGTCGGTGGTTCGTATGGTATGAAAGAGTGACGCTGTTCTGCTGCGGCTACTTGAACGTCCAAGTGCAGAGCGATGGAGTTAGCCCGGCCTTTTGGCTTTGGCGCATCGATCTGGGAGACCACATTGATAGCTGTCAACAGGCTGTCGAAGCTACTACGGGACGCAAGTCGATGCGTCTGGTCGACCATCTTTGGCTCTTGTGCATAGGAAGTTGATGCGTTCTCTGCTTGTACGGTTCTTGCGACGGTGTGTGGCAGGCCCTCAAGTGTGGGAAATTCCGATAGCGGTTGGACCTGCGGTGCATCATTTGCTAGAGAAGATGCGGACTGCGAGATGGAGGCCTTGGTCCGGCTCTGCTTCATTGTAGAAGGGAGAGGCTTAATCACAACAGACGTGGACCGCCCATCCTTACAGCTAGGGTGGTCGTCCCAGGCGACACCAGGCTTCTTGTGCTTTGCCCAGCATCCTGTCGTTGTCGCAAGATCGTTGACTTTCTTGCCCCAATGGTGTTTCTTCGCACCAGTCAGGGTCGAGAAACCCTTACCACAGAGAATGTGTATGTAGGGGCCTCCCAGGGACTGGCTACGATCGACGGTAGTAGCTGGATATACCTCTGCTATCTCTGCTACGTCCTCTGTTCGCAATGCGTTGGGCGGCAACCAAGAGGTGGGGGTTGGAGGTGCATGGAGATCCGCAGTATGCTCTTCCAGCTTCACTGTATAAAATGTGTCTTGCTCGATAGGTGATGGAATTGTATCACGTGTGGGGTGAGAAGTATACAGAGAGTGTGAAGTCTCCTGCTGAGGCGATGTCGGCATCGTGTATGACTCAGCATGATGAGGATGGGGCAAAGGTGCCTGAAGTTGATCATGGAACGGTAAAGTCGATGGCCCTTGTATATCGAAGTTCCCACCAATGTTTGTGTTGTTTGGTGGAAAGCCAATGTCATCACTCATCCAGTTGTCGGCGCGATTCGAATTACCCCATGGATTACGGAACGATGGGACGGGAGATGCCAAGAACTCGTCAACATGAAGATTTGTGTACGCGGAATCTGTATCGATATCTGTCCATAGGCGAGTGGGTAGGTCGGGTAGTTTAAAGGGCGGAGGGATCGGTGGAGATGGAGACGATGCCAAGGACTGTTGGCCGCCGAAGCCGTTTTGGTCATTGAACATCATGAGACTGGCCGACTGATCATTGTGAGGGAGCGTAAACCAACTCGAAAAGGACGGTAGACGCATCCGGAGTTCGTGCGCAGGCTGGAGATATTGAGGAGCGGTCTCCAGCTGGACTTGCGTAGAATGCTGAGTCGGTAGATCGAAGTCACCTGGTCCCCACCTAGCTGCTGGATGCATGAGTATGTCCATCAGTTCCTGCCTGAGATCGTTATGTCCCTCAAGAGTATCTAGTATGATCTTGTGCGTCTTGTGCTTGCTCAGTGCCCTCTGCCTGAAGAGGTCCAATGTCTTATGGACGTCGAACACCTGGAATGAGTGCTCCCCGAACCGGGCCTGGAAAGGGCCGAGTCAGAACGGATGAAATACGAGTCTCCTCTTTGTTTTGGAGAATACCTTTACGTTGACAAGAAATCTGATGCTCGCAGTTTTCAGCTCCTCGCGCTGACCTGTATCATCCTGCGTGTCGGATGGCAGCCTGCATAAAAGTCAACAAGGTTAGTTTTGCGGGTCCTAGGCCGGCTTACTGAAGCTCGGGCAGCTTATCAGACATTTTGGCGATCCTGGGATAGTGCGATGTCAATCGAGACGTGGCTGAGAGGAAATGTGATAGTTTGCGGTCTTCAAGGTCTTGGCGACAGGCACGGCTGCGGTGAAGTGAAGACAACGTGAGCGGTGTACACGGGCGTTTGTGCAACAGATTTGATATCTAATTGGCAGATGGCGGTAAGGCTGTCCGCATGTGTTTGTACATGTCCGGATGGTGAGACCTTGTGACACGTGTTGATTGTTGACCTAAGGACTGTAAACGGCAGCCGCGCTCACTAACCATGACGTCGGGGTAGTATACCGAGACTTCCTTCCTTTACTACAATGTAATCGCAAGCGATTTCTGCTTGTGTGCTGTACTCTCAGCTGCACGGTGTGGTGGCCTGGCCTCGGTATACCGTCTGTCGAACGGTGCCAGCGTCGTACACGACTTCAGCAATGCTTTTCCTGCAGCGCCACCCGCTGTCCATGCTGTCAAACAATACAAGATCTGCAGGCTCTCCATGCTTGAGACTAAGTGTAGAAGCTTCGTGGCCAATAGCACTCTTTGCACGAGATGAGACCGCCTCCTGCGTATCCGCATTAGCGCGATTTCGAATGAAAGGAACAAAGGGAATATTCCGACCTACATAGAGCAGCTGTACGTCCTCCTTGGTAGGTGCCTGATAAAGACCCACACCAAGCTGTGCAACGCTCAGGGGATCGCAACTTCCTTGAGGCGTGAAGGCATTGCCAACGTTATTAATCGCAATCGCAACATTTAGGCCATATTCTTTGATCAGCCGTATGACTGGCAGTGTTCCGCGCAAGTTATCTGGGGTCCTCATCATGAACAGGTCAGAGGTAGGCAGCCCAACGAAGGAGACATTGAGCTCGCCTACCTCCTGCTTTAGTTGGTCCCATTCGTCGTGCCGAAACCTTGTCAAGCGTGTGCAATGTCCAAGAGTGGCCTGTCTACCTTTCGCCTGCGTCCAATTTTGCTCCTTAAGTATCTTCAATACATCCCAGACGAGAGGCTGCTTATCTTCCTCGAGGAAGTAGTCCAGATGCAGGTCCAGATGTTTCCTGTGCTCCAGTGCTAGAGCAGATATCCAGCTGGCATTTTCCTTTGATTTGCTCTCATCGTCTTCGACGTACGGTGTCGAGCCAAGTGCTTCCACGTTCTCATTGGATGCTGCAGCCTTCATAAGTTTCCTGACTTCTGCGCCGCCATTATCTCCAGAGAACAGCGGAAGCTGAGCAAACGCGCAGATCTGAATGTTGCAGGCTTCTTTGTACTTCTCTCGCAGTTTTAGCCCCGCATGTAAGCACTTAAGTCCAACGACGCCATCCACTTCCACGAAAGCTCGCATAGCAGTGACACCGTGCTGTATGCTCTCCTGGATCAATTGGCTACCACGTCTCATCAGGTCCTCCTCTTCGAACTTTGCTTTCGCGGTGCTGGTAAGTACCATGGCTTCTTGGAAGTCGCCGCTCTCAATCTGTAAATCTTCGTACTTTGGGTCTTGCAGCAGGAAGCACTTATCCAGATGAATATGGGCATGACAGAGGGATGGGGCTACCATTCTGTTAGATCCGTCCAATATTCCGTCCTGGTTGAATCCAGTCGATCCGTTATGTTGAGTCACCGAGGCAATCCTGCCCTCCTTGATCGAGATGTCCCATAACTCAGAAGGCTGCTTGTCAGGTAGACGGACGCGCGTAATCTTGCTCAGGGGAGGTGTGTACGGCATCTTGTAACGTGACTGATCTGAGGCTCGAGAAGTATGAATGATAGATCAGGCTTGCACAAGGAGATGGAGGATGGATGATGACGCCGAGATAGAGATGGAGATTCGGACAGCTATACCTACCTAGCTTGATGCGTGATGATATCTATGCGCGTCGCTGATCGTCAGTCGCCAAGGAGTACGAACAGAGACAGTGAACAGCTCGAAGAGGCATCATGAAGCCTTGTACAGCATCCGTCAACTTCCATTGAACAACAAAACGAGTTTGCATGATGATTGAAGATGCTGAGACACTGTTGAGTGCAGATGCGGCGTTCCCAGCCAGTGGCGGTGCCCCGCCTTCAGCGTTTAGGGGGGCGGCGTGCCAATCATTATCAGCCCTGTGCACAGCTACCTTGACGCGTTTCCTAGACGCTCCTTCCTTCATCTCGCATCCATCGAGGAAGTCGCGACCCCATCCTCGCTGTCGTCCTACAAAGTTGTTGCTCGCCCAAAATGCAGCAGGCGAATTATCGGAATTACAATTACCCGCAAAATGCAGGCACAGGCACAATCGGAACTCCTGCTCGGCGAGGGCCCGGTACGTAACTCCACTTTGTGAATTCCACCACCACGAAACCCAGCTCGCGCGCACCTTCCTAAAGCCAGTTATGATCAGTAGGGCTGACTTAGACGCCATGTTTCGCAAACCAGCCCCGATTGCACATCCTCAACACCAAGCTGTGCAGCAGTACAACGCCGTAAATATGCAAGCCCAGCAACGTGCCGAGGCCGAACGACGCGAAAAGATGCGCCGGATCGCGAAGAACCCTACAGATAAGAACATTCCTGAGGGTGTCGAAGACGTCTGCATTGGCGACGGCGTAGTGCGTTACCGCGAGTTGCGCGAAATCGAGCGCACGCTCGACGCGACCATGATGCGCAAGAAGCTCGATGTCATGGACTCGAAGCACCACTCAAGGGCTTCGCGCTATGGTACTATGCGCATTTGGATCTCCAACACAGCCGAGAACCAGCCGTGGCAGGGCAATGGCATTGATACGGAGGCCTTTGACTTCGAGAGCGACACCAATGCCACCTACCGCGTCAAGATCCAGGGTAAACTTCTGGATGACGAGGGCGACGAGGGGCTCGAGGACGAGAACGAAGACGAGGAGGGCAAGGAGGCTGACGGTACGTGCATTTTGGCGCACACACTTCCTTGAGCGCATTCTCTGGAGTCTTGCGCAAGACTCTCGGAGGGATGAATTTGCTTGCGCATGACTCGTATGCTTGATCCCTGGAGAATGAGAGCTGACATAACGTTACAGCCATGGACGAGGACGGCGCAGAGCCGAAGCCAGCTCCGAAACCGAAGATGTTCTCCCAGTACTTCAGTGCAATTACGATCGACTTCGACCGAAACAAGAACCTCCAACCTGACAACTTGACACAGATCGAGTGGAAGCGACCAGAGAACCCCACAGCGAAGGAGAGCAACTTCAGCGAGCTCGAGTTCGAGCGCAAGGGCGACGAGAACATCAACATTTCGATTGGCCTGCAGCGATTCCAGAACCCTGAGGTCTTCAAACTCAGCAAGCCTCTGTCTGAGCTGCTGGATACGGACGAGGAGGACCGAGCAGGCGTGCTCATGGGTATCTGGGCATACGCGCGGTCACAGCATCTACAGCAGGACGACGATGAGCGCAAGTTTGCCTGCGACGCGAAGCTTAAGGCTCTGTTCAACGGCCAGGACTCATTCTACTTCCCCAATCTTCCACAGCTTATCAAGCCGCACCTTACGACCCTCCCACCTATCCAATTGCAGTACACGATTCGCGTGGATAAGGAATACCTTGCGCCTGCAGACGGCAGTCAGAAGCCCTCAGAACCGACCGTGTACGACGTGCAAGTCGCACTCGAGGACCCAATGCAGCCTCTCTTCCAAGACATTTTGCGCCGACCAGACAGTATCCAAACGCTTCAGGAGATTCAGAAGCTGGACGAGCAGCTCGTCTTGCTCATGGGTGCTATCGGCCAGTCGAAGGCCAAGCACGCATTCTTTACCAGCATGGCGAAGGACCCTGTAGCGTTCTTCAAGCGCTGGCTCTCGTCGCAGAAGCGGGATCTGGAAGTCCTGCTTGGCGAGGCTACAAGAGGGGGCGGCGAAGATGTGTCTGGGGAGGAATGGAGACGTGGAGGAGCTGGTGGTGTATGGGGTAGCGAAGTCGCGAAGGAGAGTGTTGCGCTGTGGCTGGCAAGAGCACAGAATGTCAAGACGCACTAGACGGCGTGCATTTGTTTCATTTCGCATAGGGTTGCTGAAACATTATTTGGGATTGGCGCACAGGACAGGGAGATCAGGCGCTTCAAACGTCGCCTCGACAAGATACCCGAATACCAACTTTACTACACCAAGTCGTGGGTGCTGATGACATGCTTTACGGAGATGATGGGCAATGCAGCTTTACCTTTCAGAGACTAGTCGGCCTGCGATGCCGGACCTCGGGACGAAGCTGCTTTTCTTTCTTGACACAACCACCTTGTACAATCATGTCAAAGCTTTCTCGACCGTACTTGCGGGACTTGCAGTTCCGTGGCGTCGTCGAAGGTCTCACATATCTTGACGAGAAGTCGGATCCATTGTGTCACTTCTTTGGTGGTGTCCCGTTCGGCCTTCCTCCAGTAGGACCATTCCGTTTCCAGAAGCCGAGATCGTTGCCAACATGTTATCGCTATGGCACCAAATCAAATCCTGGCCGCTTTACGGGGAGTTGCGGTCTGTGTCCACAGGTCACAAGGCAGGGACTTGATGATCATCTGTGGGAAGAAGACTGTCTACAAAGTAACATCTGGGTTCCAACCGGAGAGCCGCCTGAAGGAGGTTTGTTTCCAGAGCTATTCATATACTACAAATGGCTGACCATCTCCAGGATGGCCGGTGTTGTTCTACATCCATGGCGGCTTCCTCCAGCTTGGCAATCCCAATGACATGGACATGCGGGCCTTCCTTAGCGACTCGCCAACACGATGCATAGTGGTAGCACCCGCTTATCGACTCAACATCTTTGGCTTCCTCTCTTCACCTGAGCTGCTCCAAGAATGTCCTGACTTCAGTGTCAACCTAGGATTCTGGGACCAGCGTCTTGCTCTGCAGTGGACATGGGAAAATATCAGCTACTTCGCTGGCAACCCTTCCAACATCACCATCTCAGGGTACTCAGCTGGTGCACACTCTGTGTTTCATCAACTGGCGTACGATCTCGGTGTGCCCGACAAGAAAGCAATAGTGAAGCGCGTACTCATGCTATCGAACGGACCAGGCGTGCAACCCAAGAGCCTTGAAGAATCGCAAACCCAGTTCGAGGAGGTACTGACAGCTCTGAAAATTCCGCCATCTGCGCTTCCGTCAGAAAAACTCGCAAAGCTGCGCGCCCTCCCCGCCAAAGCTCTCATCGAAGCCAGCACCAAGCTCAAACTCCACCAATTCCGCGCCGTCACAGACGGCTCCTTCGTGCGCCACAACCTCATCCAGGAGCTCTCCGATGCAACATTTGCACAGCGACTGAAGCAAAGAAACATCAAGATCATGATGGGCGAGTGCTCAGAAGAGCATTTTCTGTACGGAACCTGGAAGCCACCGCAGCCCGGATCCGACCCCTTGTTTCACCGTCTGGAAGCCGATTACCCGCGAGCAGCTGTCGAGGTACTGATGAAGCACTACTTCCCCGATCAAAAGTTGGCGAAGAAGTTTAAGAGCTGGGGTGAGGCATTTGGGCATATCTACGCGGATGTGCAGATCCATGCGCTCGAGCGTGGAATGGCTGATGCGTTGGTAAAGCATGGCGCTGGAAGTCTTCTACACCGGTATCGCATCGAGTGGCGTGCAAAGTGTGTGGACAGGAAGATACCTAGGAAGTTTGGGCCGACGCATACTTCGGATCTCCCCATTTGGTTCTGGGGAAACGGTGATGCGTTGACGAGGGTTGAGAAGAAGATCATCACCGAGGCATTCCAGAAGCCTTTGGCTCAGTTCTTGTATGGTGAGTCGGTTTCTTGGGGTACCGAACACCACACGCAGATCAGGACGCTCAAAGAAGATGGGCGTGTGGTCATCGAGGACGACGAAAGTAGATTACGAGAAGCCCTGGAGCTCTGGAACGCGTTGAGCAGAGTCAGCACGCCTCGACGACCACGGGAGTCAAAGCTGTGAGCGAGCCAAAAGGATGCCATTGCCTACCAAGGAGGTCGCTTTCCATGACGCGCTATATCTCAACGGTCATCGTGGCTGTATCATATGGAACTCTTGAACTTATCCCACGCTCTACTCTTCCTCATACTTCTCCACGCCCACAAATGAAGCTTCGCTCCTTTCCTACCCACTCAACCTCACCCGTCCGTATCCCTTGCATCCCACACCGCGCCCTCCTCTCTCGCTGATACACACTATCCGCGCCACGACACCACAACACGCAACTGGGCAGAGTCCATTCCAACCTCTCCCATATCGCTCGGATATATACCAAGCCCTCCTTCCACCATCCAACCAATCACAAGATGGTCCAATGGTGTAAGTCCCCTTTCCCCGCCTGGAACACACTTTCTAGTCAACATCCAGCTAGTGGTATGATTGTAAGTTCATCTCCCGCTCTCACGCGCGAATGCAAGGTCTAACGAGGATAGCCTGCTTTGGGTTCGCACTCGAGATCTGCAGGAGCCCCCGCGTTCGAATCGCGGTTAGGCCCATTGCTTTTTCCCAGATCTGTTGTGGTACGGAGGACGGGGAAGAAGGGATTGGTGGCGTGATGTGTGGGGCGGTGTGGTATTATTCACAAGCGCAGACTTTGATTTTTGTGTGGAATGAGCACATCAGCCGACGACGAAGCTAATCAATGGGACTGTACCGGTGGCACGAAGTAGTTTGCCAGAGCCGTGCCTTCTGTAGATGAACATGTGGAACGACTGAATTGCCAAGCATGAGGTATCGAACATCCAGACCCAAACGCCAAAACATGTATCCGACAATCACGAATCATATTTGCAAGCAGCAAATGCCTTCGACGCGCTCAGAGCACCTCACCACTCGCACCAACAATTCTCAGCACTCCTGTCTTCTTAACGTTGAAGCCCTTCTTCTCGTCCGCCCGAACGAACTCACCAAGCACAACCGTACACAACCTCCTCATGACTTCCTCCCTGCCAATATTGTCCCCATGCCTACCGGGTCCAACGTCACCCATCTCGATCCGCTCTTCACTCAGCGCCTCGTAGTCCGCGACCGAGCTCAGAGTGAGCAGATGCATGAACACCTCGCAGAGCGTGATCAGCTCGGGCGTCATGGTGAACGTGTAGCCCCAAGCCGAGACCTGCGCGCCGACGTAGTTCTTCTCCGTTGTCGCGGCGAAGGAAGCGAGAAGCGCCGCGTTGGCGCGAGACAGTGTTGTGGGCGGGATGGTTAGGGAGCAGAAGAGTGAGGGGTGTTTGAGGTGTGCGGCGTGTAATTTGTCGAGCGTCTTGTAGTGTGTTTTTGTCCAAGGCTCGATGCGCGGGAGAGGAGCGAATTTGGAGAGCACAGGATGAGCGCGTGTCGGTGAAGGGCCTGCGCTGGCGGAAGACTCGCGCTGGAGTTGGGCTGCGGCACGGAGGCCGTCAGAGCGGCCGGCCGAGCTAGTGCTCACAAAGGAGGACTCGATTATGGACTCTTCTTGGGATGCTGCTGTACGAGTAAACGGAGTTGGTGTGGTTTCTGAGGGAATACCGGAGTGAGGCTGTTTGGCTGCGGAACTCGGCGTGTATGGTGAAGATACCACATGCTGCACAAATTTCTGTCTTGCCAGAGGCGGGCTTGATGGCATGATGATTGAGTCTCCCTGCAGCGTCCTGCTGTACTCGGTGACCTCTTCGATCTCATTCAACGATCGCTCTTGAAGGCTGTAAGCCTCGAGATATTCATCAGCCTCATCGCGCAATAGACGAACACTGTTGGTGGTCAAGTCTACGCCTTCTATCTCGGCAAGGAGCTGACGTTGATCGGATGCAGGAGAGAGCAAAGTGTCTCTGTCGATGCGTGAATGGAACGGCGAGCTCTGAGCAGAGGGTAGCGTCGACCCATCTTGCAAGCGACTAGGTGTACTAATATCGGTACTGTGAAGCTCGCGACGAAGAGGACTGCTCTTCTTCGGTGAGCTAGGGAACGCGGCAAAGCGAGGCGGAGTGTCCAGGAACGGGTTAGGCTGAGCGGAAGGGGCCTGCTTCTCTGGAGATGGTTCTGGCTGTAGGCTCTTGCCCTCGTTCAACAGCAATGATAAATCTAGCTTGTCGGTCTTTGCCCGTCGTCGGTCACGTCGCTTCTTATCATAGACTGCAGGCATACTCGATTGGAAGAACATGCCAGTGTCATCACTGCCCTCGCTCGCCGTGCTGTCGTCCGGCTCATCAGACTCTGCTTGTGCAGTATCTTCCTCAACAGCTCTTGTTTTGCCCTTGTCAATACTAGCGGAAGCTGACTCCGAAGCTTCAGCTTCTTCTTTTCGTCTAGGCTGACGCACATTTCGACGCTGAAATCTGCCGCGGCTAGGCCTGCTGGCAGCATTCTCAATGAACAGATCTGGCTCTCTTGATGACGATCTTTCGGTCGATGCAAGGTCGGGCGAATCAGAAGCGTGACTACCCTCCTCTTGCCATAAGTCAGAGTAGTCCTCTTCGTGTTCGACGTTAACCGCGCGTGCCTCTTCACGCGCAGAACTAGAGCCTTTCTGCCTGTTTGTTGTGGTCTGAAATTCCTCTGCTTCTTCTTCCATTACGCTTGCTACGATGCTGTCGACTTGGAAGCTCATCTCGCCTTCGTCCTCGCTCCTCGTTGGACTGGGCAATAAATTGACTTGCTCCGCAGCAGGTAACGTGGGATGCTGAACCTCTGGCTCTTCGGCAACAGGTTCCGCAGGTTCACGATTTTGTTCCTCTTCAGGGGTCAGGAGACGTGTCCTCCATTTCCGTTGTGTCCTGATGGGTCGCTCTTTTGGCACAGTCTCTGTGCGTCCTGTGCTCAACCTCGAAGACGATGGCTCAGCGTCCTGGGCTTGCGCAAGCTGTTCACCCAATCGCAATCCGTCTTGAAGTTGCTTGCGTGACTTCTCGCTGAACCCCCTAAACAAGTCATCAAGAGACCCACGTCGATCGGCGGCGGGCTCCTCAGACGACTCTGGAGTGATGCGAGACGGGTCCATGAGTCCTTGCAGCGCAACTCCTGCCGTCAGGGCTCGCCCCATCTTAGGTGTTTCGATCTTGGTGGGAGCTGCGCGAGTAGGTTGGAGACAGGGTGGGACTGATGGGTTCTCGTTGTCAACAGCTGGTGTGATGTATCGCGGTTGCGCAAGGCCAGGTGAGGAGTGAGCTGGCTTTGAGGTAGGAACGAGGCGTGAGCGTCCTGGAGATGACTTGGAAGTTGCACCCGGCTCACGACTCGGTTGTTGTGTCGTGGCGGTGTTTGGCTGATCCCGATCCAGAACTGATGCAATGCTCGGCACTGGAGCGCTGCCGGTCTCGGCTGCTTTCGGTGGACTGGATCTCGAGGGCAGTGAATCGACCGAAATGATGCTGAAGCCCTCGCTGTCGATGATTGTGGAGTCGTCCGGCATCCTAGTGGTCCCCTCGTCGAATGCAAAGTCGTCTGATCCAGTCTCGTCATTATCGTCACCATTTTCGAATGGTTCCGCGTAACCAACATCTTCTGCAGGTACGGATGCAGCTTGTGTTGAGATGTGCACATGGGACCTCTCTGCGTGAGCGTCACCTCCATCTCCAGAACTTGGTGTGAGGATATTGCTGGCTTTATCTGAATCCTCGTCTGAGGAAATCTCGATCGTGAGCGGGTTTGTGGCGTGCGGTGTGCCTCTCCGAGGTTGAGGCTTCGATCTTTCCGTATCTTGCGGTGTGTCGAGATTGAGAGCTATTGTTCGCGCTTGTTCGGTAGGTAATGGTGTGTTGTCAACTCCGCTCGCACCTTCTTCTTCCGGCACATCAACAACCAGGGTCTCTTCGTCATCCGTTGCTGGCTGAACAACCCTCCTTGGACGGCCCCGTTTTCTCTTTGGTGGTGCATCTGTATCGATGTCTACCGCACTTGATCCTGCCGCGCCAACACTTCTATCTCGTGACTTTGAACTTGCTACTCTTCTCAATGGTGTACCCTTTAGCTTGGTCTTCGCTGGTGTGCTGCCAGCAGCATCTGTCTTCTTGGGCCGTCCTCGTCCTCGTTTCATAGGTGCGGGCGCATCGTGATCTTTCAATGGTATCGATGTAGTCTTGGTGCGTGTAACTTTCTTAACCATGGGCGACATGGTGTTTTCGCCGTCACTCTCAGGCTCAGCTTGGACCGTGACTTTGATGCGCCATGGGCTGGCGCCGCCCGTTCTTGGTGTATTCATGACCATAGACTTGGCTGGTGAAGATATTTCGAATTCTTGCACACTCGGCCGGCAGGTTTGCTTGATTGGCGAGCTCGTTCGTGATCGCGCCCGTGGTGTGTGTTGTGGCTTTCGTGTCGATGTTATCGTGTTTTCGTGGGTCGACAGAGCAAGGGGATCTGGTGACGAAGAGTAGCTGCGTACAGCATTCTCGCCGATATACTCAGCTCTTCCTCGGGGCGCCATTATTACCAAAGTCCTGCTGTCAGTCGCGGACATGTCAAAGTACTCGAAATGTGGGTGTATCAGCCCTAAGCCTGCAGCTGAGCGCGTCCGTCGGTTGCCACGGGCAACGATCGATTTGATCCTTGCCACCATCACCGCCAGGCAACAAATCCGCAGCCGCATCGAAGCATTTAGCCATTAGGGCGATGGAGTCGTGATGGGAATTCACGGGTAGGTGACGCACTGCAATTTCGACTCGGTTGTGCTAATGTGCGCAGCATCTACAAGGAGATCGGCCCAGGACGGCGTGTAGCGCTCTCGAAGCTTGCCGTCGAGAAGTACGAGGAGACTGGCAGACCACTGCGCATCGCTATCGACACATCGATATGGCTTTTCCAGATCCAAGCTAGCAAAGGTATGTCCGCGACAGTCACGCTCATCTCGCAGTAGGTTGCTGACTGCTCCAGGTGGCACCAACCCTGCCCTGCGAACCTTCTACTACCGCCTTCTGCGCCTCATCGCCCTCGCCATCCATCCCATCTTCGTCTTCGATGGCCCTAACAAGCCGCCGTTTAAGCGTAACAAGCGCACGGGACCAAATGTCGCCTCGATACCCGCGTTCCTGGCCAAGCAGCTGCTGAAGCAGTTTGGATACCCAATACACTTTGCGCCTGGTGAAGCCGAGGCAGAGTGCGCCCTGCTGCAGCGAGAGGGCATAGTGGACGCTGTGCTGAGCGAAGATGTGGACACTCTCATGTTTGGAAGCGGAATCACAATACGCAATTGGTCACCAGAGAAGTCGGGCAAGACGCCAACACACGTCAACGTCTACGACGCCGTCGAAACGAAGAACGGACCCTCGGCCCTGGATCGCGAGGGTATGATCTTGGTGGCGCTGATGAGCGGCGGAGATTACGTGCCTGAAGGGATACCTGGGTGTGGACCAAAGACGGCTTGTGAGGCTGCAAAGGCTGGTTTTGGACGTGACCTGTGCAGCATACCGCGCAACGACCCAGTGGCGCTGTCAGAATGGAGCACGCGACTTCAGCACGAGTTGAAGACGAACGAGAGCAAGCATTTCAAGCGCAAGCACGGTGCTCTGAAGATACCTCATGATTTTCCTCGTCTCGACATCCTTGGATACTACACACATCCTGCAGTTTCGACACAGACTGGCCTGGCCAAGCTACGACTGTCGATCAAGTGGGATCAGGAAATCGATTATCCTGGTCTACGCGAATTCACTGGAGATGCATTCGACTGGGTCAAGCTCGAAGGAGCGAAACACTTCATACGTAGTCTTGCTCCATCGCTTCTCATCCGCGCCTTGCACACGCGAGCTACGCAGGCGGATCGTCTGCCTGCCAGGAACACTCGAGCTGTTCAGGAGGACGAAGGACTGCTGGTGAAGGGCATCCACGGTGAACGCCAGCACGCTGTCACTGACAATAGCACCGAGCTACGCGTGAGTTTCACACCAATCGAGCTGGTAAAGATCAATCTGGAAGACGAAGAACCCGACGACGAATCTGAACTTCCACCCTCGTTGCAGCAAGGCGCCGGCGAGGACGAAGATCTCCCTCTAGACTTAGAGGATGATGTAGAGGATGGGCCCAAGAAGCGCGGTCCCACAAAGTTCGATCCCTACAAAGCGGCCAGAGTATGGGTTATGGAGACTTTTGTCAAGGTCGGCGTGCCGCTGAAAGTGCAAGACTGGGAAGCCGAGCGACAGACAAAGCAGAAGCCTAGAAGGGCTGCGAGTCAAGACCCTGGCAAGGCTGCACCGAAGCCCAAGGCCACAGCAAGACGAACAAAAGCTGCACTAGAAGCCTCCCAGGCAGGCATTCAGAGCTTTGCGAAAGTCACCAAACCCGGGTCAAGGCTGCTTCGAGCACCCTCGAAAGCACCGAACAATAATACGGATCTATCACCAGCCCGGCCGAAGGCTACGCTGGTCGACTTACTCTCCTCCTCGCCTGTGCGCCAGCAAAGCAAACCGCCCGCAATAGCCTCACACCGAGATAAGTCACTTTCTCCAGTATTGGAGGACTTGCCAGCAAGCGTAACGAAGCGAAGACGACGAGCGCCTATACAGCGCTCGAAGACACTTCCAGCTGATTTGACTGCTGACATCGAGCGCCCGTGTTCGCCGCCGTTACTGGATACAATCGAGATATTGGATCTAGTCAGCTCCCCTGTGCAACCCTCCCCATCACAAGCTCGCACTAAGAAGGCTAGGATGCGGATGACAAAGCCAAAACGTGGCGCATCCGTGTCTGCTTCACCTGAAAAGGGAAGGCAGACCACGCTCGACACATGGCGAGCTTCTCAAACACCGACGAAATTACGACACACGACGAGCTTATTCGACGACGCACCAATACCCACACCAACGCAACTACGACGTTCTTCTGATACCATTGATACCCTTGATACCCTTGATTTAACGCTCTCCTCACCTTTCATAGCACCTTTCATAGCATCTTCACAACCAACACGAACACGCCCGCCACTGACCTCATCAACGACTAACGCATCATGCTCCTCTTCTTCGTCGAGATACTCGAGTAGTGAGAAGCAAACCACAAAGACAGCAGCTACGCGCCCACGACGCACCTCACCCCGTCTGAACAAGACCAAAGCTCCAACATCAAAAATAGACACCCTCGATCTCACCCTCGATCTCACCCTCGCTGAACCACAAACCATGCATAGCGCAGCACCTAAGACCAAAAACTCCACAGCTGTTGCAACTGCCTCGCCCGAAATTGACAGTCTCGACCTCACCTCCCCGCACCCGCACCCCACTATCTCCACATCCCCAGACCTCGACTCCCTCGACCTGACAGGCCCTTCTTCACCAATCCCTCCAGTTCGACAGTCACCAACACCTGTCAAGTCTCCCTTGCTACGCCGCTCGCCGCGGGCACACACTGAGCTCTCGCCAGAACCGCAACGGACGTCGCCTCCGGCGGCGTGGAAGGCGAAGGAGAAGAAGAAGAGGAGGCAGATTATGCTTAGGAAGAGTCTGGCGGGCGCGTGGGCGTATGTGGATGCTGAAAGTCCGGGGAAGGATGGGGAGAAGGATAATGGTGTCGTGCTGAAGGGTAAGGAGAGGAGGAGGTGGAGGGAGAGCGAGGTCGAGGTTTTGGATCTGAGCTGAGGAGTTAATTTGAGGCGTACATGGAGTTGAGACAGTGTATGGGTTGCATTTGGGTCTAGGGGTTGACCTGGGCTCAAGATCAATATCCCCTTTCAACGATTGTCTCGTCTTCACACTGTTACTTGCGAGTTCTGTGGCACGAGATATTCGCATAACGTAACGGGGTATTGAAGCGCTGGATTCATGTCAGCCAATGTCCAGGTGTCCCAGATATGTACTCCTCCTGCCCTTTTTATGTTTCCTGACAGCGTCTTACATTTCGATTGAAGTTGTCCTTGCGCTTATACACTTTGCCTCTGATCGTGCAGTGCGCATTGGAGCACACAAACTTCGCTCCCGGCTGCGAGTAGACGGTGGTCTAATGACGATATAGGTCTACGCGAAGGTTGAAGGCCGAGTCACAGGTACCGCATCTGTATCGACGATGGTGGGCGCGAGTGTAGTGGTTTCTACATGCGTCGGGTTAGAGGCTGTCTTTACTGAGGCTTGGAGGTGTTGACGAACCTTAGCAATGCTAGCGTACGAAAACGTTGCTGGCACACCAAACAAGTATGGAGCCTGAGATCTTCGTTCTTGGTCATTGTCGGTGGTGGAGAAAACACTGTGTCGAGCTCGTCCGCTGTTGCTTCATCAGAAGGCAGTGGAGAGGACAAAAACTGTGGGTTCCCGCCTATGGATGGCCCATGAATTGGCAAGATATTTAGTGACAATGTCTGATCAGCGATCGCAATTTGTTCGACGACAGTCTCTCCGCTCGTCTTATCAGGTCTTTCAGACTTCCCGTTGCCGAATGTAGATTGTAACTCTGCGCTCTGTCTTATAGTCCGGACACTTCGAGGGGCGGGCGGGGAAGCGGTCATACATCGGGCCAGACATTTCTCGCCGGGTGAATGGCTGATTCTTACCAGCGAGCCATGTAGGTGAGGAAAGATGATCGGATTAGGGACGATTTCCACATCCCACGGGCTCACCACCAGGGTCTGTCTGTTCCAGTCTGGTATAACCCCTGGAAAAGATATTGGTAGTGGTGCTTTTCGGGATCAATGATCAATGGGAGGAGACATTTCTGATTCTGTGGAAAGGCTCACCTGTACATTCGTAGCTCAAGCTTCCTTTCCTGAAGATGCTCTTCGTATGATACGGACCGCGACGTACCTCCTTAATATCATTGCTGCGATGCGTACGGCAACTTTCCAATCGTGTGGCATAGGAGGCACACATGCAGTCCTCCTCGACTTGAGAAACATCTTCGACCTGGGCTTGACCCGGATCACTCGCAGATGAGCCAGAGTAGCTCCCACATCCGCGGTCCGGCTGACTCTGATGGCCCAGTCTCCACATCTACCACGACAACGAAGCCAATAGGCAGATAAACACCACTACCTTACCCGTGATTCCAGCGATCGTACCATCGTTGAGTTTGCTACCCCGTTGGTGAAGGCTGAAACCAGAAGCCATTTTTTCGAGCGTTGAAAGTATGTTGTGGTTGAGGGGAAAAGCGGATGAAACTCAATTGAAGTGTTGTCCAGGTTTAAATTGTCTCGACGAGGCTGAGAGAGGCATACCGGTTGAGTGACTAGCTCGACTGCAGCCAATCACGGAGAAAGGTGGCTTCAGCCTCACGCTCTCTAAATCTATACTGCACGCCAGTGATCTGCACAATGGAGTAGGAACGGTGGAACTATTAATATTTTGGTGGCCAGCTTCTTTACGTGACATGTATGCTAGGAGATGTCCTCCTTAGACACCGCCCTTGAGATAGTAATCCAGCGGATAGCCCAGCCAGGCGCACTGCTTCATGTCCACATACCCAGTATTCGTACTGGGCCAATCCAACAGCCTGACCTCATCGCCACTCTTCTTCCCGCCATCAACCTGGTTCCACTGGCCATAATTCTTGACACCTTCAATAACCTTGTCGTAACCGCGCGCCTGCAGGTACTTCAGATCCGGATTCGGATCGCCGCTCCTCACAAATGACCCAAATTAACTGTACACCAACTGCTCGCTCCACAGATCTTTCTCATCACGGATCGTGCTTAGCGTACCAAAAACCATGGCATATCCGCGCCAGGGACGCGGAAGTACGGGCTGTCCGGGTTCTTGTCCTTGGGGGTACCGAGGTTATTAGGATCGTAGCCGTTGATCGTGCGCTCGAATTGGTAGTAGTACGCCTTCTTGAAGGCCTTGGTCTGTGCACCGGCGTATACGGTGGCTTGGTCGACGCAGCGGAATGTCTTGTCTGTTGCGATACGCTGAGAGACGTTTTAGGAGTCAAGAGTCAGGTTGCCGGTGCTGGTGAATGGGAAGGGACCGGATGCGATGACTTTTTCGGCCCAGGTTGAGTTGATGCCGAGAGCGACTCGGAGGCCTTGGATGTGGTTTGCGATTGGGGCCTTGGGGTAGGTCGAGAATGATGCGCCATCGTTGCGGATGACGCCGAAGATGAGTGTGACGCCGTCAATGCCTTCCCATGGGAGAAAGTGAGAGCATTTGGAAGAGTCTTGGTGGGTGATGGTGCCGAGAACTGGAGGCGAACCTTCAATGGCCGCCTCTCGCTCTTCGGCCTAGGCTGCCGTTGCGCCCCTTCCTTCCCCACATCGACTTCAACGCCAGCTTATTGGGACGCATAAGTATATTGGGATGTCGCCCAAAGCTATTGTGAGGCCATGGAGAACGTGGAGGTTCTCAGCGAAGTCTGGAGATTTAATCCGCGTACAGAAATTAGTGCTCGCAAAGGCCTTCAGGTCGTAGTTTAATAGTTACGTGAGCACTGCCGCTCCATAAGTGGTAAGCAGCTCGTCGAGGCTTGAATGTCAAATTCGTACTCGATAGCAGGTTGGTGGAAATTAATGTCAGCATGCGCTCCCTGGCTGGATGCCTATCCAGATAAACGGAAAACGGACCTGTTCGGGATTGGCAGCTCGGCAGCCATCATCGTACAGCATGCCAGGTACGCGAGTGCAAGGGTATGAGATCTCATAAGATCTTGCTGGATCTCACACCTCCAGGGAAAGCTACGTAATTCCTTTGGATCTTCACAATGCGATCATTCGCTTGCCTTCTAGCCCTAGCGGTCTCAACTGTCCTCGGACAGATCGTCATACCACCCAGCACATGGAACTACACCTACCCATGGCCTGTGAAGTACCACAATCTCACATCACAGCGACTTAACCTCTCGATGGCCTACATGGATGTTTCCCCGACCAGTTACGCCACAAACAAAACCATCATACTCCTTCACGGCAAAAACTTCTGCGGCGCAACATGGGAAGATACAGCACGCCGCCTCTCCACGCACGGTTATCGCGTCATAATCCCCGACCAAATCGGCTTCTGCAAGTCCTCGAAGCCGCCAGTCTACCAATTCTCTCTACAACAGCTCGCTTTCAACATGAACTCGCTACTTCAAGCGCTCGGCGTCTCCCAGACAAAAGTCCTCGGGCACTCCATGGGCGGCATGCTCGCAACCCGCTTCGCCCTCATGTATCCCAACACCACAACCCACCTGATTCTGACCAACCCTATCGGCCTCGAGGACTGGAAAGCACTCGGCGTCCCCTGGCGCCCATTGGACACCCTGTATGCTGACGAACTGAAGACGAACTATACCACGATCCGGAACTATCAGCAAGCGACCTATTACGTCAACACATGGGCCGCCGCCTACGACGTCTGGGTCAACATGCTGGTCTCTTTATACCGGTTGCCCGATGAGGGACAGACGTTTGCTTATAACATGGCGCAGACGACGGACGCAGTGCTGACGCAGCCGGTGATGTACGAGTTTGGTCTGGTAACGGCGAAGACGCTGTTGTTGATTGGGACTAAAGACAATACGGCCATCGGGAAGGCGTGGAGTCCGCCAGCTGTTCAAGCCAAGCTGGGTAACTATTCGGTGCTGGGCAAGGAGACTACTGCGAAGATTCCGGGCGCCGAGTTGGTGGAATTCAGTGACCTGGGGCACGCACCTCAGACTCAGGACAGCGAGAGGTATCATGAGGCATTGTTTGAGTGGCTGGGCCGGGTGGGCTGAGCAAGAGTTTCCCCCGGCATGTTACGGTTCTTTTTTGATGTTCGGGTTTATCTACTCGACGCCTTGTACTCTTTTGCCTACTTGCCGATATTCTGTAGCTCCATGCTTATAGTCTTGCTCGCTAATCGGAGCCCACACTCTAGAAAGTGCTCTCTCAGCACATCGAGGACCGTGAACCGCCCGTCCCTGAATTGATCGATTTCTCTCCGAGACTTTAACCTTCCTGTTACTCAAGTGCACTGCGCATCAAAAAGGCACTGCGGCGAAGCGAGGGCCACGTTGTCGATCTTTTGCATTGCCGCTGCATGGAAGGCTTCCGGCTTTTCGAACACCTCGTTTGTGCAAGAGTCAGGCAAAGGTACATCAGCAATCAGAATGCTGCACTTGCGCGTACTATTAACTGTTTCGATGACTTGAAGTCTTCCAGCCCGTGACGGACATTGATGTGAAACTCAGAACTTTCCAACGTGCACAATCGGATCAAGTACGCTTCCACGGGTTGTCTGGGAGCGTAATGCTTTAGCTTTAGTGGCAAGCCTTGCCATACTTTCTTAGTCGGACATAGTTGTATGGCAGAGGTGCTAGAAAGCCTGCAGCAACTGAGAGCCCTGCTGCGCCCCAAAACGCAGGTGAATCAAACTGGACCATGCCGCCGGTGAGATGGAAGTCGACAACGTTTTCGGCAGCTTCCATCGTGAGCATAGAAATCATGCTCATGCCTGCAGCTGTCTTGGCAGCAGCGAACCACGGTAGGCGATCACGACCTAGGCGGAGCAGAGTTGTCTCAAGAAAAAGCGATGCGGTAATTCCAGAGGCCACTATAATTCATCAGTCGTTGCATCCAACGTTCTCATATTTCCCACTCACTGGACACGGCCATTATGGTTGATAACCCAATGTCTGCATGGAAGGATTGCAAATACCACATGGCAGAGAAGTCGCCAGCTGTGCATCCAATGAGGCAGCGGATGGTGTTGATACCTGCTCGTTTCCAGACTGACGTTGAGCTCCAGAACTGGGTCGAAGATAACGATTGCGTGGCTGCCGCTTTGCTGGGACACTCTGTTTTGGCCTTGCTACTATTGCATGCCAGCCTTCGCTGAGCTGTGGGCAGCGCATGCCGGACATGCCACAGCGAGCTGCACGCAAAGAATCTTGAAGGACATGAATTCATAACTCTTGGAGGCACAAATGAACGAATTAATTAGGCGATGGAGAATCGTAGATCGAGTCGAAGTTCTGTGTACAAGTTCAGACTGTTATGCGAAGGGCGAAGTTGCCGCACAAAAGGCGCAAAACCGTGCACTCGTAAGCAGACATCAGCGAGGCTGTTGGTCAAGTTTGTTAGTAGAAAAGTTCCGATTTTCGGGTGTTTGAAATCATGCAGGGCAAGCCGAGGGCGTAGATAGTCAAATGCAGATTTGAGTTCAGCCAAAGGTGCCGCCGCAACGACGCCCGATGCGACAGGGGTGACGCGCCACTGCTCTTTACGCGTCGACGCGTCTACCTAAACACCGCATGCACACAATGCATCCGCATACATGATGACACCACGTACGCGAACGACCAACAAAGATGCAAATTACAAAGTCTACTACTCCAAGAAAATACCAAAACAAGTCCGCTTCCCTCACAGGAGAAAGACAGTCCGCAGGCCGGACCCAGTTCAGCAGGATGGAGTCGATAAGAGACAAATGAAGTTTCTGCCAGAGATGATGAGGCAGGAACGGACTCATAAACAGAGGAATTCGGAAGAAGAGGAGACAGAAGAGGAGTCAGCAGTACAGGAGGTCGTGGTTGCAAAGAACGACGAGAAGAGTACACCGGTGCATCAGAAGAAGGGCAGGAGGAGGAAGAGTGACGACGTTCAAGAGGATTCTGCCTCTGGAGATGAGCCTGAAGTCAGCTCCTCGAAGCGCCGAAGACGAACAGCCGCGCCAAAAGACGAGCGTAGCCGCACACTTCGACGACAGTCCACGATGACACAGCTCGCAGATGGACGGAGGCCTTCATTTGGCGACGATGAGCCCGACTTCAGATCCGTGAAGCGGGGATCTCGAGCCAGTCAGGTTTCAGCAAGCACAAAGAGGGAAAGGGATAAAAAGCAGCGCACGCTCACACAAATGATACCTTGCATGGGCTGGTTGAGCAAAGAAGAGCTAGAAGAGCTGAGCGATCTGGATACAGATCTGAAACATGTCCAGAAGTATAACGATGTTATCTCGCAGCCTCTCATCGAGCGGGGTCCCGTTGAAGTTAATGAGCCCGCAGCCATGACAGAGCCCGTTCGGCAATACCCTGACATTGAGGAGGATCCTCACAACGATCGAGAGCACGACCAAGACGACTTGCCGGCTGAAGCGCACTTGCAATCCTTTCTTGCCTTCCAGTCTGTCAAGACTGCAGCTAACAACGATGAGGACGACTACGAGCCGACCCAATTCATTGAAGCGCCGACTCTCAGAACCAGACAGACACCACGGCGAACAGCGAAAAACCAGCTTCTGAGTAATGCACCTGGATCCGAGAAGTCTGCGAAGTCTCGGTTCAGCCTACTTTCCACACCTGAGAAGCGCCGAGTGTTCGAGATCCCTTCTTCACAGTCACCTGCTGAGTCCGTTATGTCTACCCAGGTCTCTCCCCAGAAAATCGATAGATCTGCCTTCAGAGAGCGCAAGATAAATTCAATCGTAGTCACCGAGACTCCATCTAAGCGTCAGCATGTCACGTTCCAAGAGCCGACGGTCCAGCCTGCACCTCCCGTCCACTTGAGGAAATTCGAAAGCACCATCCAGGATTCAGAAGATGAAGGCAGTGAGCTCGATGATGACACATCCACACAACGGCCATCAGGTGATAGCCAACGGACTTTGCGTGGACAAGCGATCAGTGCGGACACACAAGCCGTGCTTCTGCAAATCGACCGTGCATGTGCGGATGACGACGAGGGACTAAATGTAGATTATCGCGATACTCCGGACGAGCCAGAAGAGCTGCTCACCCGATCGATACCCTGTCAGCCTTCACCCGAGCTGGGAGGGTCCTGGGCGCCCTTTATATACGATGATGTTGGACCTCAGTACGAGTCCGACCGCTCCTCGCTTGCATCAGCAAATTCACAGTCTTTCCGAGCTGCGGAATCATCCAAGGAATTGTCCCCTATGCTCTACCAGTCCCATGATGTCAGCCAATTGGACTTGACTACGCAGGCGTCGATATTGGCTGATGACATTCCAAGCACACCACCAATGGTCCGACCACCACCAAGTGACGACTTGCCATCCACACCAATGGTGATCAGGGACGAATCATCGGATGAAGAAGAAGCTGCTTCTGAGCCAATTCCGCCGCGCACAGTGCAGCGCTATGTCCCAGAGGCACCTTCCACGTTGATACACCAGTTCACAGACCTGGACGGCGAGCCTGTGCAAGTCCCACGCTCTCCTTCTGCAGAACGGGACACACAGCAGTCTCACTCAAGCAAAGCAGAACAGCAACTCCAGAATGAGTGGCTCTCGTACTCGCAGTACATTCGCGCCCGGGCACCCAACTCGTCCAGCATGCATGTCACCGCCGATCCATTCAGCTACAATGCCCGACATCCAAACCCAGGCCCCTTCAAAACCTCGTCAAGTCGAATGCAGTACAGCCAAGCCACTACTGTCGACGAGCTCACACCGAAGAAGAACAGGACGCAGCGCCCCACCAGCGCGAACACCACACCACACAGGGCAGGTACGAGTCAGTCTTTTGTGTCGCCTGATAAGCCGCCAAGTTTGTTCATACCGAGCAGCTTCCCCAGTCTGTCTATGGCGGCTATGGAGGGGTGGAGTAGTCCTGTGATGGCCAAGACACAGAACGTGCATGGAAGTAGCCAGGTATTGGGCAGTCTAGAGGACTTCAGTATTCCTCTGCCTCCGCCTCTTGAGGACGACTGAGGAACATTTAGCGAGAAGAGCGTCCTGAATCAATGCGGTTCTTCGTTGCGATGACTTTATCTCAATCTCTCAATAAAAGACATGGACTCGATATCGAAATGCTCCATGAACCTTTTTTATGAACCGTATCCAGTAGATTGAACAGCACGGGGAACACGATCTTGTCCAATAGTGATTGGCATTGCAAACAAAGCAGATAATGTCGATCAAACGCGTCTACTTTTACATGTTCTGCTTCACGACGGGGACATTGAAGGGAGAAGTGCGAACCTGGTGAAGCAGGTCGGCAAACCTTCCACAGGTCTGTGAGGTGGGGTGGAAGGTGGGGCACCCCTCTTACGTCACATGCCTCGAAGGAAGCTCCATCGTTGCTCGCCAACGGACATCTGTCGTCCGACATCAGCATAGAAATAGTTGAGGTTCAATCAATTCAATTGCAAAGCATCGCAGACCAGATCCTCTCCTTCACCCTCTCGCAGTACTAGACACACTCCGGACAACCTCAGCAGTTTAAACATCAAGATGACAGGCGGCGGCGAAGACAGAGCGTCTCTCATAAACAGACAGCTGCCAGAAATGACACTATCGACAGCAGACAGCCCATTGACAAAGGCCCGCCCGCCGCCAGAAAGCCTCAAGCCGGCAGAAAAAGCACAGTTCCGCTTCGAAGTCCACGGCAACGCCATCAGTACGTGAATCGAGTACACGCCCTGTCCCTGGCCTCCACCATGTCTTTAAACTTACACATTCCCAGTCACCGGCGGAGCAGGCACCCTCGCCCTTGAAGCCGCAGAAGCCCTCCTCGAGCACGGTGCTGCCGGTCTCGCCCTCTGGGACGTAAACCCCGACTTGGCATTCGACCGCATCAAAGCGCTGCACGCGCGCTTCCCCGACCGGCGCATCATGACCGAAGCCGTCGACGTGCGCGATGAAGCCGCGATCGCATCAGCCGTCGAGAGCGCAGCGAAGGTGCTGGGCAGCATCGATATGCTGTGCTGCTTTGCGGGCGTCGTGGGCTGCACGCACGCCATTGAGATGAAATCGGATGAGTGGAGAAGGACGCATGATATCAATCTCACGGGGAGCTTTCTTTGCGCGCAGGCTGTTGCGCGGCAGATTAGGAAGCAGGGTACGCCAGGGAGTATCACATTCACGGCGAGCATCTCCGCGCACCACACAAACTATCCTCAGCCGCAGGCTGCGTACAACAGCTCCAAGACTGCGCTGCTTTCGCTGGCGAAGAGTCTGGCGGCTGAGTGGAGTAGCTACGGTATCAGGGTCAATTGCTTGAGTCCTGGGTATATGGACACGATCCTGAACGACGGGCTAGGACTTGAGCGTGCGAGGACGAGTTGGAACAGCAGGAACCCAATGGGAAGAATGGGGCATCCGTGGGAGCTGACGGGGCCACTGATTACGCTGGTCAGCAATGCGGGGCGATACATTAACGGGACGGATATCATCGTAGATGGAGGCGCGATGGTGTTCTAAATAGCAATGAGAAATGACAATGGTGCTGTGACAAAGGAGCAAGAGGAATCCCTTCTGCCACTCTGAAACAGGTGGTATATATACCAGAAGAGCAAATGGTCCTGCGACGTATGGTGCTGTTCTAAAAACGATGCCGCAACGCTGGGGTTACAAAGTACCCAATGCTTATAGCCGTGTTGGTTTGGCGCAGTGTATGTTTGTCAACGAGGCGCGTCGTAGTAGTCGCCAATGTAAAGAGATGTGCTTACCCCGCTTCATCGTTTTTCCCAACGCCCTACCTTGTCCATAGTCTCTTGCCTCCACTCCGTCGACCCACGGTCATATGCCTTTGCCCATTGCGAAGTGTTTTAGTAGATTATATATTTATTGGCAGAACTTCTTTATATCAACAACCAATCACGGGCGCTTGGTCTAGGGGTATGATTTTCGCTTCGCATCGATTGATGATACTGTGAAAGGTCGTGGGTTCAATTCCCACAGCGTCCAAATTTTTGCTATTTTCATCCTTTCCAGCTAATAAGAGAGTCAGGGTGCAGTAGCATGCGGCAAGCCGTAGTGTAGAAAACGTTGGTCGCCAATTTTGCACTAGAGCGCCTGAACAACAATTACACAGATCTAAAAGAAGGTCAAGTTAGTAAAGGCATTAAACGCAATTGTGAGCGGGCGCCTTCCTTTGGGTTGACATCCCCTGTTGCAATTCTAGGGCGACTGCCTCATGGTTAGAGACCATCACTATACCTCACGGCAAGGCTGCAAGTTCCGGAAGCCAACGGATGCTGTGGTGACAGGGCTTGAACCTAAGGGACATCACCGCATTACATCCCTTCCGCCCGACTGGGAGGTCGAATTCACGTTCACCACAAATGGCAGCTCGCGATCTGGATATGTAGAAGCTTGCCGGCGCTCAAGGATGCGAGCACGTACTCCTGATTAGTCTCGTGTCTTGATATCGCGATTTTAGCACCACTTCGATATCGCTATTTGGAATGCTACCATCTAGCGTCAACAAAGTAGACCAAAAACGGCACGACTCGACGGCTCGACGTCATGGGAAGTGAGAGAACAAAAAGACACGCGCTGCCCATCGTAGTTCTTCTGTACCTTACAACAACGCGAATACCTCCATCATCATGGCCGCCAACATCCTCGACCTTCCCCGTAACTTCGTACGTACCTCAAGTTCAAGTTTCTTACTAACCTTGACTACAACCGGAGCAGAACTGTACTAACTATGCAGTCCCTCTACACCATCCCTGCCGCCTGGGCACTTTCCATCGCCCCCCACTTCTACGCAGCCTCGCTGGGTAAATTCGACAACAAGAACCCTCGCTCGTACACGCGCGACACCGAGGGCGACCAGAGCATTGACAAAGCCACCAAGGCGAAGATCGTCCGCGCCGAGGGTGCACAGCAGAACGGGTTTGAGAACCTCGGCCTGTTTGCTGCGGCGGTGGTGATTGGTAATGTTGCGAAGTTACCGAATGAGACGCTGAACACGCTTTCGGCGGCGTATCTTGCGAGCAGGGTCGCGTATAATGCGCTGTATGTCGCGGGCACAACGGATATGCTGTCGAATCTAAGGAGTGTGAGCTTCTTGACGGGCGTCAGCATTATCTTCACATTCTTCATCAAGAGCGGGAATGTGTTGAGAAACCAGTTGTGAGCAGGGCCGAGGCTGCGTCACTACAGCGCTTGAAAGACGAGGGAAGTAGAGATCATGAATTTAAGATCATTAGCATAGCGCAGCGCTATGTCCAACTAGTGTATCGACGATCCATCTTGAGACCGGACGAGCCTCCAGTCGCTCCTCTCACCTCTCCCGAGAACGGCGTGAGCATGACTTCAAGTCCCACACCACCATCGACATCGTCATTATTGTGGGACCCAGTATCACCAGCGTCCAGATCTAATTGCACGTAGTGATAGACCCAGAACGAGCAAAACACGAAGGTGGTGCCTGCCCCGACAAAAACCGTCAAGTACATGATTGCAATCTAGCCCAGTCAGTAACCTTGCATGAGAAAGAGGTGTGGAAGTGTACATTATGTCCGACTGTCCAAGTGTGGTCTTCCCTGAGCAAAGGCGTGCAGACAAGCACAGTCAGGCCTACTAGAAACCCGCAGACCGAATAGGACATGAACATCAGCGGTGCTTGCCACGTGAAGATCATCTTCAGGCGTGGTGTGAATTGCCCTATCTCGACACTCGGCGACAGCAACAGGGGGTAATACTTTCTAGCGGTCTGTTCGTCTCGATTGAATTGGCCTGTGTGTCGTAGCGGCCCCAGCAAGTGTAGGACGGTGACCTCGGACGCCGAGAGCAGAATCCCCAGGACTGAGAAGATCAGGCTACTATGCCAGAAGCCGTGGGTCAACCAGTAGGCGTCTTCGATTATGGTCCATGAAAAGGAGCCGATAACTGCTGCTGCCAGGACGGTGCACTGTGGAGTCAGTCGAATCTTGCATCGCGCCTGCTTGGTGGGAGCCGGACTTACCGCAATGGTGATGAACTGAAGCTCTGTAAGCTTTCGCACTCTCCACGAAGAGATGGCTTTCATCACTTTGGCTGTGTCAAGTGGCTGTTCGGATGCTAGCGCTGCGATCCGAGCCAGGGGAGCGGAGGTGTTGAAGTAGTAAAGGCGATAATATGGCAGAGTCATGAATCTTACTGTTACCGCTGCGATGTGTTCGAAAAGTAGCTGTTCATGGCGGTCAGCTGATTCTTTCTGAGAGCATCCGCATCCACGGGTTGGTGGCGTACAATCAAGACCCGCAAGGCTGAGCGGAGCACTTCTGCAAGCATGCCTAAGCTACGCGACAATAGCTTTGGAAATCCGATCCGTTGCCCTTGTAGATGTTTACAGGCTCGTTTTGAGTCCTGTTCGAGGTCTCCCACAGAAGACGAGATGCCATTATCAGGGTGTGAGGTCGTGCTTTGAAGATGACCTGCGGCTGTGCACGAGCGTCATGCAGGTGTCTTCGACTCAGCCTCAGCCAGCACCTTTGCGCCTCTCCGAGAGGTCTTGCCCTGTTGCCTGCTGACAATATCCAGGGCACAGCGTCACGAAATTCCGAATATACGTGCTTTTCCAATTTTTCGGAGACGGGGCTCGCAATAACGTCCTTGAAACGGAAGATCGTGGATCTTGAGCTCGTCGAAGTGACGCACCTCACTAGCTTGTGAAGCTCAGATGGAGAAATTGGTAATTGGTTTAGAGCACTCTTGAAGATGAAGTATTTCATTTGTCATCAGATTGTTCAAGCCTATGGGGATATAGAAGGAAATTATAAGCAGTACCGGCAAGCCTACCAACGCCTTAGCTCCCTGATCGAGCGATCCTAGATGTATACGAATAATACTACAACTACATCCAGTCAGCAAGAACGTTTCATTCTATCAAGGTGGGTCATAGCTTACTCTGCGTGTGACTAAGTGCAGGGCGGGATTCCTTAGAGCGCCAGAAGGGGTCACTTGCGGCGCTCGGGTCCCTTCTGCTGATAGATCCACTGCTTGAAACGCGGCTCCTTGTAGTCATCACCATCATCAGACTCCTCGTGCACCCTCTCCCAGTGCTCCACAAACTGGTGACGAGATGTGTACGCCGGCTCGGTGCAGCAGTCCTCGTGCTTGCAGCGATAGCTGTGCGCTGCAAGTGCGTACTGCTCCCATCGGGACTTCTCCTCTTCAATGCACCTGCCCCTCCTTATCTTAACGAGCTCCCTCGCACAGTGATCGAGCCAATATACGTTGTCTTGCTCGGCAGCCCACTTATTGAATGCATGTTCAATAGTATCGATGGTGATTGTGCCGCGGTAGTTCCGTTTGGTGAAGAACCCAGCAGGCCTCCATTCGTCGAGTTCGACATTGATGCCGCCGTCGTCATTGAAGCGCCAGTATTTATCCAGATTCAATCTTCCCATCTCCTTTGCGACGTCACCCGGGTTTGTAGCTTCGTCGGTCAATGCTTTGACGATGCCCAGGGCCGTCGTGCGCGAAGGATCGGCTTTGTTACCGCGTGATGTACCGATATTGACGATGGCTCCGATTGTGTGTTTGCCGGGTATCGAATCGATCTCGTCCAGTCCAATCACAGTCGGATTATTTGTCCTTCCGAAACCACCGTCCGTGAAATAGTATTTCTGGTCGTGCGTTCCGATCTTGTGAGTGAACTCGAGTCGCTTGAAGTACATAGGAGCCGCAGTAACAGCACGTGCTACTTTAGGAATCTCCATTGTCTCTGCCGGACCAAAATTCGTCTTCGGAGGGGTGACCATTCGGCGGCTTGTATCAGGGTTCGGAGGCCGGACTGGGCGTGTGTTTTCTTCGTGGCTGTAGGACCGGATGAGATAGAAGTCCTTCGTGTCTACACCAGACGTGTTCTTAGTTGTGCGTTCCGTGGTGACGAACCTGCCAGTCATGAGTTTCTGTCACGCGCAAAAAGAGCAGTTCAGGTATACGAACGTTTGGCAGATGCCTTCTGTCGATGGGAATGTTGGCATAGTGGAGTGGTGTTTCCCCGTGGTAGTACTGTCGCTGCGCCGAAGCGAGACATCTTGAAAGGCCTTTTCCATACTGCGGGAGCTGTACTTTGGCCATGGCATGCCCATATTACGCTGCGAGATCCACCTCGGCTTGCCGAAGATCCGGTCGCTCATTGTTTTGTATTCGTCCAAGCAATCCTCTACCGTCATGCGGAACCTGCCCAGCATGATGGCTATGAGCCTACGATACATTAGCGCCTTCTTACGGTGAACGATTCAGTCTATGCTAACCCCCCAGTACTGGTGCCACATATGAAGTCGAAATAGTGGCAAGGGAGAAATATTCTACCCGGATTCTTCTTCCCAGTCTCATCGTCGTCCAGCTGAGAGACGTTGTCGGGAAAGGCTTCTGGCATGAAACTGTGGAACGCCGTTTGGCCAACGGCCGCTTGCTTGAGTTCCTCAAGAAAGATAGATTTCATGAGCCGCTCCAGGACCAACAAGGTCCAATATCCTCGAATACCACCTCCATCTATGGTGTGATGAGTCTGCAACCAAGTAAGACGTTATATGAGGAGACATACCTAAGCTGAGAAGGTTTCGCATGCGCCAAAACGCATTGCGCACCGTTCCGTGTACAGCGGACCTTTCTGTATCTGTTCTCACAGGCGGGCGGTGTCCCGGCGGGACATCTGTCGAGATAGACGATCTACTTTCGTTCATGCTGGCCATTTGAATATTCACCAAACCCAAGGAGCATTAATCAATACTTTAATTTCGTGATACCCTAATGATTAGCCTACGTGGCACAATCATACCGTCTATTAGTATAAGGCCAGCCCTTTGAGGAATTGCAACGACCGTGTGCGGTGAACGCAGAGCCTTAGGCTCTGCCCCGTCGATGTGTGTGATCGATGTCCGTGAGATGACCACAGCGCACTGCGCCTCGCGAGCAGCAGTTCACCCTAAATTTCTCTCAGTATCCAATCATATTTCCGCTCTCTAACTATAAAGAGGCGGTGCGTGGCTTGCACAAACGCCGACAGTGGTATTGAGGGGACGAAGGCCGAAGGCTGCCAGAAGCTATCGCAAGGCAACTTAGGCAAGGGAATGGACCTCCAAGAGGGAACTTCACGGGGGCCGTTTTGCTATGGTATTTGAGATGCCTTTGTGAGTATGTTGTCCTTATGCGTTGAGTGGCTGTCTCCTGAGGGTGGGTCGATCAGGCTGAGTATTGGCTGGGTGCCATTTCCTATTCAGCCTGCTCTGCCTGAGGCTACCATTACCGTGCCCTGGCGCATACAAAAAGTCTCAGCCTGTCACCCTAATCGTCAAGATGAATGGACTTTCATACAACAATGCCAGCGCCGTCAAGTTCCTCAAGGCTCACTCGCAGACCTGGCCCCGTGTCTCTTTCATGTAACGTGGCAGTGGCGTTACCTGGTCGATAATGATTTCTGTTGACTGAAAAGCCTTTCATCTGAGTCCAAATCGCGGTGTACTGGGGTCCGCTTGATGTGTTCAGGCGCCAGGGCTGAGCTCCTCTGATTCCGGTAGGGCACGGAGCGAGCCTGATGACAATGCGCCAGCGCATGGACATGTCACACCTTTGTCGACCATTGGTCAATATGAAACTTATTCGCGTCAATAGATGCATCGGCCCCCGTGCTACGCGGCTTTCGAAGGTCTGCTTCTGAGTATGGTGACCAAGCTGGCAATTGAAGTACAAAATGCGCCCTTTCGCCATCGTTTCCGTCGGGCTCCATTGACTTGTCATCCTGTTAGGATTTAGCCCAATCGAACTTACACACCTCTATTCTCAGTCAACTTTCAACACTAGCCTTACTCACTGCGGTGTCAAATCGCGGATACCTGCATATGTTGTTCGACCAGCATGACATGCTCGGCAACGAAGAGCCACGGAGTACCTCTGCGAGATGTACGAAGAAGGGGAATTGGAATCGAGCGCTTGTTCTCGACACGGAGAGTGGATTCGTTGACATTCAACGAGAAAGCGACGTCGATGGAAGTAAGTACACGGTGCCTGAAAAGGAAAAGGATACACTGACGATGTCTCCCACCAGGCGAATACCAAAAGCTGAAGTTGAGGAAAGGGCAGAAAAAAGTCCTCATCTACATGCAGCAAGACAAGCAGAACAGATTAAAGACAGAAAACTTCGAGAAGAACGATGTTTTCCTTGCAAAGCTGAGCCTCGATCACCTCGGGTTGGCGAACCGTGCCCTTCTTCTGTTTGGCTGCCTTACGACATTGTACGTCTCAGCACCGTGAAATGATTTGGCATCGCAAATTTCATCCGTGCATTAGCAGCGTGTTTTCATCGTTTGTAGTGTATTTGCAACGTTAGCGTGGGGTGGTGGTCTTGCTTCTTCGGCGGCAGCTTTCAGCGAGTAGATTGTCAGTAATTGCTGGCCTTCCTTAAGAGGAGGGGTACTTCTGCAGCAATAGGTCGAGTAGCCGGTATCAGTTGCATCCACAGTTGTCAATAATCAGTTAAGTGGGGCCCGGCGACCTTAGATTGACTTGATTGAGTACATGTTGAGAAAGTGCAGTTAACAGGCTTGGAGCCAGAGATGTCGTTAACATACCTAGGTAACCTAGCAGTCGTAGCAGTAACATGCATCCCTGACGCGAGGTTGGAGCCTGGCAGCCTGGTTATTTATGCAGCGTCAATTACGGGTGACGATCGAGGACAAAGTGCTAACTACGAAAACCTAACCCTAAAACCCAAAACCAATTCTTGCGAAAATGAAGTCGTACATTCATGACACATTACAACATGATCATTACGTGTGAAGAGTAGACTAGAAGAAGTAGATTATAAGAGAGTTAGACAAAGTTAAGACTTGCAGAACGCTTATGAGTTACAGACCTTGAACATTTAGAGGAGTCGCATACCTACTATCACTCTTAGGGCTCTCAGGAGTTGTGCTCCTAGAAGATCCCTTAGGTTCCTCGGGTTCCTTAGGTCCCAGGACCTTGGCTTCCTCAGCTTCCTCAGCAGCAGCCGGCTTTGGAGCATGCTGTACTTTGTATGTAATGGTACTTTACCTTTGACAGCTTCCACTCGTCCTCCGTAGTCAATTGCCGAGTCATCCCCCGTGCCATCACCAGCTGACGAGTGCCAAGACCGGCACTCTGATGCATGTACTTCACGATTTCGCGGCAAGCACCTCACTGTCATTCAGGGTACACGCGTAGTCGGTGTCTCGCACGGCGTTGTACGGTAGAAGTCAAATTCCGCGTTTCGAACTTTCATGGGATTCGGAAATTGGTCTTTGACATCGCCAGTTCGCCAGCGACGCAGTCATGCTTTTTATCGAGATACTGTACAATGTAGCCACCTGCTTCTTCCCAAATTTGCAGTCCACAGATGCCGTCTTCTCATCTAAGCGAAGTAGCTCTTCCACAGCACGCCCTCCAAATCCTCGAGCTGCTCCTGTTTGAAAGCCTGGGGGAGTGTCAGTTGCGATCAAATACCGGACGGGGTGTGTAAGCTTGCCTTGACATCGACGTGCCACGTATCCTGCCTTGTCTTTTTGAAGTCCGAAAGCACCGTCTTAACGCTCTTACCCACCACTCCCGGGTCCATACTCGCCTTCCTCGCGAGGCTTGCGAGGACCTCCGGCAGCCACGCCGGCGGCGGCGATTGGTAGGGGAACGCCTGCGTCAGCGCACCCAGTCCCAGAACGGCAGCATGACGCGTCAGCACGAGTTTGTTCTGATCCGCCGATGGCGTTCCAGGAACCGAGGTCTTCTTCTTGGGCAGCGGGTTCTTGGTGAGCTGTGTGGAGAAGCGCTTCTTCAGCTTCTCAACCTGCTCGTCACGGAAGGCCTGCGGGCTGCAGCGGATCATGCCGCTCAGGGTCGCGGCGGCGCCCATGCGGACTTCGAGCTGCACGTCGCTAAGCATCGAGGAGACACAGTCGAACAGCTGTTGTTGCTGGGATGTGCTCATGAGGAAGAGACGGCGGAAGTAGATGACCTGGACGTTGATCAGGATGCGCAGCCGCTGATGCCATGATGTGGCTGTCTGTCCGATGCGGATGAGTGCGGCGATGAAATCGGCGTCTTCGCCTTCACGCTGCGGGATGTTAGGTAGATGACGGAAGACATGGTATGCGAGAGACTGCAGTTCGGGGTCTTCCTTAATGTCCATCATGTGCAAAAGCTGCTCCATGAAGACATCAGGGAAAAACTTGACAAGTTGTGTGCATTCATACGAAGAAAGCGTCGAGTCGAGCCAGAGAAGAACTGTCTTGCCACCGGATGTATACGATGAGGGGGTCTGTTGGCCAGGCTCACGCTGGTGGCGCCAAGCCTCGAGGCGGGCGAAGGTTTCTGTGATGGTGGCGGTGAACTCTTCAGAGGGCTGGTATGGGCGAATGCCAATGGATGAGGCATCCTTTTGTGCCTTGATGAGCGTAGCAACATCCTTGTACGACTCGTGGTATCGTGTGCGGTAGATGGTAGCGATGGTCTGTCCCATCGCCTCTCGCACACCCTTGTATGGATGATCGAGGTGCTTCATGAAGTCTTCCAAGATCGGCTTCTCCAGACGGAAGTGCCATCCGGCATCGCTGATCATCTGAGTAAGAAGATGCACCTTGGAGCTCTCCTTGAACGCAGCGTTCGAGTCCATGTCGAGGCGGAAGCTTGCAAGCCAGTCTACCATAGGCCATCCTCGGCGGGGATCCTTCGACTGCAGAACAACATGCAAGAATGTCGTCCAGTAGCCAGAGTTCTCAGGTGTGAGACCGTCCTGGAAAATGCCACGAACGATCGGGAAAACATACTCCCAAACCTCCGTGCGCTGCTCAGGCTTCAGGTCCGGCGCGCAGGAAAGAAGCGCAGCCATGATCTCGGATGTCGCACGATGTTGGTGCTTGTCGCTTCCATCGCTGTAGACAGCTTCTGAGAGATCCTTGATGTCCTCGAATGTGGCTTCAGTCAGACCGCAGAAGATGAGGTCGAACGCGTGCGTCAACAGCATTGCGCTGGACATGCGGAAGCGATCAGCGCTGGCATCGCGAGGCTCCTGCTTCATAAAAGCGAAGTAGTTGGAAAACCAGGATCGTGTCATGTGACCCGCGATCTTCTTGCGGACCTTGTTCTCGATGTCATCGTACTGGACTTGAGGCGCGTTCGGCAAGAAGCCTGGCATCGTCTTGTTCCATACCAACCATCCCGGATAGTCGAAATCAACATAGTACTTGGCCTCCGGCTGTGCGAACGACTCGAGGTACTCGTCCGTCCACTTGGGATCCTCTGGTCGCGTGGGCACAGAAATCTTGTCAGGCAAGTCCTCCTCGCCCAACAAATATTTCTCGTAGCTGTGGCCTGTGATTGCGCGTGTCTGAATGACCGAGAACAGTCCAATGAAGGCACCGGCGTAAAGACCACGCAAGCTCGGATGCTGATCGATGGCACCCTTGGCGACGAGATCGATCATCTCGTCGGACGCAATCGTATCGTAGCGCATCCCGAGATTGACGATGATGGCTGCAGTGCGACTAACCTTCTTCCAATGTTCAGTCTTGGCGATTTGCACGAGCTCCTTGGACAAATCAGCCTTCTTGCCTTCAATGCGAGCGCGCTTCTGCGTGATGTATTCGCGTCGCTTCGCGACCTTCTGCTGGACGACAGCGTCCTCAGCAGACTCGATGGCATACGCGATCGCCTGCACAACATCCTTGTCCAGGATGACCATGCGCTCCATGGCCTTGCCCATGTCCATGACCTGGAACGTCGCATTTGTCGCCAATTTCTGAACAGATGGCTTGTCGGCGCCGGTGACCTCAATGAAGGTTTTGATCAGCTTTGGTGTGAACCTCCAGTCCCTGCTGATTGTCTTTGCCAAGCTACCGAAGAGAAGTGCGAACATGGCGCCCTTGATGCGGGGATAGTCTTGCTCCGCGACGGCCTTGACAAACGCATCTAGGAGTGTCGGGATGACCAGAGGTCGAGCGCCCAGCACGCACTTGACGGCTGACTCGTTCGCAGTCTGTGCCGTGCGTCGGATCTCCGTGTAAAGCGATATGCTAGACTCGGCAAGATCGAGCAACAACTGCTTGTCGAGCTCGGTCTTGGGCCGAGGATTAGCATTGTGGCGAAGGCGCTGAAGGTGGTAGACATTGGCGCGTCTAACGAGCAATGGTCGAGGATACTCCTTGCGCAAGCCGCTGAATCTGAACGGCTGCTCATCATTGTCGAGAAGCCTCGATATGCGGTCAAGGACGTGTGCTGAGCGCTCAATGCCCACATCAATGAACCACGATCGGTATGCATTGTAGAGAGCGTTGAAGCAGGGAACGTCATCTGGCTGCTTCTCAATCAGGAACCGATGGACATCATGTAGAATCTCACCAACACGATGGCGCAGATCATGGATGAGCTTGTAGTCCTTGTCGTCGCGAGACAACGGGTAGCCAGACTCGTACTGGAACGTAGGCTTGACTTCTTCGTCTTCCGCCTCGCCCAGGCCAGCATCGTCGTCAATGCCTTCTGTGTCCATGGCGTCAGGATCTGACCCGCTCTCGGACCCAGCGTCGACGCTGCCGCTGACTTGGTCGTGTCGAACATCGAACAGTACTGAGATACCGGAGATGATCAGTCTCAGAAGAACGAGGTTTCTCGATACTTCATCTGACCAGTCCTTGCCGGTACCCTCCCGCTGGATCGGAGAGTCTGCTGATGTGAGGGCGACAAGAGCGTTCATCGAGTTGCTGGCATGCGTCTCAAACAACCGAACAGCAAACCCAACCTCTTCAGGGCTGGGAGTATGCCACTTGACGTTCAGGTCCTTCACGTCGATTTGCCTTCCCCACGACTCGGCGGTGATGCCTTGTGCCAGCTCGTCTTTCTCGTAGATATCATAGTCGATGGTATATGTGCAAGTGAGATTGAGAAGGAGATGGTGGATGAAGTTTGAGACGTGCACGGTGGGTGTGCCTCTGCACTTTTGTTGCATGTACTCTGCGATCTCGAACAGGTCATCTTTCCACGCAATCACAGCATCGCCCACGTGAACAACGCACATGCTCAGGATGCTGAGATTCCAGACCAGAGCACGATCGCGAGGAAGGACTTCAGCGCCTGTTGTTCGTGTAGAGCCAGCGCCAATGTCCTCAATCTCTGTACGAATACCAGCAAAGAGGTGGGGCAACAGCCGCTTCAGTGCCTTCTCCGGGTTGATCTTGACAAGACTGTTGCAGATGAATGCGATTGCATCTCGCGCTTGGTGAATGACATGATTTGAGATGAAGTTGGCAATCTTGTCTAGCGCAACATCGTACAGCTCTGGCGAGAGTGCCGCGAGCAAGGGCGTGAACGCAGCTGGAAGGTGGTTTACCACGTACTCCTCGGGAGATCCACTACGGACTCTCGAAGCATCTGGCAGGTTCTCCAGCAGTGTGAACACGCGACCCAGGAACGAGATCAAGAACTCGTTGAGGCCTGTTGTGGATGACCGCAAGATCATCTCCTCATCTTCGTCACTGAGCTCTTCGTCATAGTTGATCTCGATGTTGCCGGTGGCGCTCTCTAATCGTTCGACTTGCTGTGTAATCCATTGCATGGCGAGCCCCGTGTCGCCGCCCATGTCCTCTCGCGGCGTATCTGTGCCGTCGCCAGACGTGACGGAGGCTTTCTTGGCCTTTGTCAGATCATGGAACGGTACCAGATAACAGACGCCCTGCACGTATTGCAGCGTATGTAGCGTCTTTTCAAGATCGTTGGCGTCGATACCAGGCAGTGCGAGACCGAGCACAGTTGTGACATGGCACCGCCAGCCCTTGGTCTTGGCCATGATCTTAGAGAGCATGTGTAACGCACGGATCGAGGAGATGGTGCGGTGCACCTCAACGAGGCCCTGCATAGCGGGATAGATGCGCTGCAGTGCGCCTGGGAGGATGAGGTTGGGCTCCAGGTACGCCAAGCTCTGAAGGGCGGACAGTGCATACTGCACAGCCTTGTCGCTCTTGCTGAAGATGCCCATGAACGTGACCTCTCGCAGGCAGAGCACGAAACGCCTCTTGACCGCATCGTTCAACTGACGCTCCTTGGGCACGTCCATCTCGCCACTGTGCTCTCGGTTCCAGCGCAGTACGAAGAAGTCGGCCAGGTAGTACACCAGCTGCGCAAGCGGCCGCGTCCAGCTGCCTGAGTTGGACGGGTGGAAGAATGTCTCGACCGCCTGAATCAGACCCTCCAGCTTGCTGAGTATGGAGTCCGGGTGGTCAACACACGCCGGCGACAATGACATGCCGATGAACCGAGCAATGTGGTGTGTCGAGGGGTGCTTCCGCTGGTCCCTATCCAGCATGACCGCCAGGCCAGCGCCGAGATCGACGGTGCTGCTGTACGGTGAGGTTGCCTGTCCGACGGGGATCTCGAGCAGGCGCAGGATCGCTGTGAAGATGTGCGAGTTCTGCTCGCCCGTGAACATGCCGTACTGCGAGAAGGGGATGTGTGGGGCAGTGAGGTTGTCCCTGGCCAGCCGGGATATTGTGTCGATGAAGTGGGCGTCGAACATGCGCGACCGGTTGACCAGCGACCAGCAGTGGAAGAAGGTCGGCAGATACTCCTGCGGCAGGAGGTCTGGCTTGTCCTCTGGGGCCGGGTTCGTCGGCAGCAGCAGGTTCAGCAGGCCCACGACGACGAAGGCGCCCTCGCTGAACGAGGTGCTGAAGAAGGGCAGCAGCTCCTCGAACATGGCGGGGATCTCGTTGGGGTCAAAGTACAGCTGGGCGAAGGTGCACATCTTGGTCAGCGTGCGGATGTTGCGCTTGACGTTGGGCGGGTGGGCGCCGCCGGACTCGGAGGGCAGGACGAAGAGCTTCAGCTCGCGGTACAGCGGCCGCCAGTCGAGGACGAGGTCCCTGCCGGGGCGCAGGTAGTGCTTACGCCTGTGGCGTGTCAGTGAGGGGAGGAGGCGGCGGCGGCGGGTGGGCACTCACTTGGTCAGCACCATGAACATGGAGGCAAAGCGCTCCGCGACCAGGTAGTCCAGCCCCGGGGCGAGGGCCAGCTCGTAGTACAGGTGGACGAGCTTCACGCGGATACTGCGAGGCAGGTCGAACTTGAGCGACAGCCAGCCGCGGATCTCGCGCGTCCAGTGCACGGCGCCGGGGGCAAAGTCGCCGGCCGACACGGCGATGTAGAGGTGCTTCAAGCACGTGTGCAGGCTCTCGAGGCGCTCGCCGTGGGCCTCGGTCGAGTACGGCAGGTAGTCGAAGTACGGGAATGTGCGCGGGCGGCTTCTGCTGTCGTCGCCGCTGGCCGAGCCATTGGCGCCGCGCCAGTCGCCGCCGGGGGACGTCGCCCGCGAGTTGTCTGGGCCGGTGCCCGCGTCGAGGGCGCCCGTGAGATGCG